CATATGTGATGCTTAATCAGCAAACCGCTTAGTCATCACTATTGTGGTTACCTTAATATATAGGTTTGGAGTTAGATTATCAAGTAATCTTTATACTTTTGCACCTTACTTGCCTACCTTACTTTCTGCCTTTCTACTGCTTACAGCAGTACTTTCACTAGTTGAATACTTTGCTTCCATAACCTACCTCTTTGGTCACAACCTAACCTTTTGAAATGTAGATAGCTAAAAGCTAGTTATTGATAGGCTTGTTGCATAGATTATTGGCAATGTTATAGTTATTGACTAGCATACTGCTGTTGTTAAGGTTTTTGTTTCTATATTTAGAGTAGTATTAATTAGCGTCTAGTTGATTGTTAAAAAAGTTGCTAGCAAGGCTAGAAAGGTTTTTAGGTTAACAGCAGAAAGAACCACTCAAGTAGGCAAAGGTAGCAGAGTTTGCCATTGATAGTCTTGCTTGCATAGGCAAATGTCTAAGAACCAATTAGGCTATAATAACCAGTTAGATTAGCAGGTTTAGCATTAAAGGTAATAGCAATGTGAAAGGCAAAACGATATAAAAGTAGTAAAACGCAATGCAAAGAGTCAAGAAAGAAAGGATTTTCTTTGCAAGTAAGTTGGCAAAGAAGGTAGGAAAGCAGTAAATACGCAAGAGACTTGAATATTTAAAGGCTTAGTGAATACTCAAGCGAGTATTTAAACGTTAGTAGGAAGAGGCTTAAATACTTGACAGGTTAGGCTTGAATACTTGATAGGTTTGGTTAAAGCAGGCTAGTAAACAATGCTTTATGCATAGATTAGTCTAATCAACGCGTCAAAAGCTTGCATGTGAAAGCTATTCGCAAGCTCTTAGGGTGATTTTAGTATTGCTAGAATCAGCGAAAATTGAGGTTTTTGGTAGGTTTGATTTGTATTATAACTTCAACAAGTATATCTATGCTATCAATTTATAGCGTGTTGGCAAGAGGCTACTTTAATAGCAATCTTGTGATATTATACAAAGTAAAAGTGGTGATGATATTTGGTAGTTTTTGCGTAAAGGGTGCGTAGGCTTTGACTAACCCGCGCTGGCGCCTAGGCTAGGTTACAGGCTACTAGGGCTACTTTAGGCTCTGCCTTCACTGTCTATTTACAGCTAGTAGAAACCATCCTTTCTACCCTACCAAGCCCCACGCATCATCTCCTATACCAATTTACTAGCTAGCTACATAATAGCTTTGTATAAATTAACTATATTAGCATTGCTACTAATTAGCTGCTTAACAATGCCTAAAAGGTTTGGAAGACTTATAATACTAACAAGCTTTAACTTAACTGCAACTTTATAGGCAATAACTAGTTGTAAGAACTAGCGCGCGAATTAACTAAGTTATAATAAACCAAAAGATTTAGCAGTTTTGGCACTATATGCCAAAACCTTCGCGCTCTGCACCTTATAAGTCCTGCCGCAATAGTGCTCCACCTACACTATGGTATCTTAGGATTCTTACAGTTATTCCTCCCTCTTAAAAAGCTAGTCTCTAGGCTTTTACAGGGAATACCAGGCATGTTAAAACCCCTAAGCATACAGCGCCTGCAGCGCTGCTTTTGTAAGCCTATCTAAGGTGTGTCAATCCTAGCTTTTGGCAAGTCAGAGGCTTTCGACATAACTTTCTCACAGCAATTGAATGTAAGGCTGGATTTGTCATCGCCTTTCTAGCGCAAGTCACGTTACCCGTGAAAAAACTACATCGGCAATTCAAGCGCCCTCGGCGATTCAAACCCCGCACACTAGTAAACCTACGTGATGCCAAAACAATTGTAAGAACCAGCGCGCAAATCAACTAAGTCACAATGAACCAAAAGATTTAGCAGTTTCAGCACCACATGCCAAAACCTTCGCGCTCCGCGCCTTATAAGTCCTGCCGCAATAGTGCTCCACCTACACTATGGTATCTCAAGACTTTTACACTAGTAAATTAGGTAAGAAACTGTCTTAAGTAGCTTTTTAGTCAAAACGTTTATTAAAGCTTGCTTTTGTAAGAGAATCAGGTTGATCAATTGACTAGCCAAACCTAAGCCTTATTGAATACAAGAAGGATGTATTGAAGGAAAAGAAGGAAGAAGTGCAGCGCACTTCTTACGCGTTTTTATGGACCCCGATCTGTAGGCGACGGGGCCGCGAAGCGGTCCCGGCGGTCCTCGCGGTGGATTGATTTTCCCGCCTCCGTTCGGTTTCCGAGCGGTCTCCGGTTGCCGAGGGCCCCTGGCCGAGGTCCCCACACAGGTGTAACCCATCACACCCTTTAAGATACAGTAGACTGTCCCAGATTACTTTTCTTGCTCTATCTTAGCTACTTGTGCTGCCTCCTCCTCTCGCGCGCGTATCATTGCTGCAGACCTTGCCTTCATCCTCTCGATAGCCTTGCGGTAGCGCTCTTCAGCCATAGATTGATCAATTGCGGGATAGACCATAGGCGGCGGCCTCTTGTGCCAGCTGGCCCACTTGTCCTCATGATCGATGCGCAACGAGCCTGGCATTAGGTCCAAGACAGCCAGCTTGGTCTCAGGCGGCCACTTGGGGGTGCCGTCCATGTTGCCCAGGACATCCAGGAGGGTGTCGCGTATGGCCATCAGCCACGGATGCACAGCTGAGACATACTCGTGCACAGTGAGGAATTTGCCTTGGGCAGCGACTTGGAGATAGGTATCGCAAGCCCAGGGCCGCTTCTGCCCGCAGCATTCTAGTAGATAGATAGGCGGGTCGAAGGTCTCGTCGCTAGGGCGGGGCCCTAGGCGTCTCTGGTACAGGCAGCCCCAGTGCTGGTCAGCCCATGCCTGCTCCCACGCATTAATGCACTGGATGCGGACAGTGACAAACGATACTGGAGGCTTCATAAGGGATGCTTGCGACACAGCGTGAATGGAGCCGTCTAGGCCAAAGTACGGCTCCATGAAGGCGCCTGGCTCGTAGTATTCTGACGGCGCAACCTGGATGGCGCCCTCAAGCACGCCATTGAGTGTCCAGAAGAGTCGCTTGCAAGCTGTGGTTACATCCTGTCGAATCTCTTCGCCGCTGTCGGCGGGTGTACTGGCTGTGTCCATGGAATTGGTGGGCGAATTGACAGTCGGGCAATTGTGGCGGAAGTGTTGTGAGAAATTAGTTTTTTGGGCGTCTCTAATCTGGGGCATGCAGGGTTTTCTCCTTTTGGGCCTGCCGGGACCCATTTATCCATCCCAACCCACCCCCCCCCCCCCCCACTTTTTTTCCAGTACCAGCAGAGGGTTAAGACCATGCACATACTAACCAACCACCCCTTATAACCAACCACCTTCCAGATTCAGATTTAGCCAACCTATACCTACCCAGACTACCCAAAAATAAAGCTATTTACATATATCCACTTAGAATTAAAAGCACATCTCTTTAAATACATAATCCTCAGTATCCTCAGTGACTATACCTAACGTCTAGACTTGGATCTTGGCCTTCATAATTGCTTCAATTCCAATAAAGCAGTTATTTAGATCCATCTTAACCTTCTTCTTTTTCTATAGCCGTAAACGTTCAATTATAGCCTATAAAGCCTTAATTTCACACTACTAGCTAGCAATCTAGAAGTTCTTGTCATCAAGACTTTTCCCAGCCTTTCTAAGCAAAAGCCTATCCTCCAAATATATCCTAGCCTTAGTTAGAAACCTTTGTCCATATTGCTAAATCTCTTCTTGCCCACAACATAAAGTTGCAATACTAATCTAAAAGTTGATTGACTAGATTGGCTAAATAGCTAAAAGCATCTAAGTATCTTAAGATACTATAGCTAAAGCCTAAAACTTCTCTTGCTTTTTAGAAAGTAACAGCTAGCTCTAGAGTAGCTTTTGTAGGTTTCATAGCTACAAGCCAATAGCTTTCTACCCAAACCAAATATTCCTTAGTGTAAAAGCAAATTTCCAAGCCTTTTCAAGGCAAATAAAAACGTTTTGCTTTCCAATTAGCGTTAAGTCTGACTAGATAGCTAGATTATAAAGCTCTTTGCAATATACTTGCTTTAAGAGAGAGAAGATAGAAAGATCAAATAGCTAAAAAAGATAAAAGCAGTAAAGTGGTAAGAAAACTAAATATATAGTATTCTAAAAGCAACTCCACATAAAATCATCTATAACATAACTTCTATAGCTATCAACAATTAAAAGCCTTACGCAAAAGACTAGTGGTTAGGATCTTAGAATAAAAATATCTTCAAGCCAGTCTAACTGTTAGAGGCATATGGACAGCTAGCCGAAAGGGGCTACACGGTGGATTGATTGGCAAGTGGGGGCCTAGGTTGGGACTGGTGGATTGGCAGGGGCCACAGGGACGCGTAAACAAAGGCTTACGTGTTATCCACAGATTATCCACAGACTGGGTTGTTACTGGAAGATCCCTGCGTCATCTCTAGGAACTTCCAAGGACAAGACTAGAGTAGATTGGATTATGTATGATGCCTTGAGGAAAAGACGTTAGGTATTTTAGAAGGGCTGACCTCTCTTCCAAAGAAGGGAGGCTAGCGATTAATTTGCACAACATTGGACCCCCTACTTCCCAACTGCTTTACCACTGTCACCTACCTGGCTCTTCACTCTGTGTTTGTAAAACCCTTGACACTAACGCAATCTAATTGAAAGTCCAACCATTTTTCATACTAATAAACTTCCAGCTATCAAATAGGTCTATATTGTCAGAAATCTATTACGCTTAAACTGTCTTTCCAAAAAAGATAACTAAAAGATATAAAAAGCTTTCATTTACGCTAATACACTCAATAAATAAAGTCCAAATACGCTTAATCAGAGTTTTCAAAAGGATTCTCTTAAGGCTTAAAGACCTAACAACCAAGCCATTAATCCCTAAACCTTCTATAATCCCAAACTTATCCATATTCCATATATCTTCTCCAAAAATACCTTAGATCTCTAAAATAGCCTTAATTTGGTCAAACCAAGCCTATATTTCCTTAGCAAATGCAGCATTTGCACGCTTAAAATCCATCCACTTACTTGAAAGCGTCTTGACTTCTAGATTTCGTTGCAAAAAGTATTGCATCCAATGCTTTCCAAGTGGCTGTAAGTCAAAAGGTTAGGTTGTGACTAAAGAGGTAGGTTGTGGAAGCAAAGTATTCAACTAGTGAAAGTATTGCTGTAAGCAGTAGAAAAGCAGGAAGTAAGGTAGGCAAGTAAGGTGTAAAAGACTGGTTGTATTGTGTGGTTGATTATTCTTTTTCTAAAGTTAGCCGGCTAATCTAACTGACTATATAGTAAAAATTCAGTCTTCTTGCTTTACTTGATTTACTAGATCAAACAACTTGATACTTCGGATCGGCTGATTAGACCGGGTCCGTAGGATTTGATTGTTTGAATTAGTAGTAATACGTAGATTACACACTTACAAGGTGGTGATACATATCAAGTGGTTTTGCAGGGTTTGAAGGTTTTAGGTAGTTTGATTTTCTGCACCTACCTTGTACTTGCAAGGTTACTCTAGACTTGCCAGGCTACCCTGGACTTGCAGGGCTACCCTGTCCTTAGGGTTAGGGTTGCCTTTGGCAGGAAAGTCCTTTAGGCTTCAAATGCTAATTATAAGGTAAGGATTAATCACGTGACTTAGCTACTTTGTAGGCTTATAAATAAGTCATATGTGATGCTTAATCAGCAAACCGCTTAGTCATCACTATTGTGGTTACCTTAATATATAGGTTTGGAGTTAGATTATCAAGTAATCTTTATAGAACCCCTAATTACGGTTTAGCATAGACAGAGAGCCGGTTACCCGCGCCACACCACTGGAAACGGTTGGCAGGACAGGGCATGTTGCAGTCGGTCAACGGCGCCGCCACCGATCCTTGATTGATAGCATTTCCGCAGTAGCCTGTCGTCACATGATGTCAGTGTTCATTCTTGGACGACGAGATGAGGGCGGGCCATGGGGCTGAAACTCACATTCACGGCCGAACTCAACGCCAAAGTAGTTGTACGCCGCGCAGTGGGTGGCGCACATTTCGAGCGTCATATTGTCGTCGGGCAGCATGCTGGCGTCCAAGGCGCGCCCCGCTGGCGGCTCGGTCATGCACCCGACGAAGTTGAAGCCGCTGACGGTGGGCGGGTGGGACGGCGGCACGGGCTGCGCCCCGCCGGTCGAGTACAGCACCAGGTGGTTGCCCGAGCCGCAGTATTGGAGGGCGTTGCCGCCGCAGAGCATCTGGCAGTTGCTATCGTCGACTTGGGTCAGGGCGCCGCGCAGGGAGTTGCCCATCCAGCACTCGCGCCCGTACTCGGCGCCCGCGAAGGTGCGGCCCGCCGCTGCGGTCAGGCACTGCTCGATCGTCATGTTGTCGTCGGCCACTTGGTCCGCCAGCGCGCGGGTGCCGTCGGGCTCGCGGAAGCAGCCTAGGCGCGTGAAGCTGCCCTAGCCTGGGACGAAGGCTGGCCCCCCGGGGCTGGTGGGGGTGGGGGTCGGGGTGGGGCTGGTGGAGCTGATGGGGATGGAGCTGCTGCCGGGGTCGGTGGCGGAGTTGGAGGCGCAGATTCCGAACGCGGACTGGCACCCACGCTCGAGATAGCAGTCGGCCGGGTTCTCGCCGCAGATGCCGTTGACATTGCAGCACCGCCCCCACTCGGGCGAGCACCGGTAGCCCTCGGCGCCGCCGCAGGTGCCGTCGGGGGTCCACGGGGTGCCTTCGGGCTGTTGGTCCTCCTTCCAGATGTCGCAGTCGCCTTCCTGGCACGTGAACAGGCCACAGTACGCAGGCCCCGTGCCGCACTGGCCGCCAATGCTGCAGCAGTCGCCTCATCGACCGGCGCACGAGCGGAGGCCGTGGTCCTGGCCGCATGTGCCATCGGTGCTGTAGATGAGATCGCCGTCGCAGGCGCCTTCGTAGCACGTACCAGGAGCGCAGTCGACCGTCGAGTCGCCGCAGGTCCATGTCTGCGAGTTGCAGCACTGCTTGTCGGTGCCCAAGCAGGTGGCATTGTTGTTAGGAGGGCCGCACTGGCCGTCGAAGGCTCTGACCGGCTCGATAACTTTGACCAAGTCAGCTTTAGCCTCCTATTTTTTCTCTTGGTGTGGAAGAATACTTACAGCCCCTGACGCAGTAGTCCGTTCCCGGCTGCACGTTGCTGCAGTCGCGTGCGAGGCTTGGGTTCAGATTGAAGAGCACGTCGTTGGAGATGCTGTACCGCTGCGCCATCTGCGAACATGTGTAGTAGTTGACCTCGGCGCGCGTGGTCGTCTAGTATCGGCAGTTGATCTCGCCCACGGTGACTGGGATGGGGGTTCCCTGGGTAGGCAACGGGTCGGCGGGGTCCTGGAGCATTTTGAGCCCGCTGGAATTCCATCGGTATGGTTGACAGTCGGCCTGGTCCTGAGCCGACACCAAACTTGGAACAAGAGCTTGGAACAAGACGGCGAGCCGGAGCGCGCCATTGCGGTGAAGGGACTTCATGGCTGATTTACCTGGAAGTTACCAAGAGTCCAAACTCGATGGCAATGACAGCAGCAGCACTCTGGTGGCCCACGGTCGAAATTTCAAGTTCAAGCTCTGATATATGGAGGAATCCTGGCATGTGACTAGCGCCAACAGACCATGCACAGGGAACTTCATATTGCAACCCTGGTATGTCGGCGGATTACCTAGGGGCTCCGCAATTGCTCTGTCTTGGCCCCTCGGGTAGTCCAGACAGGGTTTGTTGTGAGAAAAGTTTCACGATAATCCTTACTACTCATTAAATCATGTTACATTCTCCCTTTACTTGGCATCCTACTATCGCGAAACTATGTTCGACCACCATCGTATTCTTTTAATGATGTGACATTGGACTTAATGAACTTGGATGCCATGCCAAAAACAGACGCAGTAGCCGCCAACACGCTCGGCAATGGCAATATTGCGACCCAGTGGCGGTCCACGGCGGGACATGGACAGGAGAAGGATCAAATTGGATATCCCGCACATGACGTTCGAAAAGGCGACGACCATGCTGACTAGGTAGGTAGACGAGCCGACGGCAGAAGGACTGGGAGCTCGGCAATATAAGGTGCCCCTTCCAAGGTAAACAGCCCAAGGCTCGCCCACTCCATCACGGCCTGTGCCTCCTTCCATTCTTTTTTAGCAACAGTCTGCCTGGCACCTTGACCATGGCGTTGTTGTTCCTACACCATGCCATGTGGCTGGTGGCCCTGCTTGCCTTAAATCCCAGCTCTCGGGCAGCGGCTCAGTACATCCAGAACTTTGTCCCAGCGCGAATATCAGATCCGAGGACGAACCCGCCAACGTGGTACGATGGCTACAAATAGTGAGTTCGGATTCTCTTTCTGGCCAGAAGGGGGGCTCAAATGTGGTGCTGACCAACAACCTAATGCAGCCGACCGGTGCCCGACAACCTGACGCCCTGTCGAAATGTCATTGACACTCGAGAGCAAAGAATCACCATCTATTACAACTGCCACTACATGACCAACATCTGCCAGAATGTCAACAACTTCGAGGCCACGGCACGGGGGCAGGCTCTGCATCCCGGAACGACGATCCCGCCAGGCATGTACACGTACGACTTTAACAGCGCCGAGGGGGAGCCCAAGTCACGCAAGTTCTACCGCCGCGAGGCGTCGTGCCCGAACGGGTGGAAGAACTCGCACACGTGCCCCGAGCCGGCGGGCCAACAGACGCTGTGGCGGCACGACGGGCCGTGGGGGTCGACGGCGCTGGAGCCGGGCACGGCGAACAACATAATTGAGCACGAGCGCGACGCGCAGAACCAGATCACGCGGTACTCGCAGATGCGCTACTCGTGCGACGAGTTCCCGCCGGCTACGTGGATCGAGGGCGGCAACGGCTGGGACGGCACCACGCCGGCCAACACCTTCTGCGCCGGCCTCTCGTGCATCATGCCCAACTCCAACGGCGCCGTGCCTATCAAGGCCGAGCAGAACTGGCAGGGCCAGTCGCACTCGAAGCTGCGCGAGGTGCTGCTGTCCTACATTCGCCGCCGCCAGGCCGAGTTCCCCTGGCACAACCCGGACGAGCCGCAGCACGACGTGGCCTTTTTCAACTTTGCCGCCTTTGACCAGGGGCAGACGGGCTTGGTAGCCACCATCTTCTGCGACGATGACACGACCGCTTCCGACAATGATTTCAGCTACATCACCCAGGCCAAGAGAGAGGAAACACTAGCCAACAACCCAGACGAACCGGCACGCACGCCCCGATCGCGATACAGCAGGCTCACCCCCGAGCAGACGTATCAGCGCATGATGGCTGGCCACGGCCGCCGCTTCGACATCCCCGCCCACGTCAACGAGTCCATGGTGGCCGAGCCGGGTCTGTTGGGCGGGCTGGGGGGCATCGGGATGCAAGCCGGCGACTTTTCCGCCGACCTGAGCGGCCGCATGAGGACGCCGCACTCTGACTCTGCCAAAGCCAAAATTCCCAAGGTCATTCCCAAACGCCAAGTCACGTCCAACTCCACGGATGGCAAGCCTCTGCTGAAGACTGCGTCCGCGGCCGACCTCGCCAGGGCCCGGAGCATCGTGGCCGATGCCATCGCTGCCTCGGCCGAGCGGAACATGGCGCGGCTGGCCAACCCGGCGCGCAACCAGTACCGTCTCAAGCCGGGCACCGTGATCGGCGGTGCTGCGACGGTGCCCAACAACAACAACAACAACAACAAGCGACGAGGCCGTAGACAAGACCAGAACGGTGGTGGCGACGACGCGGCCCCCCCTTCGCTCCTCGAAATCACCGACGAGATCGCCTGGGCCGCGGCCCTCGTGGCCGAGGCGGAGGCCGTGGCACCACCCGAGGGTGTGAACTTGGGAACCGCCCATCCTGTTCCGTCCAACTCGAGCTCGAGCGGCGTCAAGCGCCGGGCCCATGTCCGGGGCACGTACTGGATGGAGACCATCGCGCGCAGAGGCACCGTCCCCTGGGGCGACGACCCGACGTACCAGGTCTTCCGCAACGTGCTCGACTACGGCGCCACCGGAAACGGCGTGACCGACGACACGGCGGCCATCAAGGCGGCCATGAACGACGGCCGGCGGTGCGGCGAGAAGTGCAACGGGTCCACTACGAAGAACGCCATTGTGTACTTCCCCCCCGGCACCTATCTCGTCTCGAGCACCATCCCCCTGCCCTTCGGCACGCAGGTTATCGGCGACGTCCTTAACCGGCCCCTAATTATCGCCTCGTCGTCGTTTATTGGTCTGGGCGTGCTGTCCACGGACGAGTACACCGGCGGGGGCATTGGAACCGACGGACGCGACCAGCAGTGGTTCGTCAACACGGCCAACTTTTACCGCCAAATCCGCAATGTGATTATTGATGTGCGCAATGCCCCGGCCATCGAGATCACAGCGTGCCTGCACTACCAGGTCGCGCAGGCGACGAGCCTGCAGAACGTGGAGCTGCGGGCCGGGCCGGGCTCCAAGGGCATGTACGCGGAGAACGGCAGCGGCGGTCAGATCTCAGACGTGGGTTTTAGCGGCGGCGACGTCGGGCTCTACGGTGGTGCCCAGCAGTTTACGGCGCAACGCCTGCGCTTCGACGGCTGCGACACGGCCGTCCATGTGTTCTGGGACTGGGGCTGGGTGTGGAAGTCGGTCACCATGACCAACGTGAACGTCGGCTTCCGCTTCGTGGCCAAGGACCCGTCGGGGTCCGTCGGCTCGGCGTCCATCATGGACTCTTCCTTCACAAATGTCGGCACCGCCGTCCTCGTGTCGCCGCCCCCGGCTGCCGTGGGCTCGCGCACCACGGGCCTGGTGCTCGAGAATGTGGCCCTCTCGGGCGTGCCGGCCGTCGTGGCCGACACCAGCGGCACGACGCACCTGTCCGGGGCCGGCCAGTCGCTTGTCGACCAGTGGGTGCTGGGCCCCGTGTACGCCGGCTCGGCCAGCGCGCGCTCCTTCTCGACGGGCGGCAAGGTGGGGCGGTACCGCCGAGACGGCGGACTCGTCGACTCGTCGGGCAACTACTTTGAGCGTCCCAAGCCGCAGTACGAAGGCCGCGCCGTGGGCGACTTTGTCCACATCAAGGACTTTGGCGCGGTGGGCGACGGGGTGACAGACGACACCGCCGCTGTCCAGAACGCACTTTACGCCAGCCAGGGTAAGATTTTGTTTGTGGACGCCGGCTCTTACATCCTGACCGACACCGTGGTCGTGCCGGCTGGCATCAAGATGGTCGGCGAGACCTGGTCGCAGTTCGTGGCCTTCGGACCCGCCTTTTCCGACGAGAACAACCCGAAGGTTATGGTGCGTGTGGGTGTGACCCCTGGCCAGGTGGGCAACGTGGAGATGCAGGACTTGTTTTTTACGACGAAAGGGCCGACGGCTGGTGCCGTGCTTCTCGAGTGGAATATGGCCGCCGACGCCAAGGGGTCGGCTGCCCTCTGGGACTGTCACGTCCGTATTGGCGGTGCTACCGGGACCGATCTGACGCCGGCTGAGTGTCCGGCCCTGACCTCGGGCATCGCGCCGGGCTGCAACGCCGCCAGCCTGATGATGCACATCAAGCCAGGCGCGTCGGGCTATTTTGAGAACATGTGGCTGTGGGTGGCTGACCACATGATTGACGATCCGGATCTCGAAGACGCCAACAACACCATGGTGCAGAACTCGGTCTACGTGGCCCGTGGCTTCTTGATCGAGAGCACCGCGCCTGTCTGGCTCTATGCCACGGCGTCGGAGCATGCAGTCTATTAACAGTACAACTTTCACAACGCCGCCAACATCTTCACCAGCATGATCCAGACCGAGTCGCCCTATTACCAGCCCACCCCGCCGCCCCCCGCTCCGTTTACCAGCGCTGTAGGCAAGTTCCCTGGCGATCCCGACTACACCTGCGCCCCCGGTGATGACGACGAGTTCAACGGCTGCGATGAGTCCTGGGGCGTGATCATGCGCGGCTGCGAGGACATCCTCATCGCAAGCGCCGGCCTGTACTCATGGTTTTCGACGTACACCCAGGACTGCATCGACGGGCAGGCATGCCAAAAGGCCATGATGCTGCTGCAGGGCAACCACGCCAGCGTGCGGATCCAGCACCTCGTCACCATCGGCACCAAATACATGGCCGTCATGGAGGGTCAGGGCATCCTGGCCACGGACAACCTTAACGTGGACGCGCACCCCTTTTGGTCGCAAATCTCGATCCTGGACGTCGCCAGCGACGGCGCCCAGTTCAACGACGTCATCTGGGTCGATCCGAACATCTGGAACATGGACGAGCCCGAGTTCTCGTGCGCGCCGCCCTGCAGGGTCAAGCTCCCCCCGTACACAGGCGCCACCTCGGTCGTCAACTTCCCGCTCATGACGGTCAGCAAGGACGCCTGGACGAGCACCATCACGGTGCCGCCCATGACCCTGTCCAAGCTGGGCTTCGAGATCATGACGCTGGGCGAGGGTGGTGGTGGTGGCGGGGGGCTGAAGCGCCGCACCGCGTTTGGGTCCATCTGGCCCGTCCCCGCCACGACCAGCAACTGGCCCGTCGTCGACTATCTCGGCCCGGACGGCAAGTATTCGACGGCCAGCCCGACGGGGGCCTTCCCGACGCCCCCGCCGTCCATCGGGCCCGGCGCGGCGCCCCCGCAAATGGGCGCCTGGCCGGCCCAGGCGCTGGTGGCGCACGCCGCCGCCGTCGACCCCAACGCCGAGCTCGAGGCTGAGGCTAAGGCCTGGCTGTGCTGGCAGGCCGCCGAAAACCCCAGCTACTGGGACCTCGATTTTGTGACGGATTGCCCGGGGTACGGCGTCGGCCAGATGCCCATGGGCCCCGGCGACTCCGGCTCCGGCTGGGGCTGGGGCTGGGACGTGCCGCAGATCACGGGCAACAGCACCTTCCAGGGCGAGCATGTGCTGTGCGAGCTCCCGGAGACGTCCACCACCACCACCTCGGCAACCAGGACGACCCCGACCCAGACCCCGCCGACGCCGACCATGGACCACGCCGATCCCAACAAGAACCAGGTCAACTGCTTCAACAGCGGTCGAAAGATGAGCAACATCCGGCTGCAGAACGGCCGCAATTCCGCGTGTAACCACATCGAGTGGCTGGACAGGGTCTCGGGCCGAAAGCGCGCGGGCGGCGAGCTGCAGGCGGGCTTCGTGGCCGACGGCATCTTGCCGTTCAGCGGGGGCGAGGAGATCCATTGGATGTTTGAGGTCAAGGAGGGGTGCGCGTGGACCTTTGACTTTGACGAGTGTCTAAAGTACCTCAAGACCCCTGTCGACAGCTGCGACTGTGGCGGCGAGAACGGCAAGCAGGGCGGCTGGGGCGAGAATAATTGTCTGAAGTGGATGTTTGACCCGAATAAATCGTGGTAGGTAGTTTGACAGGTTCTATCTGTTCCAAGTTTCTTATGTCATGTACCTTCGATCTGTTTAATATATTATGTACAGTAGTACCTTACCTAGGGCCTTTCATTGAATAAAACGATAACAAGCAGCATTCTCACAAGCTCGCTTCGCTAAGTGCCGAAATCTGCTTGTTATCGTTTTTTCCCCCCAACAGTCTATCCACAAAAGTCATTGGGTTGACACAGATGTCAGGGCAGAGCACGCGGGTTCACAGCGCAAGTGTGACTTCTATCTCGTCGCCAATCATGACAGATGGGTTGCTGAGATTCTCATCGTGTGGGCGCCTACTACCACTTCGCCCTCAGCTTCGACGCCAACTATCGCCTTATCGTCCGAGACCTGGGGTCCACGTATGGCACCAGCGTCATATACGACGACATGAAACGGGGCCGGTGGCGTAGTTTTGACTGGATTGTGGGCACAGGTGGCTTTGGGGTAGTCTACCACATCTAGAACGTCAGCACCGGCGAGGAGTATGCGCTTAAGGAGCCGAAGAAAGGCTCGGGCCATGATACTCAGTGGAAGAGGGAGATTGTCATCGTGAAAAGAATCAGCTACGTCAGTCCCCCATCTATATCTATCACCAGGCGGTGAATCACTGACCTCTCGTTCACAGAAGCATATCGTCTCGTTGATAAACTCGTGTTTGCCGCTGTCGCCGTGGCTTCATCTCGAATACATGCCCGAGGGCTCCATCAGCAACCACCTTCATTCCAGCAAATCCTTTAACGAGCGTGAATGCAAGCAGATTCTTGCGCAGTCATCGGACGCCCTGGCCTTCCTACACTCGCAAGACCCCCGGATCGTGCACAGAGACGTCAAGCCCAGCAACATGCTGATCCAGCGCCGCCGTCCAGACGATCTCTTCATCAAGTTCGCAGACTTTGGCATCTCGCGCAAGGGAGATACCCTCAATACCTTTTGCAGCACGTATGCCTACCTGGCTCCCGAGGTCTACGAGGGAAAGAGCATCACGCAGCGCCGGCAGCCCACTTATACAGCCCTTGTGGATGTCTGGTCGCTGGGTGTTGTTCTCGCCAGGCTCATGTGCGGACTTCCCAAACAGGAGGAAATAGACAGCATGGGGGTGGATGGTGCGAGAGCATCCGCAAGAGGGTGGAGCGGGCCCTCCGGCAGGGTCATCGCCAAGGCCGACGACAGGATTTGTTGTCGTTCGTTCTGGGATCGATGCTCTGCCTCGACCCAGATGACCGAGAGACGGCGGCGGAGTGCCACAAGGAGGCCTTCAGACCCCTGTTCGACAGCAACAGCGTTCCTGAAAGCGACAACGACCGAGGAGAAGCGGATGGCTACCACCAGCACCAGCAGTCGGACACCAAAGCGTCTACAATTCTCGCTAGCAAGGGGGATGGGAGCTTGTCGTCGCTTAGCAGATACATTTACTACACAGACGAACTGCTAGGACGGCGACGGGACTGCTCCTGCAGGGCCCCGTCTCCTGAGACGGTGGTCCTGCTCCATGCAGGGCAGCTGCTGGAAAAGCTCCGCAATCCGTAGGACAGCCTCTTTTGCAAATCTAGCTTCGGAGAGGCCTCGCACCAGGATTCTGGCTCGAACTGCAGCACCAGCGCGCCTGCGATCGTCATAATAGCTCGGGACACCGTCGTAGAGCTATAGACCCAGGAGCAGGAGGATAAGTCGTTGGATGCCCTAATCCAGGAGGCGCTTGTCAATTCCTTCAACAACGGGACTAGTGCGACGCTCTCAGTCAAGAGATCCAGGCCGGCTAACAGGTAAGTGTTATGCCCACTACCCATCTTTCACCTCTAGAGATCGAAGCTAATGCAGTGTCATTTTTCATAGGAGTCCTAGTTCTAAAAGCCCTCGAGTATTGTCAGCTACGTAATATATTACTTACAAATTAATAAAAGTATAAAACAAATAAATTAAAAAGTTTAAGCTTTTATATATATATATATATTAACTATGAGCTCCACTCGGTGTACGCCAATTTTTCACTCTGTGTACGCCTATTATGGTCCGTGCACTAAATTTAGTAATATAATTGGTGGAGCATCGCCTGCGCCTCAGTCAAAGTGGGCCCATATAATACTGCCGGCAAAATCGCACTCCGCCTTCCTACCTAACTGCCTACCTACCTATTATACCTAGGTAGGCAAAGGCACCACAGCAAGCTGCATTACTATACACTTCTTCTGAATTTAGGTAGCCTTCTACTTAGGTGGCTATCTAGGTAGGCAAGCTGGAGAACCTCCTGCCTGGGGAGGACCTCCTGGCCTAGCTTGGCTACCCAGGGCGCTTCCTAGAGAGGCTAGGCTAGTGTAAGAACCAGCGCGCGAATCAACTGAGTCACAATGAACCAAAAGATTCAGCAGTTTCGGCACCACGTGCCGAAACCTTCGCGCTCCGCGCCTTATATTGTAAGATCCCGCTGTTCGCTCCAACCTGCGCAACTCCCCCGAGATTCTTATAGCTAGATGACAATCCCTTTGATAGCGACGATAATCACAAAGTTAATCTCAAAGATGCCTCTATAAATAGTACCTACAGATTTGGCAGAAATTAAGCAAATGTAAACACTGGTAGCATTTTGCACTTATGAATTCCAATGTACTTTCTCTGGTAAATTTGCTGTAAAGATGTGTTTTAAAGCATTGAAAATCGAACTCTGTTGGTTAGTTATTGCCAAATTTGGTAGGCGGTAAGCATTTCGAGGCTGCATGTAGGACCTTGTGGCTGAAATTCAAAAAGGGCGTACACGGAGTGGAAAATAGGCATACACCAAGTGGAGCTCTTAACTATATGCAAGCAAAGTAGTTACTTTGACCTTGCCTAAGCTTGTGTAGAGTATTGTAACTTAAAGCAAGCGTTGCGTACTAGACGCAAATATCTACTTCTTAAATGACTCTACCATTCTAAAGCTGTAGGAGGTACAGTTGTCGACAATCACAACTTAGACCCTGGGATTCGCTGTGGCAAGTTTGAAGTGCTGGCAGAAAAATAGCAAGATAATAAAAAGTAGTTATCTAAAGTAGCAAAAGGAGCTTGAGAAACTCGAAACCTCTCGCAAATGTAAGTTTAGGGTACAACCTAGGCGATAATCATACCACTAAACCAAAAGCCCTTATACTTCTTGACTTTCCTAGCAAGATAATAAAATATCAAAGAATGGCTATCTAAAGCAGCCCAAAAAAGGGGCTCTCCGAGGATTGAACTCGGGACCTCTCGCAAATATAGGCTTGGGGTATACCCCTAAGCGAGAATCATACCACTAGACCAAAAGCCCTTAACGCTATGTGATTTTTAGAATATTTTATAACGGTAAAGCATGCTACTGGCTAGGGTTGCTTAGTCAATACCACGTGGATCATGAACAGCACTGACGTGGGGCATGCTAGGGTACGGCCTATGATGAATATCTGCCTTTCTTACAATATAGAAGTCGATATTATACGACTAGGCAAATGCAAGCATTGCTTGAGAACAAGCAAAATGACTAACTCATCCAAATGGAGGCCTCGGTTTTCAATCTCTTCGAGAGCAGCTGTTCCACGATCACCACTACGCTGGATAGAATACATTTGCTGGGCTCCCTCCCTTGAACCGCCCATGGAGAAGGTCAGCTCATTCGAAGGGACGGTAGGGAAGTTAGAGGAGAATGGCATGGCATATGTTGTGGACTCGACTTTTGATTAGAAGCCAACTGGCCTGAACATGCTGCGGTACTGCGGTAAGGCCATGCAGCTGTGAAGTCTATATAGTATAGCTGCCGGTGTGAAACTCTAGACTAAATACCCAGTGGTAATCGGGAGATGGCGGAGATATGACCCCTTGGTTCTTGTCGACAGTCGAAGCAATGGACGGATGGATGCACCCTGATCTTAACGTACAAAGGAGCCTTACCTTAGAGATGCGTCTTCTTCCTGGACCGAATTTGCCCGAGAAGGAAGTCGTGATGTTTTTAGTTCGGCTGACGTTGTATGCTTGCGACAGGTGCACCCAATTCCCAGACCTTGGAAAGAGTTCCATGTGCCGAATGTTTTCCGACCCAACTACACGATCCGGGGCCGGGGTCCGCACCCGGTTGGACCCGGGACAATGGTACCGATCAGGGGTGTGCTTTGTATTTTCGATAGCGTGGAGGTGGGTAGCTGAGCTACTACCCATTACACCACCGTACCGGGATCGCAGCTTATTAGCAGCATGGCCGGCCGATGGTCTCAGTGGCGGGACCCCTTGGCTACGCCCCTCCCCCTACGCTACCCCTAACTACACTAACGATATCCACGATGCCGTCTTTGGCTACGGTGCCAAGAGTCTCAGATATTATCTTCAAGGGTATTCTCCAAGCAGTTATTTTTCCGATGATGGGGTGTTGTCAGCGGGTTAGTTGGTCAAGGTCAGAAATGCGAGGTGGGCTAACATCGGGACGTTAAGATATATAGGGGTTTACTTCGCAGTCTATTGCAGATGCGACCATTAAGATGTTTGTGTAGATAGATGATGTATAAGGTGCTGCTTGAGCTGATGGCAATTATATACGTGCATGCGTATTGGGTGAGTAAAAATGTAGCCCACCAAAAAGGGGGGTATCTAGGAAAGCTAAACTCCGACTTTTCTTCTTTATTCTCTCGGGCGACGGCTGAATTGTTCCACTCCGGTTTGCCCCCTTCCATGTCATAATCATACACACTGATAGGATTAAGGGGTATGGTATGTTTCCTTTTTATATGGCAGTAGGCTTCGCCTCCTTGTTCTGCTTGAAGTCGCTGCTCGACCTGGAGTGGGCGTCCTGGTTGTTCTCCTCGCCGCCGACGAAATGAACGCGCACGTCGGTGGTACGCATGATGCCGTTGTAGGTCATGATCTCCTCCTCGGAGCCGCTGGGGGAGACGCTGCGGCACTCGGTGTGCTGGGTGCGGCTGTTGCCGACGCGCATCGACTTGAGGGCGATGCTGTGGTTTGGGTTGCTGCCCAGGTGCGACGTCGTCTCGCGGTGGTGCATGCCGCTGCGTGGCGTCCCGCCAAACGTCGGCTGGCTGTCGTACTTGTTGGCCCCCGGGCCGTACCTGAAGCTGGAGCCCCCAAACAGGTTCGGTAGCCAGGCCCGGAACAGCGGCCGCAGCGCGGGGGCCGATGCGGAGATGATGGCGACATTGACCTCGACGACGTTAAGGGTGATGCCGATGTCGTAGTACGGATCCTTGTTAGGTTCATAGACGTAGAATAACTTGTAGACATTGACGAGCCGGACGATACCGATAATGCTGACACTAATTACGGGGGAGCGGCAGGGTCAGTTTCGGCAGGGTTCTCTCCAAAGAAACCAAGGCAAGGAAAAAAGGGCGGGTGCAGGAGTTTGCGTGGGACTTACGTCAATCCAAGCATGAAGATACCGATCACGGCGACCTTTGCGGCCTTTGGCATCTGCAGGCCGAGGAAGATCCAGAATGGTAGGGCAATGACCAGGATATCGGTGAGGATGGTCAAGCACGAAATCGTGACGTGGAAGGAGACATCGACACACTTGGCATTTGCCATGGCCGCGGCATCCCAGTTGGCCGAGATGGGCAGGCACTGGAGGAGGGCGACAAGAAAGATGGCGACGGCCTGCAAGCCGTTGAAGAGGTTGAGCCCGTGGATGGCCCAGCGCACACCGGGCTTCTGGCCACCGAGGCGGAGCAGGAACACCAGCACCGATGCCTTGACGAAGGCGAGCACCGGGTTGTAGAACAGTTGCGCTAGATAGAACCACCACTTGCCTGGGGCCGGGTCGAATTCCGGGACGTCCTCCTGGTGCCAACCCCAGTAGTTGAGCTTGATATCTGGATACACCACGCTGCTGTCAGTCTCCTGGTTTATGCTCTCGGTCTCCTCGCCCAAGACGAGGGGGGTTCAAACACGTACACATGTAAAAGGGCCCGCACATGAGTAGGGAGCACAACTGCCAGCAGAAGAAATAAGAGTCAGTTACTTGTCCAAGCGGCGGATGCCGGAGCGTATGCAATGAGTTCGGACTGCCAAGGAAATATCTGTAAATCAGCAGAACATACCATGGCCAGACCGATCAGCAAGTCATCTGCAGGAGAACTATCGTGTTAGCGACGGGCTCAATTGAGTTGTAAAGGTTCAGCACGGGTTCACACGCACCGAGGCCCCATTGCCGAGTCCAGGCTCTGGAATAGAACCTGAGAGACAAAACCACCAATGCTATGGCCGGGAAGAAGAAGTTGAGGAAGAGGGCGGTGGCCTGTAATGGCGGAGTTGGGATCTTGGTGACGTCCCCGTGCTGCGGGCGTCTCGCCATGATCGTCGCCATCCTGGCTGGGCTGCGTTGCAGTAACAATTACTGACGTGCTGGTGTGATGGGGAAGATCGGGCGAGGGTTGAAGAGACTGAGGACAAGATCGACAGACGAGAGATCTGGGGGCGGGTCGATAATTTAGACTCCGAGGGGGACAGAGTGCCAGGGGCACTCGTCAGGCCCAAGCAGCAAGAAAAAGGCTCGATTTGTTGAAGATCCTCGGAGGGGTCAAAAGTGGAAGTGGAACTCTCGTCGAGGAAGAAGTTTGACAGTTTTAAAGACTTCCAATCCCCAACGATACCCACGTTACATGGTCTCCTTTTTTCTTGGGCTTGCAGGTCCTGCAGCTTGCATTTGGACGTATGGCCGGGGAGTCGTGCTTGGAGGAGGAGGTGGCGCTCTTTGGATTCTGGATTCAGTCTTGCACCTGGGAGATGCTACGCTATGGAACAGACTCCCGCAAGGGGGCGTCCCGATGTATCTTCGCCGAACTCTGGGAGGTGCTAGCTCATGCGCTAGGGACGACCGGTTTTCCAGGGCCAAGAACCAGCCCCCAGGGTTGGGAGTCTAGCCCATTTCGAATTAACCTCGGAGAGGCACCCAAAGATTTTCCATGGGGCTCCTCCCGTCGTTGGCCGAGGGGCGTTTGAGTGCCGGCCATGCTAGTTACATAATACTCACTATGCGTACGTATTTACTCAGCACTGAATCCCAAGAGGCCAAAGGTTCGGGGCATAAATGGATATGGGTGGTATGTATGTACTATCTATCTATCTACAGTACAGCACATCATAAATATGGCTTGGGCTCGGCCAAGCACCCTTTCATCATCTCTCAACTGTTATGGTTTTGCTGAGTGCGGAGTGGAACGGCTACTACTACCGGCAGGGTCGGGGGGAAAGGAGGCTCCCTATATGTTCCATTGATATTGCATCATTACTGCGTTCACTGCTACTAGTGTAAGTCGTAGATATGTACTAGTGTACTTGGGTATACCACAGTAGGCGAACATGCTTGCACCACAAATGTTCCTACCCTTACGGATACTCTAATATTGTTCCTGCTTACAAAATAGAAACCCCGTAGAATATCCGTACTGCGTAGAAGCTGCATGGAACCCATGCTTGCCATGCCATGCGTACCCCACGAGGGTTGCAATCTCTGTTTCCCACTTGCCTAAAATGGCGAAGACTAAAGAGCTGATGGCTTGGCATTTATAAGTCTCAGGGGCTGGCTAGCACGTAATTATTGCGTCTACTGTTACTGGGGACTGCGTATTCTCGGCAGAATCCTTTCTTTTTCCCCTGTACTCCACGTTCCCCATCAACTTGTTTTCTTTTGCGGTTATGGGTCTCTTTTTCTTTCGTTGCTAAACTTTAAAACATGGGCACTGTGCTGCCTGTTCAATGGCCGAGTGTCTGCGCAATGATTATCATCGTGTTGCTACGAGTATCTACTCGAGTATCGATGCAACAAATTGCCGAAAGCAAGCGGCAATCCATACGGCAGCTGCTATTATGAGGGAGTGAATCTAGACTCCAAAACCCCGGTGCGCAAAGCAGAATGCTGTACGACTAACCTGTATGGCGCTGCCAAGGCTGAAGATATGGCGCTGCCAAGGCTGAAGTCCCATTTATTGTGATTTTTGCAAGTCATGCTGCTCCATGATCGACTGACTAAGGGACCTAGGTACGTTGTAAGCGAACGACAAGCGAAAGACAAGCGAAAGACAAGCGAAAAGACAAGGGAACAAACAAGCGAATGAATACACGTACACCTAACCCAGTCTGTTCCTTCTCCCCCTTTTCCCTTGTTCCTTCCTCATACCGAGACCCTCCGGCCTAATTTTGGCTGAAACCATTAAACAACCACGCTACAGTAGCCTCCTGGGCGCTAAACATGGCACCATGTATTAGTGTACGTAGAGGTAGTGACGGAACGGGTAGGGATCGGTGGTTCCCATTCCAATCCGCGATCCATCGGCTCGCTGGCTCTGCGCCACCACCACCAGGCAGCAGGCATTAACCCCGCTCTGGCAGGTGCTCGGAATGGAAGCTGGCTGAGCTGTGTGGGGAAGGCGAAATGGCGAACACGACGATTCGGTCACGTGATAGCAGACCCACCCGGTTCGGCTCTTGGCAGGGGGCGGGGCGGGGAAGGGGGGACCACAAGTTGAACCCGGCATTTGATGTTGTCAGTAACCTGGAAGCTGCATAAACTGCAGAGATAATCTTGCACCATAGCAGACGAAAAACCATGCATGAAAGACTGGGATGTACACGTGGAGTGGATTGTATATATTCCGTAGTGTACATATATTTCCGTGGGGACACAGATTAAGCATCGAGGACAAGGTATTGTTTTGTTTCAATATCCAGCCGGCCCCGCCATTTTTACACTACCTACGATGTGAGGTCCATATGTACATGCCTCCACTATCAAACTGGAACATAAACGGCTGTGGGAACACGTTTAATCTCCGGTAGCGTTCCCAGATTTTCCAGGCTACAGCGGGTAAGACAATGCCGAAGAGCTGCCACAGGTGCCACCGCTTGGCCGCTTACCAGGAACGGTCCTAGGTGAGCGCCTGGTTTTCAATTAGACTGCTCACCAAGAGGAAACTATCAGAGTCCTTTTGATGAGGCGGACTGGGGTCGATGACTCGGTAGTCTGTCCCCGCGGACTCCGACCCAGCAGCCACGTTTCCACGCGAACATCGCCGGGTCATGGCCCCACAATTGCTGTGGGATGGGCGGGAGATCCAGCTGGCTGGGCCCGCCTCGCATCAGTGCATCTCACTGGGCAGGCAATATGGGATGGGATTGTGAGATGTGACAACAATATCTTTTTGTATATAACCTTGGTGCCGAGCCGTGTTGATCGTCGTCTTTCTCACCAACCCACCTTCACGGCAATTCCGCTCTTTTCTTTTTCCCACTGCCAAATCCGTGCCTGGTGGAGGACTCGGAACCGTCATATATAGAATGGCTTCCCTGGCCCGCGCCGTGCTCCTTGCGAGCCTGCTTCCCTTCTCGCTGGTCTCTGCCCAGACCATCGTCGTGGATGGCGAAGTGCTGCGTACGTGAGACATGTCTCTCTTTTGTCCTCTGATTTAGTCTTTTAGAGTGGCCTCTTCCCTCTGCTTGCGGTGCACATCCTGACGCGGCGCTGACTCCCTTCCATACAGCCGCCGATGAGACCACTGTCGCGCCGGCTGCCGAGCTGATCGACGGGACCGATGGTCCCACCAGCTTTCAGCTGACCGATGCCGTCCTGGCGAACCTCACCGACTTGGAGCTCAGCAACATCGACCTCTTTGCCTTCGACGACGAGAGTGACGCGTCTGCGAAGCGCTTCGCCTCGCCCCGGTGCAAGACCTTCCCCGGCGATGCGCTGTGGCCCTCCTCCCTGGTCTGGACTGTCCTGGACCTGTTGACCGGGGGCGCCGTCATCAAGACCGTTCCCATTGGCGCCGTCTGCTACCCGAACAACGAGCATTACGATGCTGCCAAATGCCAGGACCTCCTTGACCACTGGACCGAGTCGGCCACCCAGTAAGTAACTTTTTTTTTGTCAAACCTCCTAATGTCTCTGCGAGACAGCATAGAGTAGAACACAATACTCACCCTTGCGCAGCGTCCGTGACCCCACGTCGGTCATGTCCCCCCTTTACCAGGGCCAGACCTGCCTCCCGCAGAAGGGCAACACGAGCACCTGCGAGCTCGGCGGCTCCCCCTCGTACGCCGTCAAGATCTCCAATGTAGCCCAGATCCAGCTCGCCATCAACTTCGCCCGCAGCCTCAACCTCCGCCTCGTCGTCCACAACACCGGCCACGACTTCCTTGGCAAGTCCACCGGCGCCGGTGCCCTGTCCATCTGGACCCACAACCTCAAGAAGATCGACTTCGTCAAGCACTACAAGACCAAGTCGTACTGCGGCTCCGCCCTCAAGCTGGGCGCCGGCGTCCAGGTCGGCGAGCTGTACGCCGCCGCTAACCAGTACGGTGTTACCGCCGTGGGCGGCGAGTGCAAGGGCGTCGGCGTCACGGGCGGCTACATCGCCGGTGGCGGCCACTCGCCGCTGACCTCCAAGTTCGGCATGGCATCGGACCAGGTCCTCAGCATCGACGTGGTGCTGCCCAACGGCCGCTTCGTCACGGCCACCGAGGAGCAGAACGAGGACCTCTTCTGGGCTCTCCGCGGCGGCGGCGGCGGGACCTTCGGCGTCGTCGTCGGCATGACCGTCAAGGCGTACCCCAAGATGAACTTCGCCGGCGTCACGTGGACCGTCATGACCGGGCCTGGCACCAACATCACCGACGATATCTACTGGGCTGCCATGGAGACCTACTGGCGCCGATTCCCCGAGTACGCCGACGAGGACAGCTACGGCTACTCGAGCATGTTCCCCCTCGGCCCGCAGGGCTCCGGGTACATCTGGAACATGCTTCCCTGGATGGTTCCCGGCATCTCGCTGACCAAGTTCAAGGCCATGCTCGCGCCGCTGTTCGAGGACTGGGCGGCCATTGGCTTCAGCGTCGACCCAGTCTTCTTCGAGCACGACAACTTCTACGACGCCTGGACGAGCCACTTCCCCGTCGAGGCGGTCGGCAACACAAACCTGCACACCGCCTCTCGCCTGTTCCCGCGCGCCAACTGGGAGTCTGAGGAGCTCCTGGTCGAGACCATGGCGGCCCTCCGCAGCGTCGTCGATGAAGGCTCCGCGCTGATCCAGTACAACATGAACGGTGCCAAGATGCGCAACACCCCCGACAGCGCCGTCAACCCCGCGTGGCGCGAGGCCGTCATGTTCGGCATCTTCGGCGGCGCCTGGGACGACGGCACCCCCCTCGCCGAGGTCGAGGCCATCAACAAGAAGATCACGCACGACTGGATGGGGCGCCTGCGCCAGGTCACCCCCGGCAGCGGCGGCTACCTCAACGAGGGCGACGTCATGGAGCCCAACTTCCAGCAGGCCTTCTACGGCACCAACTACGACCGCCTCCTGAGCATCAAGAAGCAGGTCGACCCCCGCGACGTCTTCTGGGCTCCGACCGCCGTCGGCAGCGAGGGCTGGTACGTCACCGACCAGTGGGACTGGCTGACCCTGGAAACTGGCCGTCTGTGCCGGAAGGAGTAAGAGAATCCGGAGGAGTTGTATATATATATAGAGAGTACCAAGGTCCAACCTCGAGACGGGCTCTACGCCGCACCCACCGGGCAAGCCATATCATAGATTATTTTCAAGCAGGGCCTAGCCACTCATTCAACAACAAGTACACTGTTTTCATATCCTCCCATTGAAGCAGAGCTCATGTGATATCCTCACCATGAAAATGAGTCCCTTGAATGGCATGTGTTGCTTGCGTAACTCCGGTCCCGGAACCCCTGATGTCGCAGTCTTCCTCCTGAAATATGCTCGTTGTTTGATGCATACTCCTCCTTGCTGCCTGGCCCCCTGAACCATGACTGGGCTTCCAATGTAACATGATGTGGAGCCTTCGCTTCTCGATGAGAACGAGAGATTGGTTTGTGATGCAATTCCGCCCCTTTCACCGCCTCAAAGGGGAGACCAGGGTTGGTTACGATGCTGTATAGATCTACAACAACTCCTTGCACAGAAGCGAAACAATGTCAAAGCCTGAACTAGATTCCGTTCGTAACGCCGCGAACAAACCCCCAAAAGCCGACGTCAGGTCCCGAGTCCCTAGCCTTCCAGCGCCGAGACACCCCCAAACCACAGCTCCACACACACACACACACAGCCAAACCGCACCGGGCCCCAATCACTCGTCGAAAAAAAGCATAGTCCTAATCTCAATGCTCTCCCTCCACTCCCCATCCGCATGCTCGGGGTCGTGGAACGCCGTGTGCGGCACCCTGCGCGCGACCCCACCGTCGTCGACCGTGTCGAAGCACTTGATCAGCAGGACCTCGTCGGGCCGCTGGGCGCGCTTGAAGAACCACCTGTGCGGTTCGGCCGGCCGCACCGTCCACGTCTCGCGCTCGTGGTCGCGGTACACGGTCCGCGCCGCCACGAGGTCCGCCTCCGCGACGGAGCGGGCGTCCGCCACGCAGAGGGGGTCCTTGTAGATCGTCTTGATAGGGCGCCAGGCCTGTTGTTGGGGATGTTTGGCTGGGGATCAGTGTTTTGAAAGTTGGGGGTGAAAAAAGGGGTCTTGGGCACACCGGTGGGGGGAAAAAGGGGGAAGAATTAGCTCACGTTGATGATCATCCACCGTCCCTTGAGCAGCTCCTCCGCCTCGTCTGGAAGGTACCACCTCACGAGGAACTCGGCGCCGGCATACGACTGGTCGACGTGGACGCGGTGGAGGGGTCCGCGCTTCGCCGAGTTGCCGGCCCCGAGGCTGTGCCAGTTTGACGGCCCGTGGCGGGTCTTGTGGTCGAATACGAAGACGCGCGACGCTCCGGTGCTGGATCAAGGGGGGTCAGTCGGTCAGCTTCTCTGGGGGGAAGAGGGGAGAGGGAGAGTTTCTTTTCACTTCCCCCCCCCTTTTTCTTCTCCTAGGGTCGCACTCACACGTCCTTCAGCATTTGCTCCATCTCGGGGAAATATTCCGCCTTGATCTGCTTGTCGTCGCGGTACCCGTCTTGGCGACACTGGGATTGGGCCTCGTGGCGGCAGAGCTGGAAGCCGCAGCCGTCGAGGGTATATTTGTCCTCCTCACCGGTGATGTCTCTCACGGTCACCTTGGTCGGGATGGTGGGTCTCTCGTTGGTGACCGTATTTCTTGAGGCGGCGCAAACTCGGCATCAGCAAATGGGCATTGCGGAGGCACATCATGGCCGGGCCGGGCCCGGCGGAATCAGCTCTCACCCTCCAATGAAGACCGGATGGGGCGGCGAACCATCGCCGGGGTCGTTATAGTAGTTCAGTGATGCGACCACGTCTCTCGGCATGCGACTGCTCTCCGTGTCGAGGAAGCCGGCGTCCTGCTGAGACTCCGTCGTGAGAACCTCAGTAGCCATCTTGTGCGGCGTCCAGTAAACCACTTTTGGAAACAGTGCTTCGCGCAGAAATGACAGCCTGGTCACTTGATCTCAGCTGTCAACGGTACACGAGCTGGGCGCTGTCTCCCTACCTAGGGTAAGTAGGTTGTCTAGATTAAGTACGCATTGGCTGAAGACGGGAAGTTGGCCGTTCTTATGTAATTGCAATAGAATTGGACCCCTCCCTGATCAACTAACCTAGCCCCCCGCCCCAGTACAGGCGATACCTTATCCGAAACGCTATATTGATCGCGTTAAAGGGCATACGGAGCGTGTCGTATGCCATAAAACGGCATTCATCACGACATACCAGTTTCCCGTTTGGTGCATTGTCACATAACCAGGTAGTCAGAAGATTCAATCAAGAAGAATCATGGGTGTCGCGTAGGTATCTCTCGGCTAAAGCTACGCCATTTCTCGCCGGTGTTTTTCTTTTACTGTTCTTCGACGGGTCTAGAATATCGTCTTTGACCGGAGACCCCTCCAAAAAAGGGGAGGGGGAAAAAAAGTCACGGCGATTGAGTCCGCAGTATCTCCAACTGATAATGTATTTACCAAGTATATCTGACAGATTAGGAAATATTATCCAAGTGATGTATGTGTAGAGGTCTACTATATGACAAGACACGCAAGAACAGTCAAAACGTTTAAACCCCACGCTCACCCCCACGCCTACCCCACAACAAACAAATCATTCCGCCTTAAGCTGCCGCATTAGCCGCCGCCTTGACGACATCAAAGTAGTACAAGCTCAGCCTCAGCCCGGCGCCGCAGAACTCGCTCGAGTTGCCCTTGCACGCGAAACTGCAGTCGGAGTTGCTGACGTTCCCGCCCGGCGTGGCGCCAGCGTTGCCGACGATGTTGAGGACGTCGCCGCACCAACACTCGCTGCCGTACTCGACGCCCGCGTACCGGTAGGTGGAGCACACCGAGAGGCAGTGCTCGATCGTCATGTTCTGCACGCCGTTCTCAACCAAGTTCTTCAGCACGCGGCCCGAGGACGGCTCCTTCATGCACGAGTAGTACGTGAAGTTGACGTTGCCGGGCGACACGACGGGCGGGCCGGTGTAGACCGGGGCCGTGGACGAGGAGGTCGTGGAGCTGGTTGGGGAGATGGTCGAAGAAACACTCGACGACGAAGGGGTGCTCGAAGGGGTGGTCGACGGGGTGGTCGACGGGGTGGTCGACGAGACGCTAGACGAGGGCGAAGGGGATGCCGAGGGGCTCGTAGAGACCGCCGGGGCCTTGCTGTACAGCTGAAGCCTGTTGCCAGCGCCGCAGAACTGGAGACCGTTGCCGGGACACGGGAACTTGCAGTCGGCCTGGTTATCGGCCATGACGCTTCCGGGGTTAAGCAGGTTTCCGCAATAGCCTGAGCAGATGGTTAGTCAGTTATCCGTCTTGCGTGAGAACACGAACTGGGTGCTAAGACTTACATTCACGCCCGTACTCGGTTCCGAAGTATGAGTATGCCTTGCAGAAATCTGCACAGGAGTTGAGGGTCATGCTGTCGTTCGCGTAGGTGGAGCTGGACAGGGCGCGTTTGTTGGTGGCTTCGGTCCAGCAGCCTTGGAATTGCCAGTCGCCGATGGTCTTGTCAATTGATGGTCCGGTTGGTGATGGTGTGGGTGATGGCTTTGACACGGTCGGGGTCGTCGAGGGGGTCGAGACTGTTGGGATCGTCGACACCGTTTCCACCGATGAAGATGCGCTCGGTGTTGTGACTACGGAGGGCGATGCGCTCGGGGTGACGATCAATGTGGGTGGCGCACTCGATACCGGCAAAGACGGCGACGCTGTCGTCGCGGGGCCGCTGATCTTCTGGTACAAGTTGAGCCTCTGGCCGGCACCGCAGTACTCGGTGGCGTTGCCTGTCGAGAGCATGAGCAACTGTCACGCCGAATTGATCAAGGGGTATAGGGCCCATGCATGCATGGAACTTACCATTGCAGGTCGAGCTGCACTCCGAGAGAGCTGTCGAGCTAGCTTGGTTGCGGATGACGTCGCCACACCAGCACTGCGTGATATCCCGTTAGCATTCGAGTTTGGGCAAAACGCTACTCGGACCAAGGGTAGGTAGGTCGTCGCTTACCTCTCCGCCATATTCCAGACCGGCATACGTGTATTGCGCGCATGCGGCGAGACAGGCACCCACGGTCTTGGTTGTGGTAGCCACCTGCTTGTCGAAGGCCCTGGTGTTGCCGACGCCCTCGGTGTAGCAGCCAATGCTCACGAAGCCATTCACGCCGGGGTTGACAACGGGGCCACCGGCCGGAGGAGTGGGGGTGTCCCCACCGCCATCACCACCGCCACCGTCCCCGCCACCGTCCCCGCCATCGCCGCCGCCTGGGCTTGGCTCACCGTCCAGGGCGAACAGCGAGATGTACGAGCCGCCGGCACCGGACCCGACGCCGTTGCCGCCGCAGATCTGGTTGATGTCGCCCGTGCAGTAAAAGTTGCAGTTCCCGTCAGCGACCTGCAGAGTCGGCACGTTGGGGCCGCCCCAGCACTCGCGGTGGTATTGAGTACCGCAGTAGGCGTATCCGGCCTTGGCGCAGGCGGCGATGCACATCTGGCTCGTGCTCGAGTCGTTGCCGTACAGCTGCTGCTTGAGCTGGCGGCCCGGGTTGTTCTCCTTGTAGCAGCCCATGTAGCGGTACGTGCCCTGGCCGTTGGCGCGCAGCGGCGGCGCCTGCTCGGCCACGGCGGTGCAGGCGAACTGGATGAACTGCTTGCCCCAGGCCGGGTCGTTGGTGTTCATGGTCCACTGCGCCGTGCCGAGGTACGGGTCCGTGTTCCACTGCGCCTTGGGCACGGAGCAGAAGACCGTCGCTGTCGCGCTCTCGCCCGGCGCGAGGTTGGTGCCCTCGCCGAGATCAACCTGGTTGACGGCGTTGACGATGCCGCCCACGCCAAACGGCGGCTTCGATACCGTGATCGACAGCTGCATCGCGCCCGGCCCGCCGCTGTTGGTCAGCCGCAGCTTCAGATTCCGCGTCGTGTTCTCCGTGACGTTGCCGAACGTGAAGTTCATCCCCGGCACGTACTCGACCCAGCCCGAGCCGTCGGGGGTCTGGAACTCGAGGAGCGCCGCCGGCGCGGGGCCTGACGACGCCTGCACAACAAGAGTCTCCTTGCCGCCGTCGGTGTCGACCACGACGTAGACGGTGAAGTTGCCCGTCTCGGTTGGGTTGTACGTGACCGTGACTGTCGCCTCAGAGTTGGCTCCAATGACGGACGGGAGGCCCTCGAAAGTAAAGGGCCCGACACTGGATCCGTCGGCTGTGACGAAAGGACCGTCGGGGCCGTTCTCGGAGTATTTGATGCTTGAAATGCTGAGGTCCGAGTTGCCGTCGTTGGAGAAAATGGCCGTCTGTGACACAGGTTCCCCTCCAACGGCGACCTCCTGGAAGGTGACGGTTTCGGGAGAGATGTCGAGGAGAGGGCCGGCGCTCTCTCCAGTGCCCGAAAGGCGGACCGCGGTCGTCTTGCTGAATCCCTTCTGGCTGTTGGTGGTGCTGAGGATGGCGGTGGCAGAGAGCTTGCCAACCTTGGCGGGGTTGAACGTGGCGCTGAAGCCGAAGGTCGCGCCCACGGCTAGCTGAAGAGGGAAGGTCGGGAGTCCCTCGACGGCGAAGTTGGTCGTGTCGGTCAGGTTGAGAGAGTTCACCGTGACAGGAATGTTGGCCTTGCAGGTGATGGTCTTGGTCTGGGTCTCGGCGCCAACATCCTGGGCTCCAAACTCGTTGGGGGATGTGCAGTTGAGTGCCGCCACCGTCGAGGCTCCCCAGCCGTAGACGTAGCCCTGGTTCGAGCCCATGTAGACCCGGCCGTCTCCGAAGACTGCTCTGGTGAACTTGACGACGCCGTTAATCTTGAAAGACTTGATGAGGACCATCTGGCCGGCTTCCGGGATTGCATTGTAGATGCGCAGGCTGTCTCCCTGGACGTCGGTGGTCCAGACGAGGCCGGTTCCTTCCTGGCCGTTGAGGGACGTGACGGTGCCGTGGCTGACGCCGAGGATGTATGCGTTGGATTCGGGGCTGTCGGCGACCTTGGTGAAGGAGGGGACTCCGTTGCTGCAAGAGAACTTGAAGACGTGGGACGGGTATCGGATGACGTTGATGTAGACGTATCCGCCTTCCAAAGGATACACGCCGGCGCCGGCGTAGACCGAGTTCTCATTCTGGTAGACCTGGATGACCCTGTCGCCCTTGTTTGGCCCGTTCATGTATCCGCCCAAGTCGTCCAGGTTCAGCCAGTACGTCTTCCCGCTCTTGCCGGTCACGACACCGATGCGCGTGACGTCGCCGCAGGAGAACTGGCTGGGCAGGATTTCAAGGGGGCTCGTTCCGAGATCCTTGTCGGCGCCGTCGAGGGCCCGTTTCTCCCAGGGCATGAAGAAGTCGATGATGGACAAGCTGCCGTCGTCGTTGATGGTCATGTGCACGGCGGCCTCCTCGAGGGCCGTCGGGGGCTCGCGGCCGTTGACGGGGATGTCGGCGAGCTGGGATGCGTATCCGTTGCCCGTGGCAAAGAAGATGGATCCGCGATCGTCGGAAGCAAGGCCTCCTCCAGACATCCAGACGCCGCCGCCTTTGGTGGTATCCGGGACTCCGGCGCCCTCGGTGGCGAATCGCTCGACGGTGGCACCCGTGGTCTTGTCCCAGCCCATGATCCAGCCGGTGAAGTTGTACTGGACACAGTGGGATGCGAAGCCGGCGTAGATGAACTGGCCCGTGTGTAGGAGGGCGGGCCTCTGGTGGTGGATGCCGCCGTTGAAGCTGCGGGAGGGGTTGTTCCTGGCAACGGTGCCCTCGAGATCGACAGGGAAGTTCGGTCTCTCGCTCAGGTCGTTGACGTCGAGGGCGTGGAGATAGTAGCGGCCTTCGGGCTTACCCTGGGCGCCATTGCCTCCGGCCTGGTTGGCATAGGTCTTGGACGTGTAGTACAGCGTATCGGTTTCTGGGTCGATGACGCCGGTCGAGGTGATTCCGACGAGCGGGTTGATGTCGACGCATCCGTTGAGGTCGGCGGTCAGGAAAGGGATGTGCAGGTTCCTGGAGGCGACGATCTGGCCCGTCTTTGCGTCCAGCTTGTACACGTTGTTCTGGGTGGTCGCAAAGTAGACGTACTGTACGCCATCCGACGGCGTGTAGACCAGGGGCTGGGAGAAGATCTGCTCCGCAGCGCCGTTGTAGTTCCCGGGCAGCTTGGTCTGGAAGATCTGGGCAAACTCATCACTCGCCACGACCGCAGGGTCCATGTTATGATTCCTGCCGGTATCGTCAGCATCGACCGTTTCCCGCACATGGTCATCGTCAGCGTCATCATCTGCTCACGTCTGATAGCCAGCTCTGGAGTTGTCACCGCCCCAGGTGATGGTGTCTGTCGAGGCCAGACAGCTGACGAGGCTGACTGCCGTGGACAGCACCAACATCAATGTCGCCATTTTGGACATGATGATGATGTCGAAGCCGACAAGGTTTAACGAGTGTGAGGGTGTCGGCGAGAGGGTTCCATCTCAAGCCGGAGAGGGGAGGCTTGACGAAGCCATTGTCCTATTAGTATGAAATGGATAGGCATGAATCGTGGCCCTGCCAGGCTCCCCCAGTTGGCAGTAGTCAGTCGCCTCTCTCTCTCATGGCGCCCCTCCCCGTCGCGTCAATTCCGGGCGGCCAAGGGTGCGCTAGGGATTTTTCGACAGGGGTTTCTGGGCCGATCCTTGCTCAATTAAAATGATAGAGTCGCTTATTGATCTAATCTATGAGCCCCACTGAGACCACTCCAAGCCACTAGGTGGGGGAGAATAAAAACAGGTGGTGCCGTATGCGGAAAAAAAAAAGAGAAATCGAACGTGTTGCCCGGGGAGCCCCTGGCTCGCCAGCACCGAATCTTGCACCAATCCATCCACCCACGACCAAGGCACTATTTGCGACCCAGCCACAGTATCGAATGAACTAACTAGCAAAGAAAGCTATTGGGGTGGTGGTGAAGAAAGTTCTACAGGCCAGGAAAATGGTACTACGCCGTACACAGTAGTAGCTCTTTGCCCCTCGAAGTTGCATGCGCGCTATCGACAACAAGGGCAGGCAGCGCATCCCGGGAAAAGGCCTTCCACCAATGCCCGCTAACGCCGCTGCAACCCCCAGGGCCATCTTATTAATAAAGACAGGCGAGGCTGGAACAGTTGCCACTGGAAGTCGAAGAGAAGAAGCAAGGACCACGGACAACTTCGTATGTGGCGCCGATTATTGCAGGCGTGGCTACCCGGAGAAGGCGTCGTGCGACAGCAAGCCCGCCAAGAGAAAATCGACGCCCCACCCGGAGCTCCAGGTTCCAAGTACCCGTCTGCCAAACAAACTGAAAATAGAAGGAAAATGCAAAATCGAAAAAAAAAAAAAAAATTTACAAAAAAGAAGAGAGAGCAGGGTACCTACCTGCCTGGAGAAGATAATTACACCGATACTTGCAAACATAACCAACCGTCAATGAATAAGCAAGGAATTTCAAGTTGCACCAAAACTTGCCGGATAACCGGCTCCCAACCTCAAGAATCGAAACCCAGCTCGGCGCTAAAACGTGTACCCTCTGGTCTCCGCATTGGAACTTCGCCTCCTTCGTCGTGGAGTTCGAGATTCGATTCCAGGAACCTGGTCCAAACCACACTAGGCTGTCCACTAGCCATTGGCAAGTCCCCACATCGGGGGCGTCGACGGAAGTCGGGACCGTGGGAATGGGAAGATGAAGTACCCCGAGTTGGGTGGGTGTGGGCTAAAAAAAGGAACGTGTGCCAAAACAGGCTAACATATGCTAGGTTGTTGAAGATGCACTAATCTAATCGGATCTAGTGGGGGGTAGCTCGAGTCTTTCAATCCCATGGTCCAATTGCAGGGCCGCATTGGTGCCAGTGTGCCTGAATTGCTAGTCCCCGCTGGATCCGTCTGAATTTTGGGTGCGGGACACGTGTATTACTTCGTATGCGCATGTTGCCGTTCGAGTCTCGAGTCTCGAGTCTTTGGATGCCCCACACGCTATCCTTCCAGCTTCAATGCAAACTAGAATGCTTGCCTCGAGCCATGTGTTCTGCCCCTCTCCTTTCCAGTGGACGCGTGGGATTCTCCTTGGAGACTAGGGGGTGGAGGCACATACAGGGCCAAGAAAGCTGGCACGGCTGGCTGTACCCTCTGAGCGGTAACGCAGTCGAGACAATCCATACAACGTACTGCGTACCCGCGTTATTGCCTTTTTTTTGTTTGCACTTACCTAACGATTAAGTACAAGATGGGGGGGTTTCGCGTCTTGGTCCTCCGAAGTCGCAGCGCGGGATAGCCCATTGCCCACGAACTATAAACGCCACAAATCCAGCCACGAGCCTCGCTTCTTGCCACTTGTGTCGCAAAGGGAAAGGTGGAATGAGGAGTACATGCTATGAATCAGCGGCACGAGAGCCGCAAAACAACCTCAATGCAGGCAAGGTAGTTTCTCCCCCCCCCACCTCTGACGCGGACCGGTGTGTGCGCGACTTGTATTGTACCAGTTAAGGGCAAGGAGAGCGAGACCAGATGAACACAAGAACCATGACACGGCCGAGAGAGCAGACTCTGGTCTGGTTGTATGTATGACAGTACGCACCCTGGGATAGATCTTGGGGCTGTCAAAACACCGAGTGACCCAGCAAATATTCCATTCGTACTTAAAGGGGTCCTGGTATGCAGTCGTATCCCGGTAATAGATCTACCCCTGAAATCTCTGGCTCGAGGTTCACTGCTCACTGCTCAGATCATCATGTACTTCTAGCCAAGGGAATTGAACTTCTCAACCGGGCTATCTTCTTGGCCTTGGTCATGCCATTGACTGCAGCACCGAGGTCGGTTTCCAGCATCGTGTGGTAGGTCTTGGTCTAGGTCCTGAATAGGACAAGCGTGGACCCGACGAAAGCCTCCCTCCTTGGCCAGGGAAGAAATTCCCTACGCGGAAGAGCCTCTTCGTCCGCCGAAATGGGTCGGTCTGGGCAGAGTGCCTTAGCGAGGAAGCTCCCTAACCGACTGCATGCCCCCAGACCCGCCCAGACTCCTGGCAGACTCCTGACAGATGCAGCCCTGAGCCTTCAAAGTCAAACTAACCAAAAGCACCAGATTCATATGCTGAAGTCCGACTAGTCTACCTAATATTCGCACTATGGGCTTGGATGTCAACAACACTCATGCTGCTATCAGCCGCACTCATGCGCAATGAAAGCGGTGGCCCCCTTTATTAATCAGGTAATTAATATTGACCTACTGCGCCAGCTTTCCGGAATAGCTTGCAATTCTCGCTGAAGAGCCTCATCCAGCGGTCACTCAGGGGTCCCACCCCACACGCCTGTTAGTAACTATTACACAGGGTTGAAAATCCCGTAGAGCACCCAATGACGAGCCAGGACATCCTTCCGACCCAGGCCAATAATGTCTTGGGCCCGAGATCTTGAAATGTTCAGCAGGCGTACTATATCCAAAGCTGAAACTCAAAGTTCGCTGGGTCAGAACTAGGCGTCCAGCCCTTACCCGCTACTCTCTAGTCTCCAGCGGCACAGCCGTCACGGGGAGGATGACTCCCTCAACGTCCCTCAAGAGGGCAACTTTGCGAATATCATCCAACCCTCTTCACATTGGTACTCTTCTGCATAGCCTAACCGTCCGCGGGAAACCCTGGACACCCGCGATATCAATAGTTCGAAACTTCACGGCTGAATGCCCAAGCACAGACTTCTCTATCCTTCCCTTGGAATCTCCATGAACCCCGCCACCACCGTGTCGTTTCCATGTATATTCTTCCCTACGATCGTGAACGTCGGTCCAGTCTAGGTATGCAACCCAGACCCCATGGGCCGGCGGTTGCGGAAGTCATGTAGCTTTCCACCACCCACCCGCCCGACCCCTGAAAGCTGATATGGCCCGTATGGGCTGGTTATATTTGGCTGAGCCGGTCTCGATCCTACCCATCCATATTGGGTAGGTGTCGCGAGGGCTGAATTAATACCAAGATGCCTCTATCAGCAAGTAACCCTCATGATTCTGCGGGGCAGGGATTCCGGGCCTCCACTTCTTGTTGCCAGGTGGAGCATGGAAAAGACCATCTGTCGGCCACGGAATAGCTACAGCGATGGCGACGGCGGCAGCGACGGCGAGAGTGCTTTAGCAATAGCGACAGCAAATTTAATCTTTATCATGGCAATAGAGAAATCCAAGTGCAACATCAATCAATGGCAGCAGTGACAGTCATGGTGACGGGCAATAGTGACAGTGGCGGCGATGCCAACGCCGGCCAACGGCGACGGCGACGTCTGCCAAAGAATGCCTGCCATTTGTCAAAAAGAATTGGCGGCCTGGAATACCTCCTCGATCTGTTCACCCCAACTCACATACCGAAGATAAATATCCGCATCCGTGTACACAATGATATACTCTGTTTCACATCTTGACGGCTCCTGACCTCTCGCCCGGCAAGAAAGGGATACCTATTAGAGCCTTGGCTCGCATTGCACTTTACGACACTCGCAATCGAGATGGACGGCCGAATTGATCCCATCTTTCCCTTCGACGACAACGTTGTATTCTGACAGTCTAGCTTTTTTATGAAACAAAACCCACTAGGCCAGCTGTCCCTACTTTCACCCGATGAGGTGAGGGAGAAAGGCCGTCAATAAGAAGATCCCCACGCCACGATTCTGCCACGGCCTCCGCCAGTAACTTCCTCGTCTCTCGGAGTGCTAGTCAAGATCTCAAATCTCCATAGCCGAGGCTCAGTGTCTTGTTCTGCTCCAAAGGTTCCTACCGACCTACCGGTGCCCGAGGTATACGCATGACGGAAAGATGGAGAGCAGACATTTATTTATATGGAGCTGGTTGAGGGTCTGACATTTGAGGAGAGCTGGAATGACCTTAGTGAAGCCGTCAGGTCAGGGTTGCGGTTTGCCAAGAGCTTCGAGATGTGGTGAAATCATGGTGAGGGCTACCCCAGGACGTTGTATCCAATGTTTCCTTTATAGGTGAGTTTGACATTCCATTATCCTTCTTCGGACCCATCTTCCTGTAATATCTTCCTATTGTCAAATGTCTTTTCCAATACATCCACAAGTTAAAACCAAAAATTAGGCGACGTCGGCGGACAGTCATTATTAGTCTTCACGCACGCTTACCTGCACCCGAGCAACATCATCCTGTCGTCCCGGATGACGGGTAGTCGGCGTGTAGTCACGGTAATCGACTGGCAGCAAGCGGGGTGGTATCTGGCATATTGGGCGTAATTATTGTAAGTCGCGTTGGAGCTGGAGCTCCAAAGTCGGTGCAACGTGTGCAGAGAAGTATTTGCCTTTGATTATAGCCTTACGATTGTCATGATTATTGGGGTTTTCGGTAATCAACCTTGAGCCTTTAATTCGGGGAGATTAGGCGACTGGTTCACCTTACGGGTGGGTTACTCTTGGCTCAACATACATACATACAGTGACTGCCTATGTCATTCGCAATACAGCTCTGTAGGAAGGAACGATAACTATATTCGGTGCTGCCAACTCCCTGTCACTCCAGCCTGTTCGCTGCATTTCCACACTCGAAACTAGGATATTTACATACAACACTCCACAATGACACGCGCCGATTTTCCCACCGCCAATCCGACGACCTCTACCAGCCGCGACAGCTAAGAAGTCATGACGGTAATGGTATGCACAAAGCGGATGTCCCCGCCCTCGACGCGGAACTCGTGGCTGTCGGGGTCGGCGCCGGCAAAGTCGAACATGATGTCGACGGCGCCCAGGACCTCGTCGATGACGTACCTCCGGTTGACGTGCTTGATGCCGCTGGGGATGCCGGCGCTGCACGGCTGCACGTACGAGCCGCCCTCGAGGCGGGCGCACGGGGTGCCCCACGGCACCTTGACGTTCTTGTCGTTGAACAGGTCCAGATACGCGTCCCCGACCGCCTGGATGACCTCGCGCGAGTCGCGCTTGTCCTCGGCGATCTCGCCCCAGTCCTCCTGCGACGCGTACTTGAGCGTCCCGGCCGCGTCGAAGAGCCAGTCGCCCTTGGAGGTGACGAGGGTCTCGACCTTTGTGAGCGCGCCCGAGCTGTTGTCGAAGCGCATCTGCGTCCCGATGACGTGCGGCGTGCCGGCGGTGACAATCATCTCGGTGTAGGTCGCGCACTGCGTCGTGTCGAACGTGCTGCGGTTGTGCGCCACGGCCAGCGGCGTCGCCAGGATGCCCGACGCCAGCGTCGACGCCTTGAAGTTCTGCGTGTACGTCGCCGCGTCCGACGCCGCCTTCAGCCCGTCCGGCTTGCCGGCCACCTGCGCCGCGACGTACGCGTCCGTCTGCGCCTTCAGGAAGTCGCGCGTGCACGTCGTCTCCGCCACGGGCGCGGCGAGCGCGCCACCTAGGCACAGGGAGGTTGCGAGAATTGAGCGTAGCATGGCGAGGGTTTTGTGGAGTAATTATCTCAAGTTGGATTGGGAGGTTTGTTCATCGATCGCCATCCTTTCCCGCCCGTCGTGCCCCTCGGGACTTATATATATTGAAGCCGTGGGTAATGTGCCGGCTGTGGAGCGGTTCCCCTTGTGGAAGAAAGGGTAATTTATATAGAAGCCAATTCCCACATATTGCATCGTTACACTGGCTTTTTCGGCATTGGATGTCGCTGGCCCCTGGCTGTTGCAGTGCCGAATGAAAACGTGCGGTTCGAATAAAAGGGAATTTGTTTTGGGTTAAAGGGGGCGTGGTCCATGCGGGGATCGAAGAACAAGCTCACCAGCAATATCCACGGCTCGGGATTTGGCAAGAAGAAACAGGATTCTAGGCCCCGGAAGAAGCCTGCCGCCAGTTGCACAGCAACTGGTAAACTGGAAGGTGTGGAATGCAGAGAAGCAAGTCCAGCCCACCCCCGTCCCTTCAATCTCGTTGGATTGCTCAGGAATGACCAGAAAATGGACAAGATGGAACAGCTGGAGGGCCGGGGATATTGATATCTACGTGGACAAATCAATAAAACATTGGAAGCTAAATGGGCCTACGATCTCGCTCTCGATGGCCTCCTTGGTTCGAACAAGACCCCCGAACGCCTACCAGCCACGCTTAGGCACCTAGCTATCTTTGACGATATAATATCCAACTAAGCGTATTTTCCACCGACGAGCATGGAAACCCAAGCTACGTCTCTCATAAGTACGTGTTCCAATTCGTCCCGGGGGCAGGGGCCAGGGGGGCAGGGGGGAGACTAAATGTGGCCCCCCTGGAATGGCGCTCGTCCTGGGGTTTTCAAGGGCAAGTAAAGGTGGGAAAGCATATCGGGGGTTCGACCGACTGTAGTATAGAAGAATCACCCTTGAAACTGCTGATTGTGGTGTGTATATTCCAACTGGAAAACCCAAATGGGCTCAGTTGTCCATGTTGATGCTACCATCTCTGCGCTACTTGGTGGGCCCTCCACCCTGGATTTTCAAGGTACTTGCTTGCTCGACTCATTACCGCCTGCAATCGTCCTCTCCAGGCCGTAGCTCTCCTTGGTCCTACCATTTTGCGTCCTTGCTGGCCAGGAAGGCCTTCAGGATCCCGACGATCTTGTCCAGAGCAGCCAGGTAGACCCGCAGCTGGGAGAGGACCTTCTCCAAGTCGGAACCCAGCTTGGCGTAGAAATCCTTGCGATACGGGCAAGCACTCATGGCGGCAGAGAAGATGGGCTTCACCATGAAGCTGTGGTGGGGCTTCAGGGTGACACCGTAGGCTCCGCGGAAGGAATCGGCGAGTTCCTCGCTCTCCTGGCCAAGGTTCTTGCTGAGGGCGATGCAGGTGAATTCCAGGCCCCTTGTTATCGATTCAGCAAAACTTGATCAGCCGGGTCAGCTTGGATTCAATGCCCACCGTGTAAGCCAGAGCAGCCCCTCGGTCGCCTTGTGGGACTTGGTCTTGAGCTCATTCCTCACAAGCTCTTGGAGGGTCTCGGATTCGCTGGGCGCGGCGAGTTGTCGTTCTCGGAGTTTCTAGGGGGTTGGGATGTCTGTCAGTATACCGGGGAGTCGTAACCGTGGCAGAAAGTGGTCGGAGACGAAAGGGGAAAAAAAGGGGCAAGGAATGGGGGCTGACAACGGCACAGACATACCTTGACATTGCCAAGCATATCGCTCTTGACGGGAGAGAAGGCGACGGAGCCCAGGGCATCTGTATTTTACAATCAATACTTGTGCGGGTATTGGAGGCGTCGCATTGGAGGGATTGTACCAAACATGGTGGTCAAGGACTCGGAAGCGTCGAGGAACTCGGTGGTGGAGATGGCATTGTCCTTCTCAGCGTCGACGGGAACGTCGGTGAAGGACTGCTTGAAGGTGTCGAGAAGAGTACCGCCGGGAGGAATAGTCGCCATTTTTACGGCCTGCAAACGAAAATAGTTCTTTTCTTAAATCAACAGAAGCACGGGGACAACAAAAGGGACGGGATGAAGATCAGACAGTGGTTAGTTACACCGCTCCCCAAATCGCCCGACGTCCAAAGTGGCCAAGGCTCCTCCCAACCCCGCGGACCCCACACCAAGGTTTAGCACCGAGTCACGTGCGGCGAGCTCCCTCACTTGTGAAGTTAGTAGTAGTCACATGCCAGTGGAGAGAACGCGCTCTTCAAATCATCCGAAAGCCAATTTGGAAAGTATATCGCTTGCGACCAATCAATTGACATTAGATGATAGAATTGCGGCTTATTACCTTGTAATGAATTCGTAGTCGTTCCGTCCTTCGTCCTCGTCTTGATCGCGGTGAGCACGTGAATACTCCCCTGCGGAGAGGTGGGGATTGCTACTATTAATAGTGGGAACTCAGCTGCCCTCTTCAACGTGACGTCACGGCCTCCTCTCTGCCCAGTGTCTCACCGCCTGCTAGGGCCAGGAGGACCAAGACAATAGATTGGCCTCGATTACAACCCCTAATAAAGGGACCTGCAGAACGACGATAGTAATCCGCTATCTCAACTCCCCCTGGTATCTTCCAATTTTGAAGAATCCGAACGCTTCAACGCCGCCATGACCAACACTGATGGTGAGCATCACGGCAGTAGCTTCACCCAAAAGCTCAAGAACCCCTTCCACGAGCTGAAGGAGAAGCTCGACAGCACCCACTTGCACAATGTCAAAGTCCACCTGAACCACAAGAAGTATGCGCCACACTCTCACTGCTGCTAGCTAGTTGGAGAGGACTAATTGGGGCTGTCATACAGGCACCAGATCGGCAAGTTTGCTAACCTCGTCCGTCCTCCTCCCAAGTGCCGTGTGTGCAAGAAATACAAGCTGCAACACACCCTAATCCTGGCAACAGGTCAATCCGCAACATCGACATGACGAGAAACACGAGAAGTTGTGCGATGAGAAGCGCACCAGGATCTGCGAATCCAACCGCTTTGAGTCCTACTTTCCCGAGCGTGACGGGAACATGGTGAAGTGGTATGTCGATGGGAGGGACTACTGCTGGGTGCGTGCCCCCTTGAACCCAACTGAGAGCTGTTCCGCCCATCTAATAGGGGAGAGTAGGCCGTGTCAAAGGCTCTGGAGAGTGCCAAGGAAACCATCTATATCGCTGACTGGTGGCTGTCTCCCGAATTATTCCTCCGGCGGCCCCCATACTACAACCAGGAATGGAGGCTGGATCAGGTCTTGAAGCGGCGGGCCGAGGCCGGCGTCAAGATCTTCGTCATGGTCTATCGCGAAGTCGAGGCTGCGTTGACCTGCAACTCGGAGCACACGAAGCATGCGCTCCAAGCTCTTTGCCCGGAGGGAACGCCCGGGCATGGTAACATAAGGATCATGCGCCATCCGGACCATAACGTTTTTGAGAATGCTGCCGACATGACCTTCTACTGGGCGCATCACGAGAAGTTCATTGTCATCGACTACGAGGTGGCCTTCATTGGCGGCCTGGACCTCTGCTTTGGTCGCTGGGACAACCACCAGCACACGCTAGCCGACGTCCACCCCGAGGGAGTTTCCAACGAGATCTGGCCCGGCCAGGACTTCAACAACAACCGGGTGATGGACTTCAAGAACGTGCAGGATTGGAAGCAGAACGAGCTGAGCAAGGCCGACTACGGTCGTATGCCGTGGCACGACGTTGCTATGGGCGTGATCGGGCCTTGCGTCTACGACATCGCCGAGCATTTCGTCCTGCGCTGGAACTTTATCAAGCGCGACAAGTACAAGCGCGACGACAAGTTTGACTGGCTGGAGCTCCGCGGCCGCCAGGGTGTGGATGAGGATCTGGTCGGCGTCCAGCGTCCAAGCCACCCCGTGGGGGAATACATCGTGCACCCCATATCGCCCCTAGAGACCAAGAACCTCGACAACCGCGGTACCGTCCACGCGCAGATAGTCCGCTCCAGCGCCGACTGGTCGAGCGGCATCCTGACCGAGCACTCCATCCAGAACGCGTACAGCGAGATCATACGGGGCGCCGAGCATTACGTGTACATCGAGAACCAGTTCTTCATCACGGCCACGGGCGACCAGCAGAGCCCGATCCACAACACCATCGGCCGCGCCATCGTCGACGCGGTGGTGCGGGCTGGGAAGGAGGGCCGCAAGTTCCGCGTCATCCTCGTCATCCCCGCCGTCCCCGGGTTTGCCGGGGACCTGAGAGACGACGCCGCGATCGGCACCCGGGCGATCATGGACTACCAGTACAAGTCTATCTGCCGGGGCGAGCACAGCATCTTTGAGCAGATCCGCAAGGAGGGCGTCGACCCGACCGAGCACATCTTCATCTTCAACCTGAGGAGCTACGACCGCCTGAACAAGACCCCGCAGATCAAGAAGCAGGAGGAAGAGTCGGGCGTCAAGTATCAGGAAGTCCAGCGTGCGCAGGCGGAGGAGGTGATGAAGGAGGGCATCCACGGCGTTAAGGACACGGAGGACGGCCGAGATCGCCACATGGGCCCCCGGTCCGCGCAGCCGAGCGCATCCAGGGGAGATCTGTCCTCGAACGCGCAAGACGGCGGGGAATCCGACGTCCCCGAGGAGGATGCCGAGGCCAAGAGGCGATTCGACGCCGCCGCGGGACCGGAAAAGGAACAGGAGGAACAAAACCCGTCGGCCTTCAGTGTGGCGCACCACACGATGGCGGGACAAGGCCCCGTCTCGGAAGAACGGTGGAACGGAAAGCCGGAAGAAGAAGTAGACAATTGGATCCAGGAAGAGCTGTACATCCATGCCAAGCTGCTGATCGTGGACGACCGCACTGTGGTCTGCGGATCCAGCAACATCAACGACCGAAGCCAGCTCGGCTACCACGACAGCGAGCTCAGCATCGTCATGGAGGACACGAACCGCGTGCAGTCGACCATGGACGGGCGCCCGTTCGAGGCCGGGTGGCACGCCGCGAGCCTGAGGCGCTACCTGTGGCGGGAGCACCTCGGCCTCCTCCCGCCGCAGGAGATGGACGCCGGCGACGACCCGAACGCGCAGCCGCCGGGGGATGACTCGCCCAATGACCCGTGGGACAGGGACGACTCGTGGGGGTTCGTCGAGGACCCGCTGAGCGACCAGCTCTGGGACATGTGGACGCAGCGGGCCACGCAGAACACTCTAGTGTACAGGCAGCTATTCCACGCCGACCCGGACGATCACGGTAAGGAAGAACCAGATATATGAATGGATGAAAGATAGGAAGCAATGCCGCTGACAATTTTCCCTTTCTTCTAGTAAACAACTTTGAGGACTACAACACCTTCCTCCCCCCCAAGGGGGTCAAGGCCGGACACATATTCGATCGCATGATGGACCCGAAGGATATCAGGGCGAAGCTAGACAAGGTCAAGGGCCACCTCGTGTGGATGCCGTTGGACTTCTTGAAGGACGCCAACATGGCCGAGGTAGGGATGCAGGTCAACCAGTTTACTGAGAGTGTTTATACCTGAGGGGGGAAGAGTGCCCCGTGTTTCTTAAAGTTGACTGGGTACATAGCTTTCTGATCATGTTATATTTCTGACGACTGCAGAACTTGAAGCCGTCAAATTGGTGACTTGACATGTAATTAGTCCACAACGAATTTTATGATTGGCCAGACCATATACCTACCTTATACATTACCGCTACTCTCATTTTGAGCCGCAATGCTGCATAAGGAAGGAGAGGGGACAAGACAAGATGTAGGTTTATACATAGGTCGCGGAGCCAGGGAAGGCACCACCGAAGCTAAGACCTTGCACAAGGACATATCCCGCTCAAGAACGGAGGGAACCTACCTTATTATCCATCTCATGGAGTGCAGGATAGGGGCTGGTGGAGGCCATCTACCAGCATTGTGAATGCCAAAGGTCAAGCACTAATCTCTGTCACCATATTTTATTTCGTTCTTCTAAACACGATTTTCTCCGTTTGGTCTCTAATACAGTGGCGTCCCCATCATCTTCTCGATGCGATCTCCTCTTGTGGACCGTAGATCGATCCAGGTGGCTTGCCGATACCCCACCCTCAGGCGAGTTCCTGTCCCCGGTGACAGCAGGGCGGAGCTCGATATCCACCAGCCACGGAAGCTGCATCGGCTGCCCCTCGTCGCCCTTGATCGCTGCATTGACGAAGAGAGTCTGGTATCCCATCTCGAGGCTATGCTCGTCTCCGCTGCAATGGCTCGTGTGGCAGCATCTTGCCTTGGCGCATGATCTGGCCTTATCCGCCTGCCCCCGAGCCGTTTTGTCGTCGTAAAATTTGGACCTCTTGAATCCGGCTAGGCTCTCGACGACAACCGACTTGCCGTTGTCTATATCTGTAAAATGAGAAGGAGTATCGCTTATTTTCTCTCTCCACGTCACCAGTCTCGCTCCCCAGCCTTCGTGGATGTGGCCAAAGCAGTGCAAGCTCGGGCGAGTTCGGGCCACGGCGGCGAACAAATCCGGGCAGCCGGCTCTCTCTCGCGCGTCCGTTAGATCCATGATCCCCTTTGGAGGGCCGTGGGTGATGACTATATCCGTCCCCTTTTCCACGGAAAATTTGTGCCCCTTTTGTGGATTGTACTCAAATCCCCAATCGCCAAGTGAGGGCGTGTACGGGCTGGCATAGACGGTCAATGCTGACCCGTTCTTGAGAATAAATCGGTGAGTGCCCTCGTCCAAGAAGACGATTCCTGCGTCGTTTGCCTGATCCAACAATTCTCTCGCCTCCCCGAATACGCCGTACTCCCTTGCCACGAGGTCTGGTTCCAATGGTGGCCTGGCTTCGGCGACTTTCTTCTTGAACATCGGTATGTCCAAAGTGAAGTCGTGGTTTCCGGCAATGACGAGCTTGAGGGAGGCGTCGATGCTCTTCAAAACCTGGAGAGATGTTCTAAATTCTGCGAGCTTGGACTCTTCGGTTAAGTCGCCGCAGTGGATGGCAACGTCGGCATGGCAATGCGGCTGGCTTTCCGGCGGGAACTCCATGCCGTGGGTGTCTGAGAGGATGAGGAAGCGAGTCTTGATAGATGACTCGGATAGTGGTGTAGGTGACGCTGCCATGGTGTTGTAACCCTTTGGGGATATCGTGGGCAGGTTTGAGATGGGGTTTCGAAGCACTGAGACGATGAGTAGAAACTGCAAGGTGGTAGCGGTGTCAAGAGTCAAAGTTAGGAACTTATTCACGATCAGGTCGAGAGCCGATTTGGAGAAACCTTATCTTCATTTCCAGACCTTTTAAAGGTCGGGTTGGGTGGTAAAACTAGCAACGCTTTTCGGCTGACATTTCACGCACCCACGACGAGAGTAGATGAGAATTCGGCACTAAAAAATTTAGGTGCAAAGAGGCGACATCACGTTCGGGGAGGGTGTTTGGGAGAGACCCGGATTTGTATTCGATACTTACGAGTCTAGGACGAGTAAGTGGCTAGCATCCTATCTAAATCCGCGAGAATTTCAGCAGTCAACCCCTCCAACTTGGCTTCCATCTTCTGCCGAGTTACTTCCCTTTTCCTGCCTGCTTGATCTTGTTTGCAGCCCACGCACATCACGGTAGCCCCATCCGGGGGGGAACGGCCACACTGGATGCAAAGGCCGGCCGCCTTTCTCCGGCCGATATACTCCTTGCTAGACCTGGCCCCTGCCTGCCTGCAGTCTATGCACTTAGAACTGGTCCCATGGGTGGGGGCAACGCCACAGCACCGGCAGAGGCCAGCCTCTTTCCGGACCCGACGTTTCTCTCTCCTCTTGTCGGTACCATCCCGCGTGCAGCCCGCGCACCTCGTCCTGTTCCCATCCGCGGGAACTTTGCCGCACTGGTAGCACAGGCCGGCCTCAATCCGTCTCCGGCGGATGTTCCTTATACTCTCGCGCTTCTGGTCATTGCATTTGTCGCGTTTTTGCTTGCAGCCCTCGCACATGTCGCTGCCGGGCTCGTCCGGCGCCTGGATGCCGCACTTGAGGCATAGGCCTTCCTGCCCTCCTAGCTCGGCTTTTTTAGCCGCCTCCAAGCGGTTCTTGCGACTCGCCGGCCTGCAGCTGTCGCACGTCTTGAAAACCTGGTCGCCGGGCTGTTGGCTGGGCATTTCATGGCCACACTTGCAGCACATGCCTTCCTGCTCTCGCTTGCGAGTTGCCTTATGGTAATACCCGCGCATCCTTACCCTGCAGCTCTCGCACTGCTTGAAGAGGCTGGCGTCGGGCTCGTGGCTCTTGTCCTTGTGGCAGCGGGTGCACTCGGAGTGCGTGCTCGCCTGCGCCTCCACGGAGCCGGATGGGTTATCGGCGCCGGGGATGGGGCCGACAACTTCGCCGATCCCCTCGGGATTGCTTGACTGGTTCGCCTCCATCGTGAGAGGCGAACCGTGGGTGTAAGATAACTTACCTGATAACTGACCTGTAAGTTGGGTGTGGTGGTGGTGATGGTGGGTGTTGTTGTTGTTGTTTGGTCGATTGCTTTGCTCGATGCTGGCGAAGGAATAATTAGGTCCTGGGGCTTCCGGCTGGTTTATATAGATTTGGGTCCGACATCTCCCTCGCTGTTGTTCCTCGATCTCATTACTCTGTTTTTCGGACAAAGTGGTTAACCGACTGAGGGTTTGTTGGGAAAGAATGAATAACAAAGGATTTATTAGGAAAAGAAAGACCATTTGTTAGGATATATTTAGAATGTGTTCAAATTCAAAAGAACAACCTCCCATTGTTCTCGATGGTGGCTCATTGTTCGTAAGCTCGGTGATTGTCATGCTCACTCATTCTTCGCTTCCTTCCACAGCCCCTTTGTTGTTTCTCTCAAGAATCTCTCTTCCAACACAGGTATCCGGATGGGTGTTTCTAGAGGGATCTCATCAACGCTGGGAAAACCTATTCCGGAAAGGGCAACCGGTCTCCAACCACGACTTCCCAAACCATGCGAGTGAGTACTGTCGAATCAGAAGCAACTCAGTCAGCAACCTGGAAGCTCTGGTCTTGCATAAATTTAACAAGAGTGGTTTTAGAGACATCGGGGCCTTCCCCTGTGTGCAACTGCCTTTCCCACGAAAATTAGGGCTTATGTGGCATATAATATATAGCTAGGTAATTATGTGAGCTTCATATGGAGCTTTCCCCTCACAGGATTCATATTATCAAAAGTAATTATTACCAGCAACAGCAACAGCCATCAAGACCAAACCCTTCCAAAATGCCGGTCCTTCAAGCAAGATCTGCTGACACGACAGCAGCAGAGGGCCAGATTATCCTGCAAGCTGCGATGGTTCAAATTGACGCCCAGGAGCCAAGCAGTTGCACGGCACGTTTTGACAAACCGCGTTGCAAGAGTGGACGGTAATATTACGTATTGTGTTTGACGTTAATTTGGAAAAAAACAGATTTTACGTCCCGGTGCCTGGATTGCTTCTCTCCAAATCAAATGGATGTCCGTCGTCGGCTGTCGGCACATATCCATGGTCGGCACCTGAGTATGAGCAGACGCAGTGCGCTGTGGTTGGCGGTTGCTCTGCGAGGGACGACTGAATAAAAGGCTTGGTCGGGGTAGGCCAGCGGAGAGAGAGAGAGAGAAGCCCCCGCCCAACGGACTCGCCCTCCTACCATACCTGCACCCACGTGCTCGACAAAACAAGGCCCCCCAAAGCAAGATGCTCGCCGTCGACAACTTCCGCTGGCTGGCCGGGCTTCTCCTCGTGGTGTCGGCCGCCCGAGTCGTGGCCGTGGCCGGGGAGGAAGCCCGCAGGAGGTGGAAGAAGCCCATAATGCTCGCCGAGTCCGGGGGCTTCGTGATCGGTGGTAAGGTGCTGCAGAACCCGCGCAACCCGAACCTGACGCTGTCGTGCGACCACGGCTACGTCGAGTACTTCATGCCCTGGTCTCCGCGCGAGACCAGCCTCGTCATGTGGCACAGCTCCAGCACGCAGGTGTGGCAGAACCGCTGGGACGGCGGCGAGGGCTTCAAGGACATGTTCCTCCGCCGCGAGTACCCGGTCTACCTCTGGGACGGCCCGCGCGTCGGCCGCGCCAACTGGGCCTGCAACACGACCTACTACGTGCCCAGCTACCGGGACCAGGGCAACTTCGCCGCCTGGAACTTCGGCCCCCGGTACCCCGACTGGTGGCCCGGCGTGCAGTTCCCGACCGACGACCCCGAGGCCTGGCACCAGGCCACCAGCGCCCGATACCAGGAGTTCGACACCATCGAGAACGTCCACCTGGAGACGGACGCGGCGGCGGTGGCGGCCGACTCGGGCCGCCTGGGCGAGAACATCGTCTACCTCACAAACTCGGCGGCCGGGCTGCGGGCGCAGCTGACGGTGACCAAGAGCAACTCGACCAACATCAAGGGCCTAGTCATGTACGAGAGCGTGGGGTACGTCTTCCCGGACAACGCGGGAGTCCGGGCGGGGTTCGGCGGGTTCGGCCCCTTCGTCGTGCCGCTCGAGGAGTTCAAGAAGCTGGCCAAGCTGTCGGCGGTGCAGTTCGTGTGGGGGGACCACAGGGACGACACCTATGTGTACGTCCGGCAGTCGCGGCAGGTGGCCGCGCTGATCAACCAGTACGGCGGGGACGCCGAGGTGCTCTTCCTGGGCGAGGACCTCGGCCTCAAGGGGAGCACGCACAGCGCGTTTGCGGATATGGATAACGACAAGGTCGCGGATGTCCTGGACGATTTCCTGGCGTCGAATGGCCTGGACGACTACGCTTAGCATGGCCTTGGCCTTGAGGCAGCCCCTTACTCTCCTTTTTATTTTACCCTTCTCTTCATTTACCTGGCCGAAACTGGTGCCCTGGAGTTGTCGCTACAACCTTGATGGCCCTTCCGAGCTTCGGGATTAGACATGAAGTGCCATGTATGGCAGGAAACTTCGTGTAATTTGGAGTGAATTCAAGGTCGAGATTATTATAACTGAAATGGCTATGTTGAGAAGTAGCAAATTACATGGAACATAAAAAGACTTTGCAGCAGGTCAGACTTAGATCAGCAAGTTCCATCCTTGCTTATGGTGAGAAGGAGAACAAGGCTTGACTGGGGCAACCAGACCTCGGACTGGGAAACTGGATCCAAACCTCGAGCTTCAGACTGGAGGTTTCCGTTCTGTCTCAAAATACAATTTAACCAGGTATGTGTCTGTCATGACGGCTATTGTTGGTCTTCTGAAACAAGGAAACACAATCTCTGGACAGGGATAGCACGGTAGAAAGATAGACAATTAATTATTGGTGTGCTGCAGACAGTTTGATCAGAGCAGGTTGAACGAACAACTGACAACAGTTTCAAACCACATCCCGAGTTCCAAAGTTCATACAGTCACCGATCAAGAAAGGAACCCATGACCTCTCAGCAACAGCCCCCGCAACGTTGAGAATCCCGTTGGGGCGGATGGGTAAGGTAGACGTCCTCAATCTGCCCAGGGAGGATCCTCAGTTCGGCTCAACCTAGGTTGAATAGACCTAGCATCCGTCGTTGGTGCACCAGCAGTAACTGGAAGTGCACTGGTAGCAGCGGTAGCCGAGACGGTAGCAGAAGTCGCTGCATCCGGGGGCGTTGAATCCGCCGCAGTACTCGTCAACACCAACGTCTGGCAAGGAGGGATTAGCGCTATTATGCCAGCGTGTGGGGCAGGTTAGGACCGAGACGTACTAGCATGCGCGAAAACGTCCTGGGTAAATGGCGTGGTATCAGAGCTGACCGCGGCGCTGGACACGGCCCCGGTGGGGCTGGCGGCGGCGAGGAGGGCGTTGGCGAGGGCAACCAGGCAGAGTGAGGCCTTCATGTTTGCTATTTGTGTGGAAGCAAAAGTGTCAATGGTATGTTTGTGTATAAGTGTTGGTGCAGTGAAGTTGGGTTGATAGAAGTGAGATATTCCCGCGGGTCGGGCACATATTTATATTCTATGTGAATCTATCTACATCGTCAGACTCTTCGTCCCCCGAGTGTCAGACGCGGCGGGATTCCGGCCAGAACACCAAAAACTGACAGTAACTTGAACTTTCCCCGTCCAAGCGCCGTGCCCCGTGAGACCCTGTGGGACTTGTCTTACTCGTTAAGTTAGGACAGCTAGAACGTGAATGCCGATCTCATGATAATGACGACCTCATTTCCGCCTTGTTGGTAACCGCAGATTGGTTGCCCTGATCATCCGATGTATCTCGCATAGTGCAACGAGCAGGGACACAGTAGGAATAAGCTACGTAGTAGGTAGGAACCCTGCATTACGCTTATTCCAGGACTGGGAAGACGACGCCGGCACTCAGCTGTAGTGCAAACCCCCTGCAGGCCGGCAATGTAAGCTGGTATCGAATTGGGCCACGTCTGCGTCACGGCATTAGTGAGTGTATGTAGTAGGGCTGAAAACTAGTTGATCATTTACGCTCCCCGCATGTGTGTCGCCCCCTTAGTGGCAAAGAAATTTTGATCGGTGTGACCACTGAAGCACCTCGGGTTGCAAAGACCAACGCGAAGGCAGACCCTTGAACCATCTCGACTCGGAAGTCGGTAAAGTATCCCGAATGATGTGGCTAGGGGAAGCAGTGGAGTTGCGGACGATGTGACAGGGAAAGTCATGTTGCTCAGCGTGTCCCTGCTCTCACAATATAATGAATTATCCAAGCAAAAAGCTATAGAATATAAAGTCAAGGGGTCATTGACATGGGAAAGACACAATAACCCAGTAAAAATGAAGAAAAAGAAAAAAAAAGTCCCTCCCAGGGGTTCAACCCAGAGTGCCTTGCACCAACTTCCTACGTTGCAGGTTCTAATACCAAGCGAGCTCATAGGCTGTTGGATAGGACCCAATCGATGTATTTATACATTAACCGTAACCATTTTCCTTTATGTTGCCTAGATCGGGGAGATCTATGTCTTCCCCAGGGCCATTTGCAGTATGACAGAGCGTGACACCAATGGCGTTCTACCACGTAATCAAATGATCTTCGACGTAGCGTGGTGTTGACCGCCGATCATTCTGTAGCACCTCTTCCAGCTCTGTGTGTCTCGGCCAATTCACACCTTGTGGCTGAATTCGGGCATGCATGGCTTATGGCTGCCCTAACCGACGAAGCTCGACCACATGTGCAGCTGGCCAACATCCGGATGTCACCCAAGCAGCAGTCATGTCCGGTATCACAACAACGGAACGACCTTATGTCAAGCATGCCACCGCCATCTTCGGACCTATAGAGAGCTGTCTGGACAAAGAGGGGTCACTGCAATGCCACCCACAGACGGTCCAGGTAACGACGAAGTGCCGAGTCTCTATCGGAGCTCGTCTCGTCGGCAGCGACCATTACAGCCTAACTTCGCCGTTGGTGTCTTCTGAAGACGGGTCCAACATTGGCGATGGAAGGTTGCGTTGCACAACAGACCAGACTAGATCACGTTCAAAGCATGATGAGGGATCTGCAACAACAAGTCCTGTTCAGGCCGTGGTGAGTGAGAATGGGATGGTACCGCTAGCCCTAAACCACGCCAGACTTTAAGTGTGGTCGTCAGATATGACAGCCAGGTGTGCTACCAGACTGTCCTGGTCTTTATTAGCTAGCTGATGATGCCTTTAACTAGGATCCAAAGTTAACCACCATGTAGGGATTCAAATCTGGATGGGGGCACAAACACATCATTTTCTCCACATGTAGTTAGATGCAGAGCTTGGGGAGTTTCAAGGGCTGATCAATAGCTATAAGTATAGATAGTACCAAAAGGAGAGCTGGCCAGGAAGTGAGAAGAGTGACTAAGTGCTGCCATTGGACACGCCACCTGGATTCAGGGGGTGATTTCAAGTCTGACGACTGTTTCCCCCTTTTGTATGAATTGAACTCCACTGCCATGTTTTAACCTCCAAGTAACCGCGACAGCTTTCTAGCGCGCTGATAGGTTTATACATGGATGGTGGATGATTGCCACTTTCGAGTATCACGATTTATATTGCATGCATTGGACAGTAACAGGTCCCATATCCCCTGAAAACTCAAAGCACCAAGAGATCAGTGTGAAGGTGAAGGTGAGAATCAGACAGCCCCTTAAGCATTTTTCGTAGACCTGCCTAAGATCTTACATAAATTAGTTAAGGCTTAATCAAAGCGTTATAAGGCGCAGAGTTTTGTTAAAGGAGAACCAACGTCAAGATTGTCAAAAGTGATACGAAGTTTGGAGAGGGAAAAAAACGAGGAGGAAGGGACAGAAGAAAGGGGCAGGGCAAGAGGGGGGGGGGTGGGGGAAGGTGAAAATGATAAAAAGATCCCAGTCATGCGCATTAGACCACTCTGCTATTGCGCCTCTCGATTGAGGAATCCTTGTGCAGTTTGCTATTAATTACGCATCGTCACGACATACTTATTAGCTCCAGTCTCCTTCCACACATCGCAGGATAGCCGACATGCACAGCCCAAGGCCCGACAGACCCAGTCCTGTCCCATCCCATCAGCCTCGCAGATATCCCTATCTCCATTCGGATCTCGGTCCCAACACCCCCCCAGGTCCAAACACCGACTTCCCCGAACCCGCGGCACGCTAATTATAAAGAGCAAGACTATCAATATATTTCCTCCGAACGGAACCGATGGCGTGCTCGAGTCCATCCACCCCTCCACCTCCCCGTTCCGATATGCGGCCTACCCGGATTCGCGTATTAGTTCGCCCGCCGCGATGGCGCGATCGGCTCCGCGCATTTGCACATCCCAAGCTCAATGCATCGCCCCGGGGCCAGGTGACATCACCACCCCCTCTAAGAGGCCGTTCCTTTATTTTCTCTCCATGGCGGCCAGGGTTGGAGGTAGCTTGGCTGATGAGGAACCCCTTCTTACTTATATGTGTGCCCCTATTTGGGGTGCCAGGCCGATTGCCGGGGATCTCGGATCTCCCGCGGAGAACGGCTTTAGCACGATCCTGTTGCAACCGACCAGGCTCGAGATGTGATTGGCAACATGGCGGTTAACGCAATGTTGTCGGACTTGTGTGTCATATTGAGTTGCCCGAGTTGCCCCGCATCGGAGAGGCAGATAGATATGTCTGGATGACGACGAAGGGGTATAAAGGGGACCGAGGGAATCCTCCTCATCCTCGCCGAGTTTTGTTTCTGCGATATCTTCAACAACAAGAATATCAAATAATTATACCCCTTCCAAACCAGTCAACCAGGCAAAAGACATGGCGCCTTCTGCAACACAGACCGTCACCGTGCCGGTGCTTCCTTCATCCATCAAGCTCAACCCCACCGGCACTGGGCAGTACAAGGAGCTTGCGGCCACAAAATACGATGTAGAAGTTGAGACGGGGAAAAAGGACTATGCGGCGGCAAAGGTAAGAGAGACCAGCCATGACAGGAAGACCAGACCAAACCAGACCAGACCAGACCAGACCACTGACTTCGGCACGCCTCTCCCTCCCCACAGTACGCGAATTACCTCCCGACCTGGAACCCCGAGCAAAAGTACCCTCCCCTACAGCCCTTTGAGCACTACGAGCACGGCAAGGACGCCGACCCGTCGTACCCAGACCTCCTCCCCGAGGGCGTCGTCACCGTCACCCACCTGACCCCGTCGATCGGCACCGAGGTCCGGGGCATCCAGCTCAGCACGCTCAGCAGCGCGGGCAAGGACCAGCTGGCGCGCCTCGTGGCCGAGCGCAAGGTGGTCGCCTTCCGGGACCAGGACTTCGCCGACCTGCCCATCGACGCGGCGCTCGAGTACGGCGGCTACTTCGGCCGGCACCACATCCACCCGACGTCGGGCTCGCCCGAGGGCTTCCCCGAGATCCACCTCGTGCACCGCGGGGCCGGCGACCGCGGGGCCGAGGAGTTCTTCAAGGCCCGCACCAGCTCGGTGGCCTGGCACTCGGACGTCTCGTACGAGCAGCAGCCGCCCGGCACCACGTTCCTGTACATCCTCGACAAGCCCGAGACGGGCGGCGACACGCTGTTCGTCGACGCCGTCGAGGCCTACAACCGCCTCAGCCCGGCGTTCCAGCAGCGCCTGCACGGCCTCAGGGCCACGCACTCGGGCATCGAGCAGGTCAACGCCTCGGCCGCGAGGGGCGGCGTCAAGAGGCGCGACCCCGTCGTCAACGAGCACCCCATCGTCCGGACGCACCCCGTGACCGGGCAGAAGGCCCTCTATGTCAACCCGCAGTGTAAGGACATAACCACCACCCCCTCAGCCCCTCCCCCCTTTCAAACAGCCCCCGTGTGTCTGTCTCCATGGCCTTTTCCGCTAACATGGGGGATCCAATCCAGTTACCCGGGACATCGTCGGCCTGAAGAAGGAGGAGTCCGACGCGCTTCTCAAGTTCCTGTACGACCACCTGGCGTACGGCGCCGATTTCCAGGCCCGGGTGAAGTGGGGGGAGGGCACCGTGGTGGTGTGGGACAACCGCGTGACGCAGCACTCGGCCCTGGTCGACTGGAAGAGTGGCCAGAGGAGGCACCTGGCCAGAATCACCCCGCAGGCCGAGCGGCCGTTCGAGACCCCGTTCGAGGGTTAAGGGCAGTCCACCCTTAAGATAGGAGGAGGCCGGGGGGCCTTGTATATCGGTAGCATGACGTATGAATGTAGCGCGCATCAAATTGACTCTTCCCAAATCTGATACTTGTGCGACGTTGACGCTGCTGAGTGAAGGCAAGGTATTGTTCAAGGGAGATCAGACACACGTTCAGAAAAGCGGAATGGCATCCAGAGAGCTACGGCCGCGGCCCTTCTTGTCTTTATCTTCGGTCTCAGATGTCTCTCGTCGCCGTCTCTGTTGCGCTCTCCTGTCCCGTATGCGGCTCATGAAATCGAGATCGTCGCCGTCACCATCATCGTCCGCCGGGGTGTCGTGGATTGAGTTACTGGTTGTTTCTGTTTTTATCCCGATATCTGTTGGTTCGGTACGCGGAGCTTCTGCTGCGCGAGATAGCTGATATGACTCTTGCCGAATAGCCAAGGCTCCTGGTCTCGTCAGGCTCTGACCTGACAGGCTATTGCCATGGTTCTTGGCCCGGTATTTTCCGGACAACGTGGGTTGGCCGTCTAGCCCATCCGACTCAGTGTCGGGCTCGGTGTCCGAGCCGGGCTGCTCATTTAGTCGGCCATGACCCTTTCCGCTCGCCGTGGGTCTCAGTTCCAGCTTATTCACAGTCCTGGGGATCCGCGAGCCACTTCCATGGTTACTGTCATGGAACCCGGCTGTAGTCCGAGTGCTTGCTGTGGTTCCTGTAATAGTAGATAATGGGACTGCCTTCTTCCGTGGACTGTCCATGAGGCCCTGAAGAGATGTGCCTGCCCAGGGATCCTCAACGTCCTCATCGTCGCTATCTGAGCGACCGTGTGCACCCTTGCCCTTCCGGATGGCCTTCTTAAGGCCTCGGCGTTGGGACACCGCAAGGTCACCGGCAGCTCGGCGTTTCTTCACCAAGTTGGTCATCTGGCCCGTGACTGGCCGCGAGATGGCCATGATCGTCTCCGCATTCCGAGTACTAGTGAGAGCTTTTAATCGCTGATACTCGGCCGCATGAAGATGCCTGGTGAAAAATCCGGCAGTGGATAGAAATTCGTCCTCGACCATGCGATATCTATCATCATGGTCGATGCCTTCGATCATGAACCTGGCGAGATTGTGAGACCACAAACAACATAGAGAACCAATCCATAGCCAGCGAATGGGCAGACTTACTCTTCAACAGGCGGCTCCGGGGGTGGCGAAGTCGACGGTGACCGTTCTGAAGCGTTGATCTCATCTAAGTCCCAGATTCACATAAGGTCAAGGTCGCGAAGGTGACTTACCAAGTTTAGCAGTCAAACTCAGGCGCGACTTTGAACTCGAAGGCTTCGGTGTTTCCGATTTCAATCTCGCAACGGGCCATGTTGCCGAGCGATCGGACGGCACAGGGCTCTGAGCCGCTGATGAAGCAGGACTGTCGGCGGTTCTGCGGCGTTTCGGGGGCGGCGCATTCGGGGTGCCGCTCACTTTCCACGGAAGTTGACGCGGCATCTTGGTAGCGAAGACTTACGCGTCCAGTCTAGTGCTGGAACCCGATTAATCCACAGGTGCTATGACGAAGCACATTTCTCAGGACGATGACGTGGAGTAATAAGTGTCTTTCTGAGTCGCGCACACATCGCGTCGTCTGTCGCCAGGTATAAATTTGAAGGTTATTATGTTCTGTATAAAATTAGGTAGGTACGGGCCAGTGTGTGCTGGCGCGATCGTCCTACCTGGTCAAGCCACTAACTTCCGTTGTTCAGCCACAGCCTAATCTCGGGGGCCGCGGACCGTGCACGTGCCACCTACGGCGCCGGAGACGGGCCCCTTAGACGGGACGCTCACTTTGTAAATCGGGGCGATGTTTCTAACCATAAGCTTTGTATTGTTGCGTATGGCATCATTACGCATGTAGCTTACGGTACTTGACACCCGCAATAGGAAAGCCCCCCTGCTGACGCAACATATTACGCCTCCTTATTCGCATGTCTAGAAGCCTGCCTCGTTGACTTATTGTATCATGCCTTCGAGCGGGGGGGATGTCCTGTATTTTAAAGCCCAGAAATAGGCTCGTCAGTATGGATTTAACCTTGACATTATCTGTTTCTTCTCAGACTCTCTAAACCGGCGCTCATTTGAGAAAACACAGACTGCCCCCTATCACGGCCAATCCGACCGAAAATGGCATCCATTATGCGCGTCGGACCGGCCACATACGACGAGCTAAATACTGTAGTCCGTATTGGCTGCAATACCTTTCGAAACGACAAACTCAGGAACGCCATATTCCCAGACCATCTTCGCACCCGTCCCGGGACCGAGGACAAACCAACGGAAACGAGTTGGGTTAATACTCGTGCAACGGGGTATCGATGAGGCAGCGAAAGGAGACAGAGATGCCTTGTTGATTGCTACCCCAATTGGGGGCACTTGTACACGTCTCTAAGGTTTGAGACACTCGGAGAACTATCAGTGGCTGGAGGGATCCATCCTCAGATGGTAAAGAAGAGATCTGTAGACTCAGCTAATAGCAACATCACGGTACAGTAAGGGACTGTGCTCGATCTGGCGATATCAGAATAGGCATGCCGTCTCTGATCAGAGTTCAAGGGGGTAGATCTATTAGGATATTAATCTGGTGATAGACACTAGCATATCTTAAGCATGCCAATAGTTTACCAATTCATCACCACACATACCACGTGACTAATGAATATACTTTCTCTAACTGATCTGTCTAATCCAATCGATCGTGGGCGTTATAAGTCTCTTGCGTGAGGCATACTAATGTAAGAGTAACCTCGGAAATAATAAGGCACCCCGTCTATGCTGACATTGCCGGTTCTTTTGTGTCCGTGTTGCCCTCCACGGTATCCAGATTCCTGGGCCTTCCCTCAAGCTTCACAAGGGCACAGACTGTCAGTGGAGAGCAAATTACCCGCTTTCAGATGGGGACTTACTCCACGAAGGATCCTCTCATCCCCCGGGATAACCATTTCAAATGCCTCCTCTATCACCCCGTATTCGAAGTACCCTAACCTCGCGATAGGTCTCGTCTTCTTCACATCTATCCTCCCGTCGGTAAGCACCCCATCAGCAATGTGGATCCCTACAACCTTCCCGATGACTACGCTTACGGGTCCTGCTGGCGGGTTTCCGGGTAGTCGTATCGTCTGCACGTACTCGCACTCGAAGCGGACCGGGGACGCCTCTACCATCGGAACAGGTATCCTTAGAGACTTGGACCAGGTTTTCGTTAATCCCGCCCTTTCGAATTCGTCGATGTCCGGGGCCACCTGCTCGGCAGTCACGTTGACTGCTTCTCGGAGATCAAACGTCGCAAGCTGCCAGCAGAAGACGCCTGTCGCCTCCGCGTTGACAACCGTGTCCTTGCGGTTCTCCTCGTAAGTCTGGTTGGCGCTAAACATTACCAGCGGAGGGTCGAAGGTGAGATTGTTGAACTGGCTGAAGGGGGCGAGGTTATGTTTCCCGTCGCTCGAAACCGTCGAGATCCAGCCTATCGGGCGTGGGATCACACATGCCTAGGGAAGGGGGGAAGACGTGTGAGAGAGTGGCACTCATGTGAATAAGTAGTGCTGAACCTGCCTTGAAGGGATCATACGGCAGGCCGTGAGATGTTTTCCCGGGCTCATAAAACATATTTGCTTTTGGGACTGGCTTTACCAAGTTAAAGCCCCAGGCTATGATTATCGGGAGAGAAGACCACACTTTGGAAGGTCGCCTTTTCAAGTACGATAATGACCAGCACAGTGAGACGGAGTTGAACATACCCCGCATTGACGTTATTTGAATGTCGGGCAGCTGGCCGGGCCGAGTTAGCCGTTGTGTCACCGGCATTTGCTTTGCAAATACCAGATATGGACCTTAGTAGAGACATACCCACGCATTTTTTCAGTAGGAAACGCTGGTTGACGAAAGTCCACGAACACAGGCTCAAACAAAGCCAACACTGTATTGTGTCCTTCGATTTGAAGATTCCTCTCCATGGCTAAAAGTTACCTATGCATAACCGTGTACTGGCCCTGAATTTGGGAGTAAGCCCAAAGGGACATTAGCGAGTCCATTCGTGGTATCAATGGCTATTGGAGGATGAGAGTACACGGTGAGATCACATAGGCTATAGTTGAGCATGGTTAGAGACAGGCCCGTGTTTATATATGGTCTGGCAGTTGAGGAATCGCATTGACTCGTCCTAGTTCAACCTCCCATTGAGAACTGCTGGGGACTCGAAATCCATCTTCTGGACAGGGAGCACCAATGAGGTTGTTAGTCCTGCGAGCTCGTTGATATTGGGGGTCTTGGGGGTCAATATGCGTGGCGTGCCATGGTGGCTGGTTCCGAAGGAAAGAAAAGTCCACCCAGTGGCGCAGTCAATTAACATGTCACGCTAGTGCTGGACTGACTCACTCAGACTCCTTAGCCAAGGTGTTTGGCAGCTGGGAGCAGCTGGCGTGTCGCCACCAAGGCTTATCAATCACAATCACAATCAGTTTATCAACGCGGGGCAAGATTTTCTGGAATTTCATAAAAAGTGCTATACCCCACATCGGTCACCAAGGGCCGCATCACATTCTGCCCAATCCAACCCATATACACACTTCAGACGCCGCAAATATGTCGTCCTCCATGGATTTGGACGCCCCGGTGTCCATGGCGGGACGCCAGGAGGCACCCCCGTCAGGCGCAACGTGAGTCTCTCGTCTCTCGTCTCCTATCTCCGGTCCAGAACCCCTTCTAACGCTGATCGTTCCTCCAGAATCTTGTGCTGCAACTGCGCTACTCCAATAGACGGCACGACTTCGGCGGGATCGCTTGCGATGTGTTACGACTGTGTCAAGTTGACGGTGGACATCTCCGCAGGGATTCAACGCGAGGCCACTCTGCATACGTGTCGGGACTGCGACAGATGGCTCATGCCACCCACAAGCTACATCATGGCGCCGCCCGAGTCGAGAGAACTACTTGCGCTGTGCCTGAAGAAGCTCAGGGGCCTGAGCAAAGTCCGCATCGTGGATGCACACTTCATCTGGACGGAGCCGCATTCAAGGAGAATAAAGGTCAAGATCACAGTTCAGGACTCGGTCTCCGACGGCGTCTTGCTGCAGCAGAGCTTCGAGGCTGTCTACGTCGTCGCCTATCAACAGTGCGCAGAGTGCGCAAAGTCTTACACCCCGAACACCTGGCGCGCAGTTGTCCAGGTCAGACAGAAAGTCCGCCACAAGCGGACCTTCTTGTTCTGCGAGCGTACGTCTTCCCCATCCCTCTAGAAATATTTCCCAAGGCTAGATTAACTAATTCGAGGCATTAGAACTCATCCTGAAGCACGGAGCTCACAAGGATACCATCAACATCAAGGAGGCCAAGGAGGGTATAGATTTCTTCTTCGCGGCGAGGAATCAAGCCGAGAAATTTGTCGACTTCCTACACGCCATCGTCCCGGTCAAGGTTAAGAAGGCCCAGGAACTCATTTCGCAAGACAGCCACACGGCTGTCAAGTCTTACAAGTTCACCTTCTCTGTCGAGCTTGTCCCGATCTGCAAAGACGACTTGGTGGCGATACCCATCAAGCTCGCGAAACAGTCCGGAAACATCTCGCCGTTGGTGCTCTGCCACCGCGTCGGCGTATCGGTCCATCTCCTCGACCCCAACACACTCCAGACTGCGGATATCACCGCGCCAATCTACTGGCGAACGCCCTTCCAGTCTCTTGCCGACGTCAAAGAGCTGGTTGAATTTGTGGTGATGGACATCGAGCCGCTAGGACCCCAGAAGGGCAAGATGCTCCTCGCGGAAGCAACGGTCGCACGGGCATCCGATCTGGGCGTGAACGACAACACCTACTACACGAGGACACATCTAGGCCACCTCCTCCGGCCCGGCGACTCGGCCATGGGGTATCTCGTGTCGGGCACCAACTTCAACAGTGCCGAATTCGAGGCGATCGAGGAGTCGCACGCCTACGGATCCACGATCCCCGACGTGATCCTGGTCAAGAAGCACTACCCGAACCGGCGCAAGAACCGCCGGAGGAACTGGAAGCTCAAGCGCATGGCCAAGGAGGAGGCTGAGGCGGCCGCGGCGGTTGTCAAGAAGGGCGACCAGGGCGGCAAGGAGGACGACTACGAGCTCTTCCTGCGCGACGTGGAGGAGGACGAGGAGCTGCGGGCGGCGCTGGCGCTCTACAAGAACACGAACGCCAAGAAGAAGCAGGCCGTGGACGACGACCAGATGAGCGTCGCGACCACGGAGATGACCGGGGAGGATGACGGCCCCAAGGTCAACATGGACGAGCTGCTGGACGACTTTGACGAGCTGGATATCCAGGATAGTTAGGTGGCAAAATCATAGATAGTAGCAATTCCATGTTTATGCCTGAGAGTATCGCGTAACTGTCAAGTCTACTACTCGTGCCCGATGAGGTTGCCCATTTCGTACTAGCTGTATTTATCATACGTACTTTGAACGAGCATGTCGAACTGTGATGGAAGAGGGAGAACCGGTCAAGGGAGTTGATCCCAAACATGGGCCGAAAGAATGTGCCTCAAAGCAGTTAGATAGTGATTTATCGAGCCTCATTGAATCCTTAAGCTGCCTGTAAAGCACCAGTTTTCGCACGCTAATCGAGTATCAAGAGAAACAACCGAGAATAGAAAGATGCCAATGTAATCGTCTCCCCTGCTCAAAAGATCTTGCTCAGAACTCTCGTGACATGCTCTGGCTGCTCTCCATCCCTTTTCTTTGCCAGGGGTATCTGTTTAAAGGACCTCTTCCTATCCCGCCCTTTCGAGGCCGCATCCGCAACACCACTCGCAGCACCGGCGACGTCCCTCTTCTCCCCCGCATCGTCTTTTCCACCTCCACCACCGCCACCACCATCGCCATCCCCGTCCTCGGCCCTCGGCCTCTTCTTCTTCGCCTCGGCCTTGGACTGGATGCCGTCGAGCATCTTCGCGCGGCCCACGTTGCGGACAAACTCCCTGTTCTCCTTGGCCGTCTTGCCGATCTCGGCGCGCATGCGGCTGTCGCGCTCGGCGTTCTCGGCGGCGATCTGCTGGGTCAGGTCGTCCCACTTGAAGCCCCTGAGGTAGCGCAGGCTCCAGACGTCGTCGCGGTAGAAGCTGCCCTTCTTGCCGCCGATGGGCCGCGCGTTGAGCAGCGCGCACGCCTGCCGCGCGTCGCGCTTGTCCACGAACTCGACCCAGCCGTCAGTGTGCAGGCGCTTGCGGTTGCCGCCGGCGCGCACCCGCCGCGCGTGCGCCGCCGCGCCCTCGGGCGACAGGAACGTCCGGTTGACCTTGCCGTACGGCTCGAGCAGGGACCGCAGCTTGGCCGGCTTGAGGAAGGGCGGGATCCGCGAGAGGTAGACCACGCCCGACTTCTTGACCGCCGCGTCGGTCACCACGAGGTTCTTCTTGCCTAGCGGCTTGGAGAGGGCCGGCAGCTTGGCCGCCTTGGACACCTTCGGCTTGTCCTCCTCCTCCGCCTTCTTCACTGGCCCTGCACCGCTGCTTTCGCCCGGTGCATCTTCGTCGTTGCCGGCTTGTTCTGCAGGTGGCGCGGCTTCGTTGTCGGGAATCTCGTCTTCGGCTTCGCTGGCAGAGTCATCGTCGCTCCCGCGGTCCTCGTCAATCTTCCGTCTCTTGGCGCTGCGTCCGCCCTTTTGCAGCTCGTTCTCGGAATTGTAGCCCTGGCTGGCGTCGTCCTCGCTCTCATCGGCGTCGAGGAAGTGATTCCTGTTCTCGGGAGCCATGGCTGCCTTGTGCTGGAGCGTACGAGTGTCAATGAGTGGGGGAAGAGTGTTCTAGCAGTAATGTATTTAGATATAATGCATTCGGATCAGAAACAATTTTTGGCTGACGGAAATCCCCAGTCCAAATTTTTGCGGGACAGCACCTGCTGTGGCCCCACTCTAGTTGGCTGTTTGCCCCACCATGGGTGCTTATCGTGGGGGCCAGAGGGCGTGAAGCGTCATCGGTAGGAATGGTAAGGTAGTTGGGTAGGTAGGTCTGTCGTATCTATCTTGATTCTCCTCAAAACTGATTGCCAGTAATCCGTACAGATACAGGACTTTGAGCTTTCCAACAACACTTTCATCATGTCTGCAGAAGTTTTGACAACCATCTCCCCCACGACAAACGAACCTATCCTGACCCGCAACGGCATCTCGGACGTGGAGTTGGGTCTCCTCCCAAAAGCCGCCACAGATGCTTTCAGGTCATGGCGGACGACGCCACTGGCAGACAGACAGATCATCGTGAAGAAAGCTCTAACACTCCTTGCGACCAAGACAGATGACCTCGCTCTTGAACTCACTGTCCAGATGGGACGGCCCATCGCATATACGGGCAAGGAGATCACCACTGCCATCAAGCGGGCCGAGTATCTCCTGAAGATCAGTGATGAGGCTCTCAAGGATACAGAGGGCGAGCCAGAGGCGGGCTTCAAGAGGTTCATCCGCAAGGTCCCAGTGGGCCCAGTCCTCATCATCTTCGCATGGAATGTGAGTCCCACGGGAGTCCCAGGATGAGGGCTACTCGCTGACGAGCTGCAGTACCCGTATCTCATCCTGGTCAACTCTCTGATCCCAGCACTTCTGGCCGGCAACTCGGTCATCCTGAAGCCGTCTCCGCAGACACCCACCGTCCCCGAGCAGATTGCCAAGGTCTTTGGCGAGGCCGGCCTACCGCCGGGCGTGATCCAGGTCTTCCACTCTGGCTCTCCCACGACGATCGAGTCCATTGTGAGAAGCCCCGAGGTGTCCGCCATCTGCTTCACAGGCTCGGTCGCGGGCGGTCTGGCGGTGCAAAAGGCTGCGGCAGACCGCGTCGTCAGCGTCGGGCTGGAACTTGGTGGCAATGACCCCGCCTATGTCCGCGGGGATGTAGACGTCAGGTGGGCGGCGGAGGAGATTGTCGACGGCGCGGTCTTCAACTCTGGGCAGAGCTGCTGCTCCATTGAGAGGGTCTACGTCGATGAGAAGATACACGACGAGTTTGTCGAGGCGGTCCGGGACGTGCTGAAGGGGTACAGACTGGGCGATCCTTTGGACAAAGCGACCCATCTCGGGCCGGTCGTCTCGAAGAGGTCAAAGGAGGCAATCGAGGCCCACATCAAGGATGCACTGGACAAAGGTGCTAAGGACGCGACGCCCGAGAACGAGACCTTTAGCAACCGGTATACGAAGGGGAATTTTGTCGCCCCTTCCCTACTAACCGGGGTTGACCACAGCATGGCGGTCATGAAGGACGAGACCTTTGGCCCCGTCATCCCTGTCATGAAGGTCAAGAGTGACGAAGAGGCCATCGGCTTGATGAATGACAGCGAGTTCGGGCTGACGGCCAGCATATGGTCCAAGGATACGAACAAGGCGTACGAGCTGAGTGAGCAGGTGGAAGCAGGTACCGTATTTGTCAACCGCTGCGATTTTCCGAGTCCGGTAAGTGTCTCAGACAACAGCAGCAGCCTACGTGGCAATCTGATGGCACCTTCATTCAAGAAACTGACACGGACACAGGACCTCGCGTGGACTGGATGGAAGAATTCAGGTAAGGGGGTCACTCTGAGCCGCTTTGGGTTTGAGCAATTTGTGCGATTGAAGTCATTTCACATCAAGGATTATCCCCAGTAGGTAGGCCAAGGAAGGGGGTCACTTCTTCGACTGGATCCCTTGTTCGCGGCGGAAGGGAGCAGCTGACCGACTCATTTACACGTTCGAGACACGGAGACGAGAAAAAAATCAATAATCTTCATCTCGTAGGGCTATTGCGACGGTTACGGCCATGTCTCACTTGCTAGTGAAACCCAATTGAACGTCGATGCATTCCAACCACCCTTTCCCGCCGCCTCAAATGCATTCCAATGGAAGGCGCCCACCGCCATCGTTTCCATGGGAGAATCGCAGCATTCCATCGCTCCGGAACAAGAAATCTCATCTCCAAAGACTGAGCGATTCCTACCCAAGGGCACGGCAAGTGTGTCAAGGGACTTGGTCCAGACGCCGACGATCAGTTGTTATATACAATCTCTGATCCCCCTTCCCATTGTTCCATGATTGACCTTCCTTCCTCGCCAGTCTTCTGTCATTCACTTGTCAAACAACCAGTCACGGTCCTCGTCGGGACACATAAGGAACCCGAGGCCACCAAGTCAATCTTGACCTTCAATGGGCTACATCATTGCCCACGCCACTCCTTTTTGCTCTTAGTTCTATTTTATTTGTCCCTTGTCATTTAGTGGCATAGGTGCCGAGAAGTTTCCCATCTCACCTCCATCGTCGCTGCCAAAGCCTCCCCTCAAGTTGGAGCAACATCTGCGTGGACGGTCATTCTCGACACTTCGTTCCTTTACATACATCACCAACCGGTCCCCCAATCTGCCCATCATGCACGTCTACCTGGACTTCAGAAGGTTCCGTACCCGCCTCCAAGACCTCGCCAGCTTCAGGCGCAAGGAGAAGAAGCGAGTTGTGATTGTACGCCATCACCGTCCCTCTGTTACTCCCTCCCTCCTCCAACCTAAACAGGGAACAACCGAACAAGCGGCTAACACATATATTTAGTCTGCCCCGTTCAACTTCAAGAGGGAGGGAGGAATCCCCCCCGGAATGAGCGAAGACGAGTGAGTCCCACGTCCGGATTCCCCCATCATAACATCCCAGGCCCACTGACGCCCGTTTCTCCCAGGATCCTGTTGATGCGCGAGAAGGCGGCTGCAAGTCGCATCGGCATCGCAGACGAATACGGCGGCTCCTGCCACTCGCTGCACCCGCTGCCGGCGCCGCCGAGCAGGAGCAGCTCGCTGGTAATGCGGGCCCCCGAGTCTCCGCTGATGATTAACTTCCGCGTCTCGCCGGTGGGTTCGATGATGGCTTAGCCACACAACACTGGGTTGGTTAGAGTCGGTGAAAGACGGTCTGGACGACCCAGACACACGAGACCCTGGATTTTCCTTGAAGTGTGTGTGGGAATTGGGTATCTGGATGGACGGAACACAGATTGAACTGAAGGAACCATGGACAACGGATGGCTTCAGGGGGAGGGAATGTGATCTACCCAAGTGCGGGCGCTTGGATATTGGCTTGGAATTGATATCCCTATTTCTCTATTGGAGAAGCGAAGAAGAGAATACCTAGATAGAACCACCACCGGTTACTAGATAATGCGCCCTGCGCCCCTTTATTAAGCGTTATTTCTACAGCAGACCCAAATAAGGCTTACAACGGCAGTGTCTCTCGAGGCCCATTTTGACAGGCGGATTTGATGACTTTTGTAGACCTTACTTTTACATATACGCCGCTACTTTTTCAGCCTTTCCCACATGCAAGTCCAGGGCAATCAACGAAGCCATCCGTGATACGTTTCCAGCTCCTCCACCTTCACCCCCTCCATTTCCCCCTTGACCCTCAGTAAGCTCACCCTTTCGCCCTTTTCCTTGCTCCAACCAGCCAAGAACTCCTCAATGCGCGCCTCCGTCTCCTTATCATCCTTCACAAGCAGCGCCACGGCATCGAACCCTCCCGCACCAGGCACAACCCCTCCGTAGACGCCCTCAACGCCGCCCAGCGCGTCCAGCAGCGCGGTCTGGCTCTCGGGCTCGATCGGCACGCCGCTCTCGGCGCCCATCCTCCGCACCAGCTCCCTGACGCCCGCCACGCAGGCCGGGATGTCCGCCGTCCGCCCCTCCCTCAGCGCCGCGGCGAGGCCCTCGTTCCGCGCCTGCAGCGCGTCCCACAGCGCCCGCGCCGCCTGCGGGTCCGCGTCGCGCCACGCCAGCACCTTCTTCACCATCCCCACCGTCTGGCTCCCGCAGTCCACGTCGCACATGCGCACCGCCACCCCGGGGGGGAGGGCCGCGCCGCCGGCGATGATCTCGGCGTCCCACACGGGCTGCGAGGAGGCGTGCTCCTCGGCGGCCCGGTCCTCCACGACGGCCTCCAGCTTCGAGGCGAACCCGGGGGTGCCGGCGCCGGACAGGCCGGCCAGCACGCGCGGGCTGAAGCGCCGGTACAGGCAGCCGCCGTAGACGGCAGCGGCGACGTCGAAGCCGCTGCCGACCTTGCCCTGGGCGGCGCAGTGGGCGGCCTGGGCGAGGTTGTGCAGCAGGCCGCGGCCGCGGGCCGAGGCCGGGTCGAAGGCGGAGCGGGGCAGGTGGTGGGCTAGAAGGGCGGCCGTGAGGGCCGTCACGAGGGCGGCGGAGGAGCCCAGGCCGGTCTTGTGGGCCTCGTGGAGGGGGACGGGGATGTGGATGAAGCGGGATGAGTGGGGGGGTTGAGGGGTGGATGAGGATGAGGAGGAGAGGGAGGAGGGTGGTGACTGGGTGGTGATGGTGACGGCCGAGGGTGCTGCTCCTGGTGGTTGAGAGTAGTAGTCGTTGTCGGCTAGGATGGTGAGGCGGGCGGGCTTGATGCTGCGGGACGGACCGTGTTTGCCGGCACGGGAGATGTATGTGAGCGCATAGCTGAGCGCGGTTTCGACGAAGGGATTGGGGTTGATTTGAGGGCCGCTGGAAGGGGGATGGTGAGTATTGGAATCAGGAGATGTGCGAAGCTTACAAGCCCGACCAGGACGGAAAGAAAGGAGGCGTGTGGGTATAAGAATAAGAGATGGAGTAAGCGGGCCAGCATGAATGAGACCTTCATGAGCAAAAAGCCTCACTTGAGACTACCCGTGGCTGTGACCGATGATTGACGATAGAGACACGACTTACACCTGCAACTGCGTCACCTTGATGCCCCCGTCATCATCGGCGAGGTGGTGCCCATAGCGCCACGTAGCCTCGAGGAACTGGGGACTTTCAACGACGATCTCGGACAACTGCACCCCCTTGCTAGTTTGGATCTCCTGAGCGATGACATTGATGCGGGCGCTGAGGCCGAAGACGAGTCCGGTATAAGCCCGGTCAAGTACAAGGTACCCGCCGGCTAGTAGGACCTTGCCAGGAGCGGAGACGGCTACCGTGGGGTTCGGCATTCTGATTTTCTCGTCTTTGTCGACTCGGATCTCTCCGAGAACAGTGGTAGAAGGGAAGATGTGTCCCTCGATTGCTGAGCCTTGGGCAACAGAACAGAACTGACAGAACCAATGCAACAAACTACACAGATGATGATAAACTTCGGGATGCCCTCAATGACGTCGGACTGGCATGTTTTCGGGTGCGGAGTATTCCACACGGAGTTTCGTTGGTTGCCACGAACAAAGAGGATTTTCAGGCGGGGCTCAAGTTCCTACCTACCTACCAATTGGGCATGGCTAGGCGGGGCAAGTCACGAAACGCCCCTATTCCTTCGATACAGCACGTAAGATATCCCCCTCAGGGCGGTGCCAAACTTGCCTGCATTCGAATGGAGGGTAAGAGCTACAAGGTACTCAGTAGGAAACGTACATACACGTACATACATTACAGAGTGGGTGCATGCGGTTGGGGAGAATGATTCAGCAAAATCTTTTGAGCCTTGGGTCGGCTCAATATGTCAGCACTATATCCCTTCGTACATATGTCTCAGTCTTCGGTCTTGAGAGATGTGTGAGAGATGTGCCAACTGAACACTGCGCACGTCCAGAGACGGATCAATTGCTTCTGGCATTAGCTAATGACCGAGAAAGACCAGTCTCCGGATATAAGGACGGACTTCGGAGCTCTTGCCAGGCTGTGCCGGAGGCCACCGGTGACTCGGTTCCGGGTTTTCACGGCATATTCTCGTTTCGATCCTCATGTGATATCCCGCATCCCCACTACACAAGAAGTGTGGGGCATTCGCTGACACCCTGTTAGTGAAGGACCAGACAGGTGAAAAAAAGGGTGAAAAGACGAAAAAGAGATCAGAGCAAACCCCATGCTAATTCCTACACCTTATGCGTAAGCATTCCTTCGTAATGGAACGTGCTAGAAGGGAGACTTCCACAGGGCCAAGACTTAGCGCCAGGGGTATATGGCAGTCAGGAGAAGGATCTCCATTCTGTTATACTGTTGTTTCTCATGTATTTCTTCATTTACCATACTGGATGGGTAACAGAACACAACCGCGGACACGGTGATTAATTCCCCTGGTGTCATCACGAAATGTCCGGGTTTCAATCGGCTTGGCAGAAGTATACATGTAACTTGGGTAAGGTGCAATAAGATGCAGCTTGGCAGGTCCCGAATGTGCGTGCCTTGGTTCCATCCCGGTTTCTCCCTGGGCGCAGAGGCCAACGTCATCCTGGGCAGGCTAATCAGCGCCAATAGAAAACCGAGTAAAGTAGCAAACCCCGGAGTGCTCGGCGCGGGCGGGGGTCGGCGACAAGAAAACGCCGTGCCCGAGGGTTGCGAGTCGTCATTGAATGCTGTGCCTGGAGATTCGATGCCTATGCGTACGTAACTCTCAGGCCCATATGCTATCTGTCCTCTTTCGTCGGTTCCGAGTGATGGTACCAGAGTGAGTTAAATGGGCATCAACCCGTGTCTGGTAGTTCCAAGTCTATTCTTGACGTCTCCCATTCATTGCAAGCATTTGGATTTGTTCGACGAATTGTCTCGAGGTACATGCCCTTCCCGGCCTTAAGCCAAGCCGCGCTGCCTGAGTCACAGAAATTTGGACGAGTTTGACCCGTCCCGGATCCACCCATTCAGCCCCGAAATTTTTTCATCGCCAATTTAGTACGGAGTGCACGCTAGCATTTCCGCCTCAAGTACCACCCACAGCGCAGCGTCCCCAATTGGATTCGCGACGAAACAAAACACAATCTGAACAAAACGAGCACTCCCTCTCGATTCTCACTGCGCCTCTCTTTCCCCCTTTCCTTTCCTTCCTTCATTCACAACCTACAGCTTCAATATAGCGCGTTTATTTGACGGCCTAACTGTCGTCAAATGAACCTGCACCTGCGCCTTTTGTTATCTTCCCATGTAAGTCTGCGCCCGGTTTTCTCCTTTTCTCCGAGGTGGTCTCCGATGCCGAGCCTCAGCAGTTCAAACCTGCTAGGACAACTCGCTGCGTTGATTGTGTGGAACAATGATAGCTAATCGCCACCGTCATTGTCACAGCTTCCCTACCCTCCAGGCTTCACCTAAATGCCCACCGTCTATTCCTCCGTCTTCCAGAGCTTTATCCGCCAGGGATTCTCCAAGTCATTCACCCACGGCTACGCACAATCGTTCGTAGCTGCGACACATCCCCATGTTCTAAACCCGCAGACCCGGCCGTCCTTTGCGCGGCGTAACAGCCACCGCATTGGACGGCTCCAGAGCCTCGGCCTGCAGAGTGCGTTTCATACCAGCAACCAAGCATCCGGCTCTGCCGTCGAGAACCGGCACGAGAGGATCGCCAGCCATGGAGGACTGGACGCCTACTTTGACCATCTTCAGAGGAAGCAGGCTGCTGGCGAGCAGCTAGATGAAGGCGAGAAGGACTGGATCCAATTTGAGTTCCCGAAGCGCATCGAGTGGAAACCCACTGCGGCTTCCATACTTCTCGGCGGCGAACCAAGGACCCAAAACGCCGAGGAACACGAGCTCACCCACGATGCTTCCAGTACGAGCATTCCACCCGAAGCCGAGGCCGCCTTGGCCCACATCGATGCTGCCATTGAGAAGGAAATCGAGACCAGGAGGCGGCTGGAGGCTCTGAACGAGGAATCGTCGCAGTCGCTGCGCCCACCAAGTCCTGGAGAGGCCGAGGAGGCCATCGCCCGCTCTGCTACCCCAGTCTCCAGAGTCCGAACCCCGGCAAGCATTGCTCGTACGGCCACTCCTCCGATCGACCCGCAGTCGCAGACCTACGCGGATCACCTCACCAAGCTTTCCGGAGCATCCCGGTATGCCGAGATCCCGGCCGTTTTCGAGGCCATGCTTGTGGCGGGCGTACGGCCCATCGCAACCGCCTACAATGCCCTTCTCGTGGCCGCGATACACCTGCCATCCGCGAAGATCGAAATCGTGTCCAAGGCCCTGGATGTCTACGCCGACATGCTCCGGCGCAAGGTTTCTCCCGACAGCGATACCTACAACATCCTCGTTGGCCTGCTCGCTGCTCGATCACTCGAGGTCTCCGCGCTCAAGACAAGCCTCGAGGGCAAGCGGCTGCGGTACGGTGGTATGGACGAGCCGGGGAAGTTCATGTTTGCCTCCCACGAGCTTGAGCACGCAATTCTCTCCGAGGATGATCGCCTGGATCTCGCGGTCACTCTGTTCGAGTCATCCGTCGCTTCGGGCAAGGCCTTGTACTCGTCCGAGACGTACCACCAGCTCATCTCGGCTTGCGCCCAGGCGGGCCGCCTTGGCGACATGCTCCAGTTATTTGACCACATGGAGTCAAACGGGGCGACCCCCTTCGCTGCCACATTCCCAGCCATGATCACCGCCTTTGCCAAGTCCGGCGATCTTGTCAGTGCCGTGGAGTGCTACAGCGAGTATCGCAGCCTCGCCATTGCCAATGACCATGGCGAGGGGACTCTCCTTGATCGGCTGGATGCCCAAGTCTATGCTGCCGTCATCAACGCCTATGTCGCTTCGGACAAGATCGAGGGCGCCATGAAGTTCTACAAGAAGATCGTTCAGGAGTACGGCGTGCGAGCTGCCGACATCAAGGATGCCATCATAAGCGCCGGGTTTGTGAAGGCATTCATCGACCGCGGAATCTATGAGGAGGCCCTCCGCTGGGCTCAAGTCATCGAGTCAGAAAGCAGGGCCCCCACTATGAGTGAGCTTGTTGTCTCTGCCGCCGATAGCGGAGACAAGCCCACGGCCATGGCAGCCTTCGCCCAGGTTTCCGCCACTAGCGACGTTGTGTCTCCAGCCATCGCCCTGCTTGCCATGAGCGTGCGTGAGGGCGATGTCGCTACTGCCTCGAGGTACTGGCAGGTCCTGAGCAACCCCGAGCTTGAGGTGACTGCGGCCTTCATTGAGCCGACCGCCATGTTCGCGGTGGCCTTGATCGGCTCGGGCCAGGTCGCCGAAGGCTTGACCCAGTCCGAGATGATGTTCCAGCGCATCCGTGAGAGCGGAGCCCAAAGGAATCACCAACTCGCCGATGAGGTAGAGGAGGCTACCGAGTTCATATCTCGCTACATGAGCACCCGGGGTATCACTGATCCACGGGAGACTGCCTCGCAGACATCCGTTGCGCCCCAGAGCTTTACCGCTTCGCCGTTCTCGTCGACGCCCACCGTCTCTAGCTACGAGGATACCTTTGACCCTTACGCCCACAACACCGACTTCAAAGGTTCTTCGTTGATCTCTGACGAGTTGGAGGGCGCTCATGGTCGCCGAGGGCCGCGTCTGAATGATGCCCTCGGCCGGTTCCGGAACATGCGTCGTGCTGGCCGGCATCCGCGGTACATCACTTATGCCAAGTTGATCTCCGCTGCGGCTCGCGAAAACAAGATGGACCTTTGCCGGGATATTCTTGGCATGGCTCGTACCGACGTTCCTCTCCTGCCCCAGTACGCCGTCGTTCGATATGGCTGGTCTTCCATCTTGGACGCTATGGTTGGGGCCTGCCTCACCCTCGGCAACAGGGGTATGGCCGAGAAGTTCCATCAGGAGCTTCTTGAGATAGGTGCCACGCCATCGGCCAATACCTTCGGTCTCTATATCACAACGCTCAAGGAGTCCACCAAGACATTCGATGAGGCGACCGAGGCTGTTAAGATCTTCCACCGCGCCAAGGCCGAGGGTGTCGAGCCGAGCTCGTTCCTCTACAATGCGCTGATTGGCAAGCTCGGTAAGGCTCGTCGCATCGACGACTGCCTGTTCTACTTTGCCGAGATGCGCGCTCGGGGCATCAAGCCTACTTCGGTCACTTACGGCACAATTGTCAATGCCCTCTGCCGTGTCAGCGACGAGAAGTTTGCCGAGGAGCTGTTCGATGAGATGGAGGCCATGCCCAACTACAAGGCTCGGCCTGCTCCCTACAACAGCATGATGCAATTCTTCTTGACGACGAAGCGGGACAAGGCCAAAGCCCTGGCCTACTACGAACGGATGAAGGCCAAGGGAATCTCCCCGACCGCACACACCTTCAAGCTCCTCGTCGACACGCATGCCACTCTCGAGCCTGTCAACATGACTGCTGCCGATGCCGTTCTAGACATGATCCGCTCGTCCGGCCAGCAGCCGGAGCCCGTCCACTACGCCTCGCTGATCCATGCCCGTGGCTGTGTTCTCCACGACATGGCTGGAGCTCGTCGCATCTTCGATGCCGTGATCAAGGACCCTACAATCTCGCCGAATGCGTGCTTGTTCCAGGCCCTGTTCGAGGCCATGGTCGCGAACCACCGTGTCTCCGACGCCGAGCCTGTCCTCGCCCAGATGCGCGCCAAGAGGGTCGAGATGACGCCCTACATCGCCAACACGCTCATCCACGGCTGGGCCGCGGAGAAGAAGATCGCCAAGGCCAAGGACGTCTATGCCTCGGTCGGTCGCGACAAGCGCGAGCCCAGCACCTACGAGGCCATGACGCGGGCGTTCCTCGCCGTCGAGGATCGCGAGAGCGCCAAGGGCGTCGTCAGCGAGATGCTCAGCCGCGGCTACCCCAGTGCCGTCGTCAACAAGGTCCTGGATCTGCTTGGTGGCGGCGGTGGCAAGGCCGAGGAGGCTGCTGCCCCCGTCGCGGCTTAAAAATCGTGCGCCACGCAAACACACGGCATCGCATCGCATCGCATCGCATCGCATCGCATCGCATCGCATCGCATTCTCTTCTGGCCAACACACAATCTGTTCTAGCATCCGATCTTGTTTCATATGTCTACCTCCGCCGTTCTCCTTGTTTGATACCCCCGTTGCTGGTGTGACGTAGGAATTTGGGTCGACTTAAGTGTCGAGTTTTTAATCGGGGGTGTTGTCCAAGGGTATCATCTGGAGGTAGATTCCAAGGCAAGCTCGTCCTTTTTTTTCTTTTTTCCTATGTCCCAACGGCCTACCTGTTTCAAAGCGTCTGGCGTTTTTGGGAGAATTATAGACCGGGGTCCCTGCGTGTGGCCCAGGTTCTGGCGTGCTTTTTCACTTGTCTCTTTTACCTGCTATTTTCGCAGCATAAATGGGGCGGCGGCGGCGGTTCAGGTCGGGTTTGGGAATGGTGGGCTTTGATTGCCCTGATAGACTCTCCACTCTGCATACAGCAAAATACCTTATATTTTCCTTTTTGTTCTAAGGGCGATGGGTTGGATCGTGGTCACGGCAAAAAAGGGGACTGGGAGATGGCATGGAATGGCTCAAACCGGATGGATTAGCCACGTCTCCGGGGTGGACGCCGTGGTCGGCGGTCTGGATCGCTTGTGTATCATAGCATTTTTTTTTTCCCAACACGAAGAAATTCGTACCTGGCCTTGCTTGGATCAGAAATGTGACACTCTGCTGCACTGATTTTGAAATTGATTGCCGTCTATGATAATGCCCTCTCTATGCTCCATGCGATGTAAACAACAATATCCGCGTTCTGTTTGTCTTGAAAAGGGTATAAATCCATGCATGACACAACAACCACGTCCGTCCCCCTTTTTCTTTTCCCGACCAGTCAGTTGCAACAACAACAAGAACAACAACAACCTCCCCAAATCAACCGATATTGAACTCGCTACTCGCGCTCATCACAGCCTTCATCTTGGCCCGCATCCTCCTCGCCGCGTCCTCATCCGTCCGACCCAAATCATCGTCACCATCTGCATCCCTACCAGCAGCAGCAGCACCACCACCAGAAGAAGAAGAAGCAGGAGCCTTCCGCTTCTGCGCCCCGGCTGGGGCGGCGGGCCTGTGCGTCCGCCGCGACACGCCGCCGCCGATGCCGCCGGGGGCCTCGCGCAGGCCGAAGGCCTTGGCCAGGTGGCCGAGGTGCAGCTGCGTCATGTCGAAGTAGCACCGCTCGGGCCGCACGTGAGTGGCGTAGGCGCGCACGTGCGACCGGAAGGCGAGGCGCGCCGCGTCGAGGAGGGGGTCGTCGCGGACGGGGGGTTGGAAGCGGCGGTTGCGGTTCTGGTTTTGGTTTTGGTTGGCCCCCCCGCTCTTGCGCCCGCCTGCTGCGGGTGATGGTGGTTCGTCCGCGGCGGGGGCGGGGCCGGGCTTGTAGAGGAGGCGCTTCTCGATGTGTAGCTGGAGGGCCTCGGCGCGGGTGGTGTAAGATTGCTTATCGGGCTGTGTGGCGGAGACTTCCGAGGGGCCCGCTGGGGAGGCGGGGAGGTCGACGGGGGAGGCGAGGCCCTTCTGGAGGATGGCATCGTAAGACTGGGGGACGATCGGGGCGGTGGGCCGGAGGAGCTCAATGTAGCCTTCCTCGCAGCCCGGGAGGAGGAAGAGCACGGCCTTGCCCGGGCGGCCTGCTCGGGCTGTGCGTCCTATCCGGTGCACGTGGTCGTCAACGGCGAAGGCGGGGTCGTATTCGATTACTAGTTCGACAGACGGGAGATCAAGACCGCGGGAGGAGATGTCCGTGGTGATGAGGACTGACGGGTTCTTCGAGGTCGAGAATGAGTTCAGGGTTGAGGTGCGGACGGGTTGGGGGAGGGAACCGTGGAGTTTGTGGAGGATGACAGTGGGGTTGGCCGGTGATGTGATGTATGCCGCCGGCGCGACAGTTTTATCCGTTGATGACTTGTCTGCCGGAGTGGGAGATTCGGGCGAAGGTGGCTCGATAGGCGCAGTGGACTTCAACAAGTCGAAGTGGAAGTTGACTGAGTCAGCACAGGAGATGAAGATGATCGCCTTCATGACGGAGCCGCGCCGAGCAAAAGTCGACTTCAGCAGCGCGATGAGCGTCACCAGCCGTAGCTTGGCCGGCACGATGAGGTACGCCTGTTTCAGCTGTGAAGGGGCCGAAAAAACGGCGTCCTCGATCCCGGCCTCCTTGTCATGCTCGGCATCCGACTTCGAGGCGGTGATGTGGACAGCGTCTTCCAAGCTGATCTCGCCTAGCTTCTGCACATTCATCTTCATAGTGGCAGAACATAGGACCGTGACTCGTCGGGACGGCAAAATGCCGCCCAGAACAACACCGTCCTTGCTCTCGTTCACCAGCGCGTCCTTTCGGATCTTGCCAACAATGACTCTGAGATCGTCCTCGAAGCCCATCTCCATCATGCGGTCGCCTTCGTCGAGGACTAGCCAGCGCACAGTGCCCACGTCAAGAATCTTGGTATGATCCAGATGGTCTGTCAAGCGGCCCGGCGTGGCGATGAGGATGTTGACCCCTTTCCTCAGCCGTGCCTTCTCGGATTTCTTGCTCTCGCCTCCGATCACGGTCGTGCTCACGAGCCACGGGGCGCACCGGAGAATCTTCTCCAGTACGGCGGCTATCTGCTTGCAGAGTTCTCTTGTAGGTGCGAGGACGATCGCGAATAGTCCCGAATCTCGGTGGATCTGCGTTCCCGTGCTGGTTCCGTCCGTGGCCTGGCTCAAGGCCATGATCCGGTGGACGATAGGGAGGAGGTAGGCCAGCGTCTTTCCGGAGCCTGTCTCTGCCTGGAGGAATGCGTCATTGTCTTCCTTGATCAGTTGCGGTATTGTGTTTTTCTGGATCGCTGTCGGAGCCCTCATCTCTAATTTGGAAGAGAGGTGCTGTGCTACCCTCCTCGAGAGGCCAAGGGCGAGGAAATTCTCTACTTCTTCTGAGAGAGGTGCATTGGATGGTTCCGCAGGTTCGCTTTCTTCGACCGGCTGATCTTCAAACACCGTAGTTGCCGTCGGGTTCGAGCTGAAGAGCTTGGACGTGACCTGGCCTGGCCTCAAGGCTGGCGCTGACCATTCGCCCCGGTTCCCGCCGTGGGAGCCGGAATCCCCTGATCTGCTAGCATCTTCGACCCTCTGTCTCTTTGCGGGCCTAGTGGATTGCCCGCCGTCGTCCTTATCTTGGTCGCCAGTGTCGGGCTGTTGCTTCGCATCGTACTTCTTGACACTTTTCTGCGCGCGGACCCGGTCTCTCCAACGGCCACCTTTGAACTTCACTTGGCTTTTGATAGGTGCGTCCCCAACCTCAAAATTGAGCAGCATTCCATCGTCCGCCATGGTTGCTGTTCTTGACCGTTTCCGGGAATCCTAGATGTCGGATGCGTTTAAGAATGAAAAAAAAAAAAAGGCGGGATGATGGAAATTCTACAAGGCTGAGTGAGACTCGAAGCGGGACACGATTTCATTGGTTCACTGATTTCTACGGTGGGTCAAGCTACAGACAGCATCAAGCCTGTTATTGGTCAAGCAGAAATAAACCATCGAAATGAGTATCCTAATCGCACAAGATCCCCCGCCTATCTGCTTGTATTGCAACGCTTAGTGGAGATATGCGGGGGCATAAACTCTCCTGATATAGTAACAATTAGTGTAGATAGGTGGACAACGGTGCAAATTAGGGAGACGCTATTGAAAGAATGCATAAACCGGGTCCCAGCCAGGTACGCTCAGGCTAGAATTACACACTAGGCCATATGCGTACACCCATCCATGTCCTCGATGGCAGTAAGCAAGAAATACGGATTACTGTCTTAGACACTGGGATTTATGATTCTGCAGCATCTCGACTCTCGATCAACGCAGTATGGGGACAACTGTGCCGGCCTGGCCCGGGTGGCACAGCATAAACACCCATAATCACCCCTGGACTTCCCCAAAAATCGAGTCCGACCATCATATTATCCGGGAAGCTCAGCTCCAAATTCCTGACGCGTTGCATTCCTTTCGCCGGGCGTCCGGACGTCCACGAAGCTGTCCTGCATCTATTTAGCTGTGCATATCTCCCGGTTACCTAGCTAGATCCTAACGCAATGCCTGTCAATCCAGTACGGTCTTTCCTTCGTCCAGGACTTGCTGCAAACGGGATGAGCATCTCAGTCGTAGTCGCCGCCGCCGTTGCGGGCGTGGGAGTCTATTCGCTCTACTTGAGGAGGACATCCAACAATGCCGAGTCTAAGGGGACCTTTGCAAGCTTCGGCTTCACGTCGCTACGTCTGCAGAGTGCAGAGATGGTGAACCACAACATGAGGCACCTACGTTTTGAGCTCCCAGATCCCAATGCGAAGAGCGGTCTCTCACTCACATCCGCCGTCTTGACCATCTCGTTCCCCAATGGCGGTTGGATTCCCGTTATCCGGCCATACACGCCCGTGAGCGAGCTCGGTTAGCCCTACCTACCCAATGACCTCCCATCACTTCTTGTGATCCCCCTTAATGGAATGCCTTGGGCAAGTTCTAACGCACTTTCCCAGATGACAAGGGCTACATCGAGCTCATGGTGAAGCACTACCCAGGCGGCAAGCAGAGCACGCACATGCACTCCCTCCAGCCGGGCGACAAGCTCATCTTCGCCCCGATCAAGGGCTACGCCTGGACGCCCAACAAGCACGCCCACGTGGCCCTCATCGCCGGCGGCGCCGGCATCACGCCCATGTACCAGCTCTCGCGCGGCATCCTCGGCAACCCGGAGGACCGAGCCCGTGTCACGCTCGTCTGGGGCGTCAACACCGATGACGACATCTTCCTGCGCGACGAGTTCGCCGCCCTCGAGAGGAAGTTCCCGGGCCGCTTCAAGGCCGTCTATGCCGTGGCCGAGCCGGGCCCGGGGTCGAAGCACGCGGCGGGGTTCATCACCGCGAAGTTGCTCGAGGGCGCCGGGCTGGGCGCGGCGGAGCGCGAGAAGGAGGGCGGCGACGTCAAGGTGCTGGTGTGTGGGCCGCCGCCGATGGAGAAGGCGATTGCGGGGACGAAGGGCTGGGGCGGGAAGGCGAATGGGGGCGTGTTGGCTGAGTTGGGGTTCACGCCGGACCAGATTCACCGGTTCTAGATGGGGGTTCTGGTCTGAGGAGGTTGTGGTGGTGGTACATGCGTTTCTCGGCGCAAGACCGCCTCCTAGCTCAGTTTGTTCTCCATTTATAAACCCATGTCGCAGCAGAAGATAATACACTGGTAGACACAATAATGTGTCCAGGAAAGCGCTAAACGCTGCTCCATTTCTCCCCTACCCCTGCGTCGAAGCGCTTCACTTTTCAATCTCCATACGGGCACAAGCATATCCAGTTTCCCAAGTACTTGCAGCACGCTGTCTATTCAGGGCTACGCTGGATGTGCTCGTCACGAGCCACAGACACATCCTCCCCAAGCCTGGTAGCCTCAGCTGAGCTTCCCTTTGCAAATCGCTGGTGACCAATTGTCTCCAGCGAAAAGCCCCTGCTCTCTTTGAGGAACAAGAAGGCTAATATGGCGATAACTACGTCGAAAAGACCCCACAGCAGGAAGGGCCCATATTGGTCCTCATATATGGCGTCGTCCGGAAAAGACGAAAATTGAACAGCCACTGAGACGCAACGCCGATGGCCACTCCAGATTCCCGAATCCGGGCCGGGAAGATCTATCCCTGCGCGGCAGCATTCTCAAGTCTTCCTTGCAGTCTCTTGCTTGCCCTTATTATGACACGTATGGCCACGGAAGTGGGCCCCATCTGAAGTTGTAGGCAATGACGAAAAGATAGATCAGAGCGACGGTGGCGATGCCCGAAGAAGTCACCTTGCCCCCCTCTGGTGGAGGGGTTGCTTTGACCACAGCTGCGGTGGTTATCTGGCACGCCGCCATGAAGGCAACGCCACCGATCAAGACGGCGCGACGGCCCACTCGATCAGCGAGGAATAAGACGAATGTGCTGCAAGCAGGAACATTCACTGCGTCGAATATGGCGGTGAGGAGAAGGTCCCTGTCACCGCCACCGATAAGGAGCTTGAAAAACTGAGGACCAAAGTAAGCGAATGCTGTTGCTCCTGTTGCTTGCTGCGCCGTGAAGACAGCAAACGCTGTGGAGATCCGTTTGAAGTTATCAGTTTGGAGGAGCTCTGTGCTGGGTTCAGGGTTTGTCAGGGGTTGTTTTTCCTTTGAGCGACGGCCACGTCACTGACCAACAAACCTGACCCCTTCCATAGCCCGGGCCTCGTTCTCAACGCCAACACGAATCTCCTCCATCTCATCTTGGGTCTCCTGGGAGTCACTCCCTCTGACCCACTTCAGACCCTCCCAAGCCTCCTTCCTCATGACCCAGTTTGGAAAAGTCGGGTCAAATCGGAAAGGGAACTGGTCTTACAAGGGTGAAGAACAGCTGGAAGAATGACCCAACCCGGCCCCGCAGCTCTTTCAGCATCATCTCGCCATTGAACATGGGAACGACGACTGTGGCTGCGCCAAGACCCAGGCTGGTGATGACTCTCGCGACGTAGAATGCGGGCAGGGAATGGGTGTTGACGGTCTGGATGACCGCGCCGATGCAGAAGACGGCTGACAACAGCATCAGCGCCTTTCTGCGGCCGATCCTGGCCGTAAGGGGCCAGGCGGCGAAGTAGGCGGCGAAGGCGCCCAGCTGCTGGAACCGGAGGGCAAGGGAGCTCGTCCGGGTGGCATGCTCGGTGTTGTAGCCATAGTCGCCCTGGAGCGAGTCAAGGGTCAAGACTCCGCCAACGTTTACCAGCATAGTACGTCGGTGTTCTGGGCATATTCAACGTGTGCTTCCTTCCAGCTTTGAGGTTGGCTCGGGAATCCTCCTGTGCAGACTAACGAGCCAAGCCAATACGCCCCCAGCTTTCCCCGTGTCATGTCCTTCATGCTGGATACGAGAGGCATCACAAAGGTTCACAAGGTCAGTAGGGAGGTTCCGAAACAAGATGAGCCTCCTCATCCACCTTTGATGTCCCCCCCCCCCCCATGCTATCTACCACCCCCTCAAGGGTCCTCAATTCAGCCGACGTTGCCCCATGAAACCCCATCCTTGAACAGTCAAACTGCAAGGAAATTCCCCGGCGGCCTGGTAGTCCCAAATGGTGCAAACGGACTGGTCATCACGCCAGTATAAGTGGGCGCAGTTGGTACCACCAACCCTGCAAGACGTCCGTGGTTCAGACCCAAACTAGAAGGGATCCGCACCACACAGAGAGACTGTTGCTGAAGCATTGCACCACCATCTATAGCATCGTACTATTACACCCTTCCTCGTAGATGGTAGCCTGACTGCACATACGAAGGCATCTAGGCACCTACTTCCACGTTTGCACGTCCCTATGCCCTCGTGTAGGTACCTAAGGCAACCTCAAGTACTTCGGTACTTGGGTAAAGGTACCAGGTTCCTGTTCTGCGCGTCAAGCTTCCCAGGTTTTTTAACACGTCTCCTCCAACACACCTTCCGTTTGTCTTCCTCAACCGCCCCGCATCTTCTCACATTCGACCTTCCACCTCGAGTCATTGAACACGACACTCTGATTTAGCACTCTTTCAAGCCATCTGTCGTTATGAACGGCCGCTGTTAATAGGCCAAAATCATGGGGTCCAGCAGCAGTGCACGCATTGCGTCCCCCATCGTGGATGAGCACCAAGCAGGAACACCGATGAGCACAGAGCCAGATCCTGGGCTGGCACAGGACCGGCCTGTCCAGGATTCCGGTTCAGTTGACAACCATCCCGAGGAACCAGTGTCACAGCATCTCCAGCAACTGCTCGCCAACCCCGGCAATCCTCCTGAGGTGCTCGAGGCCGCTGTCGAGATTGGAGTAAAGCTGATTGATCGCCTGGTGAAATCCATCGAGGATGTTGCGCCAAATCCTGGCGCTACCTCTTGGCTGAAGTATCTGAGAGAACTTCAGGTTCGTGCCGAGGCCCCTCGTACTGTCGTCGGTGTTGTAGGCAATACCGGCGCCGGCAAGAGTTCTGTCATAAACGCCTTGATTGATGAGGAGAGGTCCGTGGTTCCGGCTGCCCAATCCTTCGTGGCTAATCCCGCTTCTGTCCTGTTCCAAGTTGACAGCCTCTAGGCTACTTCCCACCAACTGTCTGAGAGCTTGCACAGCCTCTCCGACTGAGATTTCGTACAACCACTCGGACGATCCAGCAGCGCTTTACCGAGCCGAAGTCGAGTTCATTACCACCGAGGATTGGGTTCGGGAGCTCGAGATTCTGTTCTCGGACCTCCTTGACGGAAAAGGCGTTGTGTCGCGCGAATGCACCAATGCCGACAGCGATGCTGGTATCGCCTTTGCCAAGGTGAGGGCCGTCTATCCAAATAAGACGAAGGAAATGCTGGGTAAAGAAAGCCCCATGGCTCTCGCCGACGAGCCTGCCGTGCGAGGTGTGCTCGGAAGTGTCAAAACCTTGCAGGGAAAGTCAGCCCAGGAACTATATCAGCGACTCCAGAGCTTCGTCGATAGCAAAGAGAAAACAACTGGCACCACGTGGAGGATTAGTCCCATGGAATTCTGGCCCTTGATCAAGGTAGTTCGTGTCTTCACCAAGGCCTCTGCTCTCTCGACCGGTGCCGTCATTGTTGACTTGGTAAGCGGTCCTCTGTCCACCCACCACTCATCACTAGGACTCACACGTGTTTAGCCTGGTGTCCAAGACGCGAATGCTGCTCGAGCAGCCGTGGCAGCCAACTACCTGAAATCATGCAATGCTCTATGGATCGTTGCCCCGATCACGCGGGCCGTCGACGACAAGACCGCCAAGTCTCTCCTTGGCGACTCCTTCAAGCGTCAGTTGAAGTACGACGGCACATACTCGACCGTCACCTTCATCTGCTCCAAAACCGACGACATTTCCATCACGGAAGCTGCTGAGAGCCTGGATATGGAAGACGAAATCGCAGAATCTTTCATACAAGTTGAAGGTTTGGAAACGACCGGACAAGGCCTGAAGCAGGAATTGGATGCGCTCAAGGAGGGCATAGCAGTATACAGCAAGAATATCGATGAGTACGAGGCCCAGTATCGTACCTGGGAAGCTTTGGAGCGCAAGCTTGACGATGGCGAGACTGTATATGCCGCCTCCGACACAGCCAAGAAGAGAAAGAGGCAGGACAAAGCCTCTAGAAACCCCAGAGCGCGACCACATAACTCCTTCGACAACAGCAACACCGACTTGGATTCTGAGGCTGGGAACGACTAGGGAAATTCCCAGCCGTCCGAGAACAAGGTGGCGCTGACTGAAGATGTGATCGCTCAGACACTATCATCGCTGAAGACCCGGATCAAGGGGCTCCGTGGGGACCGACGTGACGCCGAGGCCAAGGTTTCCAAAGTTCGCAGCGAGATGGACTTGGTCCAGTCCGAGCGGGAGGATTTACTTGGGAATTTGACAGCCAAGTGCATACAAAGACGCAACGATTATTCCAGGGAAGCTATCAAGCGAGATTTTGCCATGGGTATCAAGGAGTGAGTCCACCGCTGGACCCAACCCGATGTACGACCGTTTGTGACCCGGCTGACAATCTACAGCCTCGATCAGGAGAACGCACTCGAGGAAGATGATGAGAATTTCGATCCCGAACAGGACTTGCGAGACTACGACCAAGTTGCCGAGTCTCTTCCCGTTTTCTGCGTCAGCAGCCGGGCGTACCAGAAGATGACGGGTAAACTCCAGAAGGACGGCTTCCAGAGCCAGGGATACATGACAACTGCGGACACCGAGATACCCCAGCTGCAACGGCATGCCAAGAAGCTCACCGAGGCTGGTCGAATGAGTAACAGCAGACAATTCCTCAACGACCTCGACCAGCTTCTCAACTCGATGAAGCTCTGGGCCTATAATGATGGCACCCGATGCACTTTGACAGACAGTGAGAAGAAACGGGAAGAGAGGCACCTCCACACTCTTCTCGACACGCTTGAGAAGGTAAGTCTCTCCTCTTCACATCGGTTGGCCTTGGCTAAACGGTAGTTGCAGGGTTTCGATGCAGCTGTCAAAGACACAGTTGCATCCATCCAACCCGCTCTCAACGATCACGTCTATAAGTACCTCAGCCTGGCAATCCCGTTGGCTGTTGATAGTGCGGTTGACACTGCTACCAAATGGGGCGCAATGCCAGCCATGGGTGGGCTGTCCTGGCCCACCTACAAGGCCATATGCCGCCGCAGAGGTGCTTACAGCGGCAAAATGGGGCCGCGAGACTTCAACAACGAACTCTTCGGACCGATCTCGCGCTATATTGCCAGTGGCTGGGAACGTGCATTCCAGCGTCGATTGCCTGCGATCCTTGCTGAGGTCACGGCCCCATCCCGAGGACATCTCCAAGGTTTCCACCAGTCTGTCCTCGATCGCGCCATGGAGCAGCACAACAACGTATCCGGTGTAAGCAAGTTAGCCAACCAGCTCGAGGCCCATTCTCGAACCCTGGATGATCTGCCGACCCACGCCAACGCTATAGTCACGGAGCTGCAGCGGGAGGCCAACCGCGAGTTTGCTCCTGTTATCCGCCAGGCTATGATCGATGCGTATACCATCTGCACTGATGAACATGGTAAGTTACCCAAGTTACCCTCGCTTGACTCAACAACGCCTAGTTCCCGCCCACTGCTAACATGGGATGAACTTAGGGCGTGGATCCTTTGGTCGCATGAAGACCGCTATGGTGTCCCACGTCGATGAGTCGCGTCATACCATGTTCCGCCAAGCCACCGACACTGTCAAGGGGCTTCTCGAGGAGATGATCGAAGTCGTGCAGACCCAGATGCACGACAAGACCCGCGAGATCTTGGACTCGGTCACTCGCGACTACACAACGGTGCTGGTTGGTTCTGGCATCAACAACCCGGCCGACCAGGGGTCAAGCGAGGGGCCTGAACATATGGCGGATGTGAAAGCCGCGCTACTGAGCGCTGACGCTTTATTTGCGCTAGCCGGGGCAAGTGACGATGGTTCTCCTGGCCGGATGGAGGACTCGGCGCAGGGGCGGTTGTCAAATGACGTGGACGAGGTCGGGGGTCCCCATGACCACGACGATCGTCGATTCGAGTACAACGAACCTAGCAACTCTCAAGGCAGCGACGAAACAGCGTCCCCATCTCGGGATCAGCTTCGCTCTCCCAACCGAAAATCGCACGAAGCTCACGGCGAGGCTGGAAGTCAATCCAATACTCCAGAGCCTAGTTCGCATAACGAATTCCCCTCCGTTGAAGCCCTCACGCGCAAGATCAAGCGGGAGCCCGTGGATTGATCCGATACTTGCATTTGCTTCCCCGGTCTGTGGGGTTTCCTGTAACTAACAACGCTCCCGGAGGACATTCACTCAAAGGCCCAGTTGATCTTGTTTGAGGCTCGTGGGTCTACCTACTTTTCTTGGTGGTTTCGGATCAGAAGTTCGGGACCCGGCCTTGTCACCGCCTCTTCTTGATCCTAAGAATGGTGGGCATGTCGCCGAAAGGACTGGTCTGGTTGGAGGCGTAGAAAGTATTGTTCTTGTACCTCATGACATATGATATCATCGTAATGACCGAGTTTTCTACAGGGGAAAATATTAGCTGCTTCATTGTGGAAGAAATAGAACACTATACGTCCTTCAGTGCGGACCCAGTGAGGTACGACACCTCCCCTCTTCATGACTTGGTCTCGCTCTTCCTCGGGCCGGAGGGGGGTGGGGGGGGGGGGTGTGTTCACAGAGGGTGATCTGGCCACAGAGGGTGATTTGGCCACAGCGAAACACCCCGGAGAGCCCATTGGTGGTTCTACCGTCTAACCCCCTTAAGCAGCCCCTGAGTTGGGTTGTTCCCGGTCCTACGTGATCTGTCGGGGCGAATTGGCTGACGGACTCTGCGAGGTCCAGACTGCGAAGAAGATCGATGGATAATTGTGCTAGGTAAAATCAAGTCAAGGCGGGCAAGTTCTTGGCCAGTACGGGCCGTCCCGGCTGTATTACGCGCTGGCCTAGGAACCAAGTGCCCAGTCTCTTGATGATGATCGATGGTACCTCGGATGATTCCTACGGTCGCGAGAACCCAGCCGACCCCTGGTCACCTTGTGTGTCCAAGTAACTTCCAAAATTCTAACGCACGAAACCATGGAAGGCTCCATTCCTTGAGGAGAGAGTGGCCCGAGGGGCTCACGCTGGAAGGATAATCACATCAGTTGTTGGTTCATACCGCTTTATGGATGGACAAGCCAGCTCGCCGGCCTCATCGCGTCCAACCTCAACTACACAGAGAACGAGGCAGCGGTCAACTTTACAAACGGGGTGCTGACGCAGCCGATGAAGATCGACCACAGCCTCAGTTTCCACGACGCGGTCGAGTGCCGGACCTTCACCGAGCTGATCGTCACCGACCCGGCGGTGCCGTACGTGATCGTAATGCGCGTGGTGCTCAACAGCACCGACGGCAAGATCAGGAAGATCCGGTACATCCACACAGTTTTGCACTGCAAGAATCCCAAATGTGGATTGGATAGCACGACCTTCTGATGGGCGTTGACACCTCTCCGCGGAGGTACTGGTTGCCAAGAACAACTACATTCGTTTGGAATGTCGAGTCATGAAACATCCAGACTCCAGACTCTGTAACCCGCAGGAGGCGCTCCAGTGAGGATTTGAAATCAATATACTTATGTAATCAGATATCATTTACCCATCATTTCCCGGCCCCACCTCAACGTCCCCCGTCGGTTTTTCTCCGTCTTCACAAGCTGCATCTGCCGCGCTATCCACTATCGCAGATCCGGTCACCGCACCCCCCCTTGGTATGACCTCCGCCCGGTTCTCACCAATAATCTAGTCCCGCTTTTTGTATCGTACTATAGAACCTCACTTGCATGCGCGACCTCGCGGGATGGCCGAAGAAACAAGCAAGCCGGCTGGTGTTCGCAAGAAGTTCGCCACTCCGCCGGTGAAGAGTGCCTGCTTGTCATGGTATGCTTGACTCCCTAGCCTTTAATCTGAAGGCAGGTGCAAGTTATACACTTGGCAATGAGCCAATGCTGATTATGCTCCAGCCGAGCCTCCCGGACCCGGTGCGACGGGAGCAACCCTTGTGCAAATGTAGGCGCGCTGCGACCCTGCATGAAGTGACCGTCTCTTATTGACGTGGGGATGAACAGTGCCAAGCGAGATCCCGGGAATGCGTATATCTTCCCAGCCGGCGGGGCGGCGCTCGCGTGCGCAAGAAGCGCAAGGTCAGCGATGAGGATCCAGAGCAGCCCGGCTCCGCACCGGCCGAGTTTGAGCTGGTTGCGGCGCCGCAAGAGCGTAAGCATTAGCCCAGTTCCCGGTGGCCCGGGACGCATGTCTGACTGCCACTGTTCTAGCCATCCCACTAGAGAACTATATCGACCCAGGGGCCGGCCTGAGCCAGCTCCCGGACTGGTTCCAAGACAGTGACTACATGTTCGATGGCCTGTTCACGACGCCATGCTTCCCCAACGTCTCTGATACAGACAATGAGTCAGATGCCCGGCCGCCTTTTTCTGGAAAGCCGGTTCCTATGGTTCGAGCATATAAAAGCGACAGCGCCATGTAAGCCAGACCCCAGTATCCCCTTGGTCAGCAAATTGGCTTTGACTGACTCACTGAATGACAGCCGAGAGGCATACTACGTTTTCATACATTCCGTCTTCCCAATCCTTCCGCCGCCAGATGGCATACCTGTGGATCACGTCTCTCCAAGATACCAAGACCAAGTTGAGAGCTTCGAGGACGGCTTTGAGTCTTCATCCCCCGTCGGCTTAGCCATATCTGCCATTCTAGCTCTCATACCATGCCCCGAGGACACTGATCACCTGAGTCACGAGTCTCTACTGTTTCGGCGAAAGTATGCACAGTACCTCGCACAGTCAGCCCTTGAGAGCATCGAGGCCGAGTCAGAGATCCCCGACTCCTCAACCGAGCCTCCCAGGGCTCTTGAGGATCCCCCAGACGGCCCAGTGCGGGAACCCTTCCACAGGGGCGTGCCATTGGAACTCGAATCGATCATCGCCTTGGACCTCCTCAGCGTTTATGAGTATGCCCAGCGAGGGAATCTGAAGAAGATGCAGAGCAGAGCCGGGCAGGCCCTGATGTCTGCCATGGCTTTGTCCATCCACTCATCCTCTGGCGACGACGAGTTTTGCGAGTCAAGACGCAGAGTCTGGTGGATGACTGTGAGTCTGGCACCCTCCCTCCCTCCCCCTGCATGTGCCGTAACTAGCAACTAAACTGATCTGGTCTTGAAGTATATGTCCGCCACCCAGGCGTCGGTCGTGAACAACACAGTATGGCTTATATCCCCGGTGTGCCTAGCCGTACCATCGTATCTCGCTAACTGACGCCCACAGAAACTCTCGTTCGCCATCTTCGCGCCGGGCTTCACGGCAAAGTTTCCGGTGCTGAAGTCAGACTCTGAGGTGAGTGCATATCTAGAACTGCCTTCTGAGGTCGCATTGCTCAAACTTTTGCTGTCTAGGCTTTTGCGATATTTATTCGAAGCCAACAGGCCATACTCAGCGCATCAAAATTTGTCATGGAGCTCAAGAAGACAGTGGCTGCAAATGGCAACATGACCCCCGTCTACGAACAAATGAGGGAACTCGAGATGTTCCTGGAACCTCTCATCGCCCAGAGCGACGCATGGGTCTTCAGCTCCACGACGACGTCGCCGGTTGATCCCAGCGAGGAAGTCGTTGCACGCGGTCTCAAGTGCATTGCCCGTGTCAAACTCAACAGGTAGGCAATTGCGATGTGGGAAGCATCTACGTGGCAAGAAAACTGACGCATGCACTTAGCGCGAGAATAAAGGTTCACCGGTACTGTGCCTTCCTCGACCTTCCCATCTTCTCGGCCAAGCACTGCGACCTCAGGGCCAAACCGGCCGGGGGCGAGTTTGATCAGGAGACGACAAACAGCCTGTCGTTTTGTTCCTACAGCCCGCTCCTCTCCAACCCCACAAGCTCGTCCGCGTCCAGCTCGCCGCCATTCCCGTCCAACCACTCGACCCCCTCCTCGAATGGGGACCTCGGCCTCTGGGCCACGGTTTCCCCCGGGGGCGGCAACAGCGGCTTCCCGTTCAGCAGCCACGTCTCGTCCAAGATCTCCCTCCAGGCGGCCCTCAACGTGGCGCAGGCCTTCGACGACCTCCCGTACCCCAACCCGTCCGGCCAACAACAGCCGCAGCCTCCCCCCTACCGCCTCTCCCCGACGTCAGTCGTCCCCGCCCCGCGCACGATGCCTTCGTTCGCCTGCTGCGCGATGCAGTGCGCCTACGCGCTGCTCATGGTCCGCGACAGGGCCAAGGCCGCGGGGGCCCCGACGCCGCTCGTCGCGGGCCTGCTCGGCGTCCTGAACCGCGGGCTCGCGTCCATCTCGGCCACGCTCGAGAACTACTCGTCTGCGTTTGAGGCCCTGGGGGGCATGAGAGGTGAGTAGACCTGTGTGTGTTCTTGGGACAGGGCACGGAACAGATAAGTGGTTTTGTATCCGAACCTCGAGCTGACTTGCCGTCTTTTCCACAGATCAGATTCGAAGCGCCGTAGATCCGCCGGTGGGGGTGGGGGTTGAAGCGTGGAATGATATGGGATGATACCAATGACCTGGTCCCGCATATGTGTAGGAGTATGGACAACCGCGCTACTGGCTTCGCTGCTTGGAATTCGGGGAAACCTACCCACCCCCTCTTCTCGGAAGGCGTACAACAAAATCTCCCACCTTCTCTGCTCACTGTATTAAGAACATATAGGATACATGTAATCACGAGGCGACAAGACCTCTTCGCTCTGGGAGATTTGCGAATGCCGCCTGGATCGGGCGCCAACGCCTCCGAGGAACTGAATGCCCTGTGATGGCGAACCCCATCCCAACAAATCGCCAGCGCCCGTATCAGAAGAATTGCTCCGCCTTTAGCGTGATGTCTCAGGCAGCCCATTTTCTCTTGTAGGGCTGCGTACATGGGATCTTTTTTTTTGTTGCCCTTCCGTCTTGCCACAGAATAGGGCGTCGTGGCCAAGGGGGGAAACCGAGAGCAGGGGAGTACGAGGGTTCCAAAGGCCTAACGGCGGACAAGGGGATTCTATTGCTCAGACACCTTTCTTATTTATGTTAATAACAGCTACGACAACCCAATGCACCCGGGGATGATGAAGGAGAGGAGAATGCCCGTGATCAAGTTATCCATCCAATCTATTCCAAGGCACCAGGGGGTCTATGACAAGCCGCACGCGTCCCAACCTTTTTTTCTTTCTCTCTCTCTCGTCGCGAGGATCGAGCCCAACTCACTGCACTTCCCGGACGACCTTGTCGACGGCCTTGGCGAAGTACTCGACGTTGCGGGTGTTGAGGCCTGCCATGCTGATGCGGCCGTTCTTGGTCATGTAGACGTGGAACTCCTCCCTGAGGCGTGCGACCTGAGCCTCGGACAGGCCCGTGAAGCTGAACATGCCGATCTGGTCCGTGATGTGGTTCCACTGGCCCGGGGTGCCGAGCGCCTCGAGCCGGGACCGCAGCGCCCGGCGCATGTCGATGATGCGCCCGGACATGGTCCGCAGGTTGTCGCGCCACTCGGCGAACAGCGCCTCGTCGTTGAGCACCGCCGACGCGATCCGCGCCCCGTACAGCGGCGGGTTGCTGATCTCGGACCGCTGCAGTATCGCCAGCTGGGAGGCGACGCGCGCCGTGACCTCGGCGGCCCCCGCGGACGGGGACGAGACAAAGTGCAGGCAGCCGGCGCGCTCGCCGTAGAGGCCAAAGTTCTTGGCGAAGGACTGGGCGACGACGAGCTCGAACCCCCGGTCGACGAAGAGGCGGATGGCCGAGGCGTCGCGGTCCAGGTCGCCCGAGGCGAAGCCCTGGTAGGCGCAGTCGAAGAAGGGGAAGTGGCGCTTGGCGCGCATCAGGTCGGCGATCTCGCGCCACTGGTCCGGGGTGGGGTCGACGCCGGTCGGGTTGTGGGCGCAGGCGTGCAGCAGGATGATGCTGCGGTCGGGGGCGGCGGCGAGGGCGGCCTTCATGCCGGCGAAGTCGAGGCCCCGGGTGGCCTTGTCGAAGTAGGGGTACGTGGCGATGGGCAGGCCGACGTTGGTGAAGATCTGGTTGTGGTTGGCCCACGTCGGGTTGCTGAGGTAGACGGTGCGGTTCGCGCCATCGACCTTGTAGAAGCGCGCCAGGAACAAGCCCGCCAGATGCACGGCGCCGGTGCCCGAGATGGTCTGCACCGACGTCGTGCGCTTCTCGGCAAGCGCCGGCGACGAGGCGCCCAGGATCAGCTCCGACGCCTTGCTGGTGAGGGAGTTCAGGCCCGCGATGGGCAGGTATTCGTGGTTCAGGTCGGGGTCATTGCGGAGGATCTCGTCGGCCTAGAAAGGTGTGTGAGCTTGCGATCAAGAGAGGTCTTGCGGGGTCGAAGAGAGGGATGGAATGGGGCAGCAACAACAAGAACAACAAGTTGTAATTGATGCCATACCACGCACCTTCTTGACAACTGGCAGAACCCACGGCTTCGCATTATCGTCTCGATATGCTCCAATTCCCTGGAATTGAGCTTGTCAGCGTGGGTGACTCACGGCGAGCGTGTCAATCTGGAGTAGAGGGGTTGCCCCACCAAGTCAACTTTATCCTTGCTCTCATCGGCTCGATACGCCCGCATCAGGCCAAAGAGGGCATCCTCAGGGGCTTGAGGAACCGCCTCTGCGGGGAAACTCGTTGATGCTACCGGGGAAGCCATGTGGTCTGTAATGTTCCGAAGCCTGGAGAGAGGAGAGGAGGATGTTGAGGCTGAGGCTGAGGGCATTATGGGATGTTGCGAATACGACGGCATTATATTTGCTGAGCGGGTGACCCGATAACCCCTCAAAGTGCTACCAACCTATACCTGGGTTGCTACTGCAAGCCATATTAGTCAACCGGCTGGAGCAACATCATCCAATAAGAAGTAACCTTGATATGCATACCAAGCAAAAGAAATCTGGAGACCGAGTTGTTTTCTTCCAAATTCTTTCCCCGAAACTTCAATTCCTGCCCCCAATCTTGCACCTAATCCTCAGATGAGACTCTCTCCCTGGTTCGCATTTCTCCGCCGTGGAATCTTTGCAATATGCTGTGCAGGGAGGGGAGTTTTAATACCAAGGACTGTCTTGCTTTACTCAATTGGTTGAAGAAGGAAGAAACTCGTACTTGTGTCGCACGTCACCTTCTCCAACTTATATGTAATCGTCTCACACCACAACTTGGTCGACCCATGCCGATCATCTGACCTCCCGGGCCGAGGCAAACCCCAAATTCCCCCCCCCCCCCCCGGGTCGATGCTTGTGCTCCGGGTGTGACTGAGCACGAGCTGATGATTGGTATATTTCTACCGAGGAGGAAGAGGCAGCCACGGCCACTTCTGGTGTTGATTCAGACGCACAAGACTCTACAGTGGCATGATCCCTACATTATCGATCATTGCAGCTAACAAGAAGCTGGAAGGCACTTCGGTCCTCCCGGGGATGGTTGCCCTGGGCAACAATTGGCAATAGAAGTATCTTGTCTTTTAAACCTCACAAGGTATCAAGAGCTGCGTGGGTACCAGAGGACTCGGCATGTCAACTTGCCACCAGACCTCCGAGATTAATTAAGCAGCAACTGGTTTTCATACGGGAAGTCGGCAGGCAATAATCTAATTAAAACGTAGAATTTGGAACTGTCGTCATATAATTATAACCGTTTCTGGGAATCATCGACTCGTTATTCTTACGATTGTCAGAGTGCCCAACTACAAGGCTCGTTGGTTTCTATTCGACTGCATATCTTGCGGACTTGCTGTTCACCATGGTGGGCCTTGGAATTATATCTCTGCTCTTCAGCAGCAGCATCCGGGCAACATCTTCAAAGATTGAGACAATTCCGTCGACCATTGCCGAGGATTGCACGGCCGAATCACGCACATTACACAACATGACCACCTATCAGATCCAGATCTCATATAGCAATTCCTCGGACGAAGACAACTCGGTCGTCTTCCAGCTGTACAATCCCGCAATCGGCGTCGACGCCCAATGCGCAGCCTACGGGCCCACGCTCGGGGTTGGCGACTCTCGGTCGGATACGTGGTACCCGTGCTTCGTTGAGTCCAGAGACGCGAGGATATCGGCCGCGTTCAAGTACGACTTCGTCGCCAACCAGGTGACTGTCAACGAGACGTGGGTCTGCGATGCTGCGGACCCGGATCAGTCGTACGTGTAGATCCGAACCAAAGAGCTGCGCACAGGTTATTTGCTGTATCTTACGCGCTCCGCTGACCTGGATGGTTTACGAAAAGGGTGGTCTTTCAGGCTTTTGGGCCAAGCACGCTACCGGCCCCTTGTCACAATACTACTGATCAGGGGGTTCTCCAGATTCAGTGTATTCAAGACGAGGACATGCCCCTTGAAGTCTCCGTCACGTCGAAGGAGCTGTGAGGAGTAATATCAAGTATAATGTTGCGGAAGGCCAGATGCCTATTATTGGCTTTTGTGACTGTATCCCTTATAATGTCGAACACTATGAGGAAACAATTTCCTGGCGGGTCCTCGCATTGCTAGGACGGATACCTCAGTTGATCTATCTTGAGCATAGAATGTAGCTTACCAGTAATTAGATGGAGTTCAACTATAGTGATGCCACTGGAGTAGTCAAAAGCTACAGGAGGAGGATTAATTAGCTGGAGGTTGAGTAGAGAGACTTTCAGACTAACAGTATCTATCTGTACATATTCACACAAAAAACAAGTAATATCCGTAGCTACCCAACGATCTTCTTCCGAATAAGATCCAAGGCGCCAGTGGTAGAATAATTATCCACCTTGGCCTTCTCTCCTCTGAGTTGAGCCTGTACATTCTCCCACACCTCGCTCAGCACCGGCCTGTCAGTCGCTCCCCCGATGTTCATCTGCTCCCCCGCCGGTCCACAGTCAGTCTTACCAGATTATCATCTATGCAGGAAACAATTTAATTAGAACTCACCAAGCCGGGAACAATCGCCCATCGCTGCAACACCGTCCCATCTCCCTTTACCACCAGCAACGCAGGCTGCGCCATCCCATGCTGGTATCCCCACCTCGAGCTGATCGCAACATCAAGGAGGTCTCGGTCCTTCAGTTCCTTCGCGAGGATGTTCTCCGGGTCGACGATAGCGGCGTCCGTGAATCCCGTCCACGCCCGTGCCTTTTCGAGGTGCTCGGGCACCTCTGCCGTGACGATTACGGGAGTCCCGCCGGCGGCCTTGATTTCGCCGGCGAGGGCGACAAGTTCCTTGATGTGGGCTATGCAAAAGGGGCACCAGTTGCCGCGGTAGTCTTGCAGGGGTAAGAATGATTTGATGCGAGGGTGGGGGGGGGGGGCGTACAGAGTAAGAAGACAAAGGATGATGAGGAGAGTAGGTCGTCCAACTGTTTTACAGGATCGGGGCTCGCCATATGGGGTTGTATTGTAGGTCTGTGATAATAAATAGGTACACTGCACGATGCTGATGGATCAGGGGGAAAGTGAACACGATAGGTAGGGGATGTAGTTCATGTCTACAATTCCAGGATTCACAATGATTATGTACCTACACTCTCGCGAGCGGCGATCATGCGGGGTGCGAGGCAACTTACCTGTTCGGCATCGTTGTGGCTGCAAGGAAAAGGATGGAATGGGTGTCATCATCGGGCAGATTCGGTTCCCGTTCCTCCGCATCCGCGAAACTCATGATATACCTAGCTTGCAGTCTCAATGTTTTATATTGAGCAAGATTCTTACTATGGAAAGAAGTGTCGATTCTTGACGTGCAATTCTTTCCTACAAATACGTAATGTGGAATTGTGACAAAATAGGAAGTGTCGTCTGGTGTCTTGCAAGGACCTAGAATGGATTACTATAAATTGAAAAGAGGCAAGGTCCTCTTCTGATCACAAAACTCCCTGCCTGTCCTTATACGTCCTCAAGAGATGCCAGATAGAGCCATCATTCCATGACCTGACCTGATCAGGTCTTCCCTCCTCTGCCATCTCCAAGTCAACTACCATGATTCTGTCGCCAACCAGAATAAAATTATCCAGCTTTGCATCCGTGTGCGCAATGTTATAAAAGGCCATCGTGTCATAGGCGTTGGTGAGAAGCTCCCTCAACCTATCCTCTGAGATCTCCGCTGCAGCAGGCTCACAGAGTGCATTGCCGCCAATGTCTGAGAAGAGAAGAGCAGGCGTGCCGTCTGCCCATGTCACCTGACCGTAATATTTGGGGAGGACGACACCCTGAAGGTCGCGCAACTTCGCATACATGGCTTTCTCGTTTTCAAACTCCTCAGCCCACCCTTCCTTTTGCTTCTTGCAAATAATAGTTGAGGGGAGGAACCATTCAGGGAAGGTGCCCCTGACCCATTTTTGCGCTACCTGTGGTAAGAAAGCGAGAAGATGGAGAGCAATGCCGCTGAGAATGCCACGGTGGATATAGATTCGGGACACATTCGCATGGCCAGGGTTGATTTGTGTTGACACAGTCAGGAGACGGGTTCTAAACCATAGTCGCTATGGGTGTTAACTGACTGTTGGATTATAGAGTAGTCAAACTAACCTCAATGGCAGCATTAGGTTGAGGACTGGAGATATCAAGGCAGGTTTAGCCATATCTACATGAGCTGTAAGTTAAGCGGAGGAAGATAAAAAAGCATACGGCTTCAAAGCTTGGGAAATGAATCTCTCGACGCGTAGCGAGCAGCACGTGATACAGAGGAATAAGACGGAACTTGTCTACGAGGAGCTGGAGAGTGACAATCTTAGCATACAACACTCACGATTTCGGCTGGGGGCAACGAGGCCTACGGACTAACAGAAAAGAAGACGGCTAGGAAGGTTGAGGACAAGCCAGACTAAGCTACCTTGAGTGATTGTCTTCAAGTTTGAGGAATGACCATTTCACTCAGACTTTTGAATAGACCAACAGTCAACAAGCCTGATAAAAGCAACAGCTATTTTCCAAATCCCCATCAACGCCATATTGAAAAATATGGCAAAAGCTTGAGCGGATCTTAGCTGTCGACGTGAAGTGGAGTCGGTGCAAAGGAGGTGGAGATTAAAGAGCTTCCAGTTGGTATGCTATTAGGCTACAGATATTCATGCATCTGCCAAGATTGTCCAAAAGCTTGTCATATATATGTACATTTAGTTGTTGGGTCAACTTTGAAAAACGATGCTGTGAAATTGCCCTGGTCTTATACGGTGGCCTCATGTGACACTGGTTGTATTTCATTGGGGAATCTATACGGCCAGGCATCTGCTGGCAAGCCAGGCAGGGGGTTAGAAATAACAGAAGCCTCAAATCACCAGATCCCAGACGATCAGGAACAGGCACAGCCCACTGGCAGCGAAGAAGGTGTACCTCGCCGGGCTTGCTCTCTGGGCTGCCTTTTTCAGCTCCTTGTTGCCGCCTCCAATGTCATCCGTCGTCCTGAACGAATCCGCCACTAGCTGGTCGATGTGTGCCGACTGCGTCTCGAGGTTGCTGACGAGGAGGGTCTGCAATTCCGAGATCTCGAGAAGAGACTTCTCTGCCGTCCTGTTATTTCCTTTTGTCAGTCCGTTGCGTTGCTGCCCACTCCCGCGCAAGTCACCACTCACCTGACTTTGTCCAGGGTGCTCTCGTAATGCTTCAGCATGTCCTGGTTGCCCTTCTCAAACATCTGTTGCTGTTCGTCCGTCAGGTTCAGCTGTGGCCTCTTCCCCCCTTCCTCCTCCTCGACCGCCAATCCCTGGCCCGAGCCGCCCAAGCCCGAACTCGAACTGGCCACCTCTCCCAGACCAGAAAAGTCCGCCAGACCCCCAGCCCCAACCCCCATGAGCCCTCCCCCAGCCTTAGCAAGCACGCTCCTGCTCTTCTCCACCTCCCTCGTCAGCCTCGTCTCCATCATCCTCTGCTGCGTGCCCCCGACCTCCTGCAGCCGCCTCCTCAGGAACCACAGCACAGCCTCCCGGTGCGCGCCCACCTGGCCCGCGCGGTCCTCCTCGGCGACCTGCTCGGGGCTCCTCCTCTTGTTGTCGGCCCCCCCGCCGCCGGCCGCCCACGCGCCCAGGACGCCGCCGCGCCCGCGCCTCTTGCGGGCCAGCGCGGCCTCGGTGTCGCGGCGCAGCTGCTCCGCGTCGGCGAGCGCGCGGATCGACGCGTTCAGGTCGCGCAGCGTCACCTTGGCGCTGGCGTCGATCTCCTCGCGGTCTCGGTCGGTTAGGTGCTGCTGTCGCTGGGAGGCGGGCGGCGGCTGGGTGGTGGTGGGTTTTGTGCGTAGGAGGGACTTGCGCGGGGCGGCGGTCGAGAGGTAGGCCTGGCGGATGGAGAGGAGGTCGGTGTGTAGGCGGGTGATGAGGGAGGACTGGCGAGGAGGGCGGAGCCGTTTGTTAGTGGGTGGGCTCTGGGCTTGTTGGTTGTGGGTGAGGGGGCAGGAGAGGGTGGGCACTCACGATTCGGTAGGCTTCCTTGAGGAACTCGTCGATCTTGTCGGGGTTGAAGCTTGCTTTGGCGGCAGGAGCATCATGCTTCTTGAGAAGCATGTTAAAGGCGGGTGTGACGTCGGACATGGTGGCTGTATTTTGTCAATTGAGAGGCATGAAGGGCCAGCCTTATATTATTGTTTTCTTATCGTGTCATAGTGCCACGGTTTGTGCTGTACTTTCGACTGGTTACTGGTGCCTCGAAGTCTTGACGAAGCCAGCTGTCAGGGAGCTTGGTTATTGACGACGTGGAATGTGGCTGTCGTGCATTTTGTGGCTTGAGGGGGACGTGCTTCTGTGGCGGTGCAACTTCCAAACTTTGACCATTAGATCTTGGTTCATAATTAAAACACCTAGCCAGTGATCGTTGTGGTAATGAAAACCAAGCTCCGTTCCGGCGGCTTTCACTGGCTCAAGGTTCCAGATCCAAAAACGATAACGCCTTTCTTCCCCATTGAATGGCCAGTGTGCTACTCCACCCAGGGCCGATACCGCTGTTCGGCATGCTTGCCTCACCTCGGTCATGGATCGGGGAGGGGCCGCTAGGACGATAACGCCGACCAGGTTGTGCGCGAGTCTCCTAGGTTCCAATTCGGGTCTAATTGGCTTTTTTCGGCCGTTCCTGGACCGGCTATTGCGCCGTCAGAGAACCGGGAATAACTCTAAACTGGACTGTTCCGTATCCTGTTCTAACTTCTAATAAGACCAAGAAGCCTGCACGTTTCTTCATCTTCCTCCTCTCCTTCCTTCGATATGCAAGTGCACAAGTGCAAGCCGATCTAGTCTTCCAGTCCAGTCAGTAGCCGATATGGGTTGTGGGCATCGTGTTACACAACCTGCTCCCACTCGCGGCGTTCGTTTCCATCTTCTCCCTCTCCGCTCAACGATGATTCGGCTTCGCTATGGTGTTCGATGATAAATTGACGTCACTGGGAAACGACGGGGGATCTGCAGGCCCGACCGGGACGCCTGCCTGCCGCTCGGCCAACGAGAAGGATGCTCAAGGTATCTTGAATGGGCACGAGCCGGGTGGACGGGAGCTGGACGGTGCCGATGAACATGACCCCAGGGGTCCCGGCGAGACTGCTTCCGACCAAGATGGGCCCTCCAGTTCCGACCCCGAGAATCTCGGGCGAGTCTCGGGCGGCCCGGCGTACAGCACCTTCTCAAGGTCTACCAGACGGTGGGTGGTAGCGATGGTGACCCTCTCGAGCTTTATCTCGCCCATGACGGCCAACATCTACTTCCCGGCCCTCAACCCCATCGCCGCCGACCTGGGGGTTTCCATCGGCCTTATCAACCTGACTCTCACAACCTACATGATCCTCCAGGGCATATCGCCCACCCTATTCGGCGAATTCGGCGACGTGGCGGGGAGGCGGCCGGCCTTCATCGTTGCTGTCTCAATCTATATCGTTGCCAATATCGGCCTCGCCCTGCAGAATAACTACATCGCTCTGCTCATCCTTCGGATGATCCAGAGTGGTGGGAGCAGCGGCACACTTGCGCTGGGCTATGCCGTCGTCGCGGACGTCGCCGTCAGCGGGGAGCGAGGGAAGTACATGGGCATTGTGGGTGCTGGAATCAACGTGGGGCCGGCCATTAGCCCCGTCCTCGGAGGTATCCTGGCCGAGTACCTGGGGTGGCGGGCCATCTTCTGGTTCTGCCTGATCTTCTCCGGCCTCTGGCTGGTCCCGTATATCCTTTCGGTTCCCGAGACATGCCGGAATGTGGTGGGGAACGGGTCGATCCCACCACCGCGCTTGAACATGACGCTCCTGGACTATATCCGCCTCCGTCGGCGTCCTGCCAACGAGAGACCCAGCAGCATGAAGAGAAAGCTACGCTTCCCAAATCCCTTCCACACTCTGAAAGTAGTCTTCGAGAAGGACATCGGCATGATAATCTTCTACAACACGATGCTGTACCTGGTCTTCATCCTCATAACCGCGACCCTCTCGACCCAGTTCGCCGAGATCTACCACTACAACAACCTCCAGATCGGGCTCTGCTACCTGCCCTACGGCGTGGGGTGTTGCATCGCCTCGGTGGCGCAGGGCTACGTTCTGGACTGGAACTACCGGCGCATCGCGCGGCGCATCGGCTTCACCATCGACCTGCGGCGCGGCGACGACCTGACGCACTTCCCCATCGAGCGCGCGCGCCTGCAGCCCGTGTACGCGACGGCCGCCGTCGGCGCCGCCGCCACCGTGTGCTACGGCTGGGCGCTCGAGGCCGAGGCCCCGCTGCCCGCGCCCCTGGCCCCCGCTGTTCCTCATCGGCCTCTGCGTCACGGGCTCCTTCTCCATCCTCAGCACCCTCATCGTCGATCTGTACCCGGACAAGCCCGCCACCGCCATCGCCGCAAACAACCTGTTCCGCTGCCTCTTTGGCGCCGGCGGCACCGCGTTGGTCGAGACCATGCTCCGGGCCATGGGGAGGGGCTGGTGCTATACTTTCCTGGCACTGGTCGTTGTCCTGTTCTCGCCCATCCTGTTTGTGTCCATCAAGTGGGGGCCGAAGTGGAGGGAGGAGAGGAGGGCGAGGAAGCTGAAGGAGAGGGAAAAGGAGGAGGCTGAAAGGGAAGAGGCCGAGAGGGCTGAGACATGAGCACCTAGGCACTGGAAGTATTGATGGGGGTGGCCAAGGGGACGCCTTCCTAGAACCCCAGCCAATTGTCCACCGAGCCATGTTTGCCGGACTTTTAGCCCCTGTTGATTTTGCAGGAGGCTCCAGCTTCTCTCGTAGAAACTTAGAAATAATATGAGATACATGCGTTAGACAAGGGCAGCAGGCGAGATGGGGGGATCGACATAATGCACTGTACAACGACGACATGCTATAGCGACCGCAAGTGCCGACCTACATTCAGGAGTTGCATGTTTGTATGTATGGGCTGCTAGTCTTTGGTGAGGTACCAACAAGTGGCTATAAAGCGGTCATGAGCCATGGGAAATTCGTGGCAAGAATGGCGGGCAAGTTGAACATACGCTTATTCTCATAGGACAAACGCTCCTGCCCCTCGATATCGCTTTCAGTACCAGGGAGGGGATTCAGGGGCGTATTCAGGGGCTTCTCATTGGGGCGTATCATCACGACCCACGTCGCACTACGCTACCTAGTTTAGTTTTCTGGCCTTACTACCTAACGTTGATCGCCGCCTTACCGCCGCAAGTCTACCCCATACCCCTGTCTCGCCCGTTGCATGATCACGGCCTCCCTTACGCCGCCTCAGCCGGCTTGGGTGCCTGGAATGGGTTATACATGCCACGGTCGGCCTTGAGCTGCTTGAGCTTGGCGATGGCCTCGTCGAGGGGAACGGGGGTACCGCGGTCCTGGGTGGATGGGTCGTCGCGGTACCGGACGTTGACCATGCGGCCATCCACCTCCTCGGCGCCGACGACTATAGACTTTCATCAGTAACGCGCGTACTTGACCTGCGGAAATGTCGGGAGGGGGGACCACTCACCAAATATAAAGTTGTACTGTGCCAGCTGGCCCTTGCGGATCTTCTTCTTCAGAAGATCGCCGCTGAGGTCGACATCGACAAACATCTTCTGCTTCCGGAAGATGCCCCGCAGCTCCTGGGCGTAGTCGTACGAGGCCTTGAAGACGGGAATAATAAGGATCTGGCGCGGTGACAGCCAGAACGGCCATTTGCCGGCAAAGTGCTCCATCAGAATAGCCACGAAACGCTCGATACTCCCGGCCATGGCGCGGTGGATCATGATGGGACGAGCATAACCCGGAGACAGCGGCTTCGCCCCGCGCTTATCCGAGCCCTCCTCGGCGGTCTTGGCCTCTGCATCGGGGACCTTCTTGTCGCCCTCGGCATCCTGGGTTGCGGCCTTGATGTTTTCAGTAGATTCGCCCGTCATGTACTCGAGGCCAAAGTTCTCGGGCTGCATGAAGTCCAGCTGAATGGTGGCGCACTGCCATGATCGCTTCAAGCAGTCGAGCACGGCAATATCGATCTTCGGCCCGTAAAAGGCGCCGTCGCCCTCATTCAGCTCCCATTCCACGTTACCCGAGGCAGCTAGGGCGATAAGGGAATCCTTCAGCATCGCCTCAGCACGGTCCCAGGTCTCGATCTTGCCCATGAACTTGTCTGGGTTCCGGGTGGATAAGCGAAGCTTGAAGGTGAGTCCGAGGATTCCGTAGAACTGGCGCAGGAAATCGAAGATGTCATCCATCTCGGCGCCGATCTGGTCCTCTCGGCAGAAAATATGCGCATCGTCCTGCTCAAAGCGGCGCACACGGGTGAGGCCGGAAAGCGCGCCGGACGCCTCGTTACGGTGGAGAACACCGTTTTCGGCGTATCTGAGCGGCAGCTCACGGTAGCTACGGTCGCGCTCGCGGAACATGAGAGCATGGCCAGGGCAGTTCATGGGCTTCAGGCCAATCTCCTTTCGCTCGGTCGGCTGCCCGTCTTTCCCCTCCTCATCGTGTTCCACGTGCCAGTGGAACATGTCCTCCTTGTAGTGGTGCCAGTGACCAGATATCTCAAATAGCTCCTGCGAGAAGATATTCGGGGTCTTGACCATGTCGTAATCCCGGTCCCAGTACTCCTCCTTGATGTAGTCCACAATGGCGTCATATACCCTCATACCGTGAGGTTGCCAGAACGCCGAACCAGGGGAAAAGGGGTGGAAGAAAAAGAGTTCTTGGTCCTTGCCTAGCCTGCGGTGATCTCTCTTGGCCGCTTCCTCCAGGATCCTCTTGTGCTCGGCCATTTGCTTCTTGTCGGGGAACGAGATGCCGACAATCCTCTGGAGAGATGTGTTCTTCGCATCGCCCAAGAAGTAGGTGGCCGAGTTCCTCTGCACGGCGAATGCCTCAATTCTGCCTGTATCGGGGATATGGGGTCCTCGGCAGAAATCAATGAAGGGACCATCTGCCGCCGTCGTGTTAGCAGGCACATGGCAAACAATCCAACCTCGCCCAGGAAGACCTACTCCGATAGACGGTGGAGCGTGTCCCGTCCGGAACGTTATGCTCGATGTAGTGCTTCTTGAACTCGTTATTCGCGAACATCTTGAGGAGATCCTCCTTGGACATCTCCAGCCGTTCAAACTTCTGCTTCTCCTTGGCGATCCTCGAGACAAAGGACTCGATCGGCTGCCAATCCGATGTGTGAACTGCTGCATCGCCGGGGAGAGCCATGTCGTAATAGAACCCGTCTTCTGTAGGGGGACCCCGAGAAAGATTACATCCGTAAAGCCGCTCGCTCGCCTCACCAAGGGCGTGTGCACTCTGTTTGTCTACGGGTCAGTAATAATCCCATCTCCAATTAGTTTCAAGTCTCAACACCTACCGAATGCCAAAAGACCTGCTTGCCCTCCGGGTGGTTGAAGTCGAGGATCTCAAGCCTGCAGCTGCTCTCAAGTGGACGGTCCAGGTCCCAGAGGACGGGGTCACCATCGGCGCGGATCCTGGCCACGCAGGCACGCTTGTATAGGCTCTTGGAAATACCCTCAGCGATCTCCCTGGGGGTGGTCTCCCATGCGACACCGGGCTTGACACTGCCGTCGGGCATGGTGATCATGATTGGGTCGCGCGGCTTCTTGGCGATGTCCTCATCCTGCTGCTTCTTGAGCTTGTCGAACAGCTCGAGACGTTCGTCGATAAAGCCGGGGCGCGGTTTCAGTTCGGAGAGGGTCGAGGCAGCAGCCCCGGCCACCTCCTTCGGGGCCTTCCTATCCTTCTTCTCCTTCTTGCCAGCCTTGGCCTCCTTGCCGAGGGACAGGTTCTTCACGCCCTCGGCTGCTGCGCTGACGGCTTGCTTGGCCTGCTCCATGGTAATGACGTGGCCAGGTTCGATATGGGCGGTTGTCTCTCTTGATTGACAAGGTAACTCGAATTGATTAGCACAAGTGTGAGTCAAAATGTCCACCGTTTCAACGAGGGGTTGCCAAAGAAACTCACCGCCTTCCAAGATTCTGCCAAAATACCCCACCTGACCCCTGAAGATATTTTAACCGAGAATCTACCGCCAGAAACACCAAACCCTCTCTTCCCGAGTATCACGAAACCACCTAGGTACCTACCATGGAGCTTAATTTTCTTCCTCAAGCGATATCTAGGTTACTGATTATTTCGTGAAACATGGAGGAAGGACCCTAAGGGGCTACCGGTCTGTCCTTCTCCATTCACTATTTCAATTGACGACGCAGACATCCATGACTTCCCAAACGAGGAAGATTTGGGCCTGCTGCGAGAACTGCTCTCACATTGCTCCTCATCTTCGTCATTGGAATCCATCTCAAACCATTCGTGCTTCCATATATCCTTTTCGTTTGGTGCATATCCTTCAACGCGTAGCCAGCCAAATATATTCCGGGTTGCGTTTTTCGAGATGGACTCTTTTTCACGATCCAGAGATCGGTAGAAAATATGAACTTGTTTCGCATCCTCGACATGTCCCGTGAGTAAACGACTCGGAGGTATGCAGATATCCATGCTGCCGATAGGTTGGGATGCCTCCTTGCCCTTGGTGCAGTCCCACAGAAATCCCTGGTATTGAAGTCCATGGCCATTGCACTTGGCATGGATCTGTATTTCAATGTCGACATCTTGAATCGGTGTTGCCCCAAATGGTCTCCATTGGCAGATAGAAACTCGATTGTGGGATCCAGATTGAGAAAGGAAGAGCAGCCGGCACTCATCCGCACGGGTTACATGGCCGTTTGCCACAAGAGGGTTGGAAACAGGCTGCTGTATGAATGACTGTATGGTCCCCGACCATGCAGCAGAGTGAAGGTCTATCGGTATTAAACCGAATCGGACATCTTGCAAGAGTCGTTTCTGCAGTCCCAAGATTGAAGCCCCAAGCCACAAAAATGCGATCTCGGGTAACCGGTCCATGAGCATACGCCCGAGAACATTGGGCTTATCTCCAGCCAGAGAATCGATAGCAGCCACCGCTCCTTGTAACCAGGGAGTTACAGCATTACATTCTATGCTAGCGTCGTAGAAGGCGCTGAGAAGCATAGGGCGCATTCCCCTAGTATTGCAGCTCAAGGTGAGAAGTCTGTCCAGGTGGTTTTCTTGATGCACCCAGTCATGCCGCAGTTGGTCAGAATCAATAATGCATTGCGTCCAACAGTTGCTGACCGTGGGAGCTGGCAGTTGTAGTCCTTGACCACCGCCCATGGAGGGAAAGAGAAGGACAGCGGCTAGTGCGGCGTGACTCTGATCTGTGACGCTGTGTCGGATACAGAGATTGTCAAGAAAACGAGTAGCGTCAGAAAATGATGGGGCTGAAGGCGGCGGAGATGGCGGGATCGTTGAAGTCACTTTTTGCGAGAGGAAAAATCGCAGGTTCGACTGGAGGCAGATTGACCAAGGGGACCAAAAGGTGTCGTGCTCCAGAGCCATGGTTGCTTGCCAGCCTTGACCTGGGGCGAGAATGGCGGCCCACCATCGAGCCTCTTCCGGACTGCCATCTCCAATATCCACGCTCATATGGTCAGTCTGCTTGTTCGTTGTAGTGGCTTCATCATGGCCCGCCGCCTGGCTGCTGGTGTATATGAGTGAGCAAGGTAGAGCATACTCGAACTCTCCATCTTCATTTCATGCCTTGAAAGAGTAGGTAGGCACTTACGATGGACGATTACCAGAGATCCGTCATCGCTCGATTCTTCGAGCCATTACCAAACGTCTCTGAGATATCGTGTCACCAATTCGTCTTAGACCATATTGTCCCGGTCCTTCTTCCCAATGCCGTCGACCTGGTAGACGTTCAGCCCAGCCCTTTCCAAGGAAGCATGAGCTATACAACTATATTGCATGCTCACTTCACGCCCGACGATCAGCGCATTGCCGTCCAGTTCCGAAGCGACAAGCAAGACTTATTCGGAATCTCCATGGATCTGTTGTGCCCTTGGTAACATACCGGAGCATATATGAAGGGCTATTTGTGTACACCTCGCCATTTGCAGAAGGGACGCCGTATATCAGCGTTTGATGTCTTCTGAGGATCTGAAATGCCGCTCCACAAAACGATGGCGACTGTCCTGGATCTTGCACACATCCTCACTCGTGGAACTAGAGTGAACACTACTCTGTCCGACCTCTCATCTTCTCTTGATGATATCCTTCGTACGGTCAATAACTACCCTTTCCAAAGCACAACTCTCAGAAGCAGCATTTCAACCTGCATCGGCAAGCTCCAGCCACGGCTGGACGATCTCGCTTCACTCCCCGTCACCCTTACCCACTAGGATTTCAGTCCATTCGATTACCTCATCGACGAATCCACCGGCCAAGTTCAAGCAGTACTTGACTGGAACGATGCGGTATACCTCCCGGTCGGGTCTAATTTCCATTTCATGGATAATCTTTTCAGGTCCATTACCCTAAGTGGTTTGCAAGACTCGGAAAATCGCCAGGAACTCGAGGCAGCGTTTTATCAGCGAACTCTGGCTAGCTTTGCTGCCCTAGGGTTTGGGGAAGTAGCAAGAGAGCAGCTGGAGTCGCAGAAGACGATCGGAATGTTGCGCTACGGCGTGGAGCGGCTTCTCAAGTTCAAAGACGAACGGTCCGAGCACTATCTAGATGGATATCTTCGGCGGCTACCTTGCATGAACGGGCTCATGTCCTCGAATTAGCTTAATGCATAGACGGGACCTTGATGTGCGGGAGTCCAAGACCATGTATATCGGCGAAAAATGACAAGAAATGATTGCCCCAGACATCGCACGACATCAAGTTATTTGAAGTTTCAAAGTACCGAGGCATGTGTTCTTCTTATTCTGCAGATCTAGCTAACACATATTATTATGCTCTACTAGGATTAGAATACTAATTAGTTGCTCTCTTGCATTTTTGTTATAATGTTTCTTACAGTGATGAAACCTTCCACATCCTCAGGATAACTACTAGAGCAACGTTAGGCAGACAGCAGCACAAGCTGTAGAGAGAAATATTGAAAGTGGAAAAAAAATGAGAAAAGAGTAAAAGAGAATTGCCTGACCTCGGGTTCGCACCGAGGACCTGAGATATAACTCGGCCGACTTACTGGTTCACGCGTCCTACTGCATTTACTCTCTCTGTGCTACCGCTACGCCAATCGGGCAGATTTCGTTGTTACTGGGACTGCTTGACCAAGTATGTACAGGCCCGAACGGCAACAGGGTGGAAAATGAGGGTATAGTGACGGGTGACGGCCCCTTGGCGCCGACCCCTTGTAAGCATCCTATCAGACTGTACTAAGAACAAGGATAAGCAGACAGGTCAAATCGAGGACCATGAATGTTTCTAGACTATCTATCCAAACTAGGCGGACAGTTTCTGCTCCGTCTATACAGAAATGAAGTTTCCCAACCTTGACCTCAGCTGAGAGTACCGAAAGGAAAAGAAAGTGGCGAGACAGTGATACCCAAATACTGATACACTCCTCTAGCTATTATTATCAAGCATCGTAAAATTCACGTCAACAGAAGAAGAAAAAGCCCCCTCAACCCTCTTTTTGGAGGCTACCAATATCCAATGCCCGAGACCCACCTAGACCCCGTTCCGGGGATCCAGAAGCACCGCATTGATCGCATCGCACCGCTCCCTAAGATTCTCCGCGAAAGCCTGCTCCTCAAACCCCTCGGTGGTGATGTCGAAAAGCCGTTTTCCGGCGCCGTAGATCGGCCAGCCGCCCAGATCGCCGTTGACGAAGCTGACCAGGCGGTCCTGGAAGTCGAGCGCGACAGACACGTTGGGGACGGGCGTGTAGTCGTTGCTGATGAAGAAATAATCTGCCGCGGGTGAGGCCTAGTTAGCGGGCACAACCCTAGCAGGTGCAAAAGGGGGGCGGGTGACATACGATTTCCATCCAGGCCGTGTGTTGCCGGCGGGACCGACATGATGTAGCGCTTCGCCCGGTCGCTGTAAGCATTGGCGAGGTTGTAGGCGTTGCACTGGAAGAAGACGTCGGTCGTCCAGTCCCAGGCGAGCTGTTCCGGCTGTGAGAGCGGCTGGTAGAGGGCCTGAAGATTGGCAATGGTGCTGTCGTTTGCTCTGGGGATGAGCTGGCGAACCAGGATGGGGAAATTCTCGGGCATCCCTTCATCATTTGCCATCCCCATCCCCTAAACATGGGGTGGTTAACCTCCCATGACAGGTTCTGTGGGTGGAAGTCGGCTCGACGAGCGTGTACGCACCTCATTAATCATGTTTCCGACTATCATGGACTTCAGCTTCTTGTTATATCGTCCTTTCAGGAACGAGATCAGGGGCATGTTGGGAATCGAGTGCCCGTCCGGGACAGGGCCGAAGCCGGAGCCGGGCCCAAACACGCCACCCCCGGATTCCGCCGGAATCTGGTTGATCAGATAGTCGTTCGCCCGCAGCATCACGTCCTCGGGGACCGATCGCAGGCACGCCAGATCGGCACAATCCGTGGCGTTGAGGACGGCCTCGAAAAGCCGTTCACGACCCGCAGTGGTGTGCCTTCTCGGGGGCACATCCGGAGACGATACAAAGAGCTGTCTTGGTTGTCAGCGAGAGGCGTTTTATAATGCAAAAAGTGGCCGGGGCCTGGAAGCAAACGCACCTGCTGGAATGGTAATTCCGCCTTGCCTTCGTCTAGCGTGGTCAGGAGATTGAGGATCCCGGCACTGGCACTCTGGCCCATTGCTGTGACTCGGCTGGGATCTCCGCCAAAACGGTCAATGAACTTGGAAATCCAGTGGCCTGCCGCCAGGACGTCATGCAGCCCGACATTCGCGTCCATGTCCTGGTCGGGACTTGACGTCCAACCGGGAATACCGAGTCTGGATGCAAGGCGGGTGGGCTTAGTATATATAGACTTAGATTTTTGAAGGGAATGATGCTGCGGGGGCAACCTACCTGTAGTTATTAGCTACATATATGAATTTCTGGTTATCCGCCATCCGATCAAACAGCCCGATGGGACTGAAGCTGAGGTCCTTGCTGGCGAAGGCGTAGCCGCTTCCAAAAACCCAGTGCAGCACCGGGAGCTTGTCGCCGGGCTTCACGCCTTCGGGGACCCAGACATCCAGGAACAGGCAGTCCTCGTGGCCCCAGGTCGTCCCGTTCAGCCCGGGATACGGGGCATAGGGCGGGCAAGACGCGATGCAGTCGGTCCTGCCAAAGGGGTAGATGCCGTCTTGGATCCCGTCCATCTTCGACATTCTCGTGTCTGGCTTGCGGAAGCGGAGATCCCCAGTAGGGGTCTTGGCGAAGCGGATGTTTTTGTAGACCGTCAAGTGTTTCCCCCCTAGGGTGGTGTTGACGTAGGACGGGATGTGCTTGGCATAGCCGAGATCCACGAGCCCGGGGGGCTTTGGGGAGCAGTGAGATGAATGGCCAGCTTCAGCGCACGCGAGGAGCCACAGAAGAGCAACGAGGCCCTGGATGAGCTGAGTTTGACCCCAACTGATCATGGCAGTAGAGATAGGAAGAAGGAAAGCAAGTGAAGAGTATGAATGAGAGGCTTATTTCCTCAACTGTGACAGGGGGCATTTGGATAACGAGATAACTTTGATGAGAATGAGAATTGTTCGCGACCTACCTCATCTTTTACTATTCCCTGGAATGCTACGCCCTTATATGCAATCCATGGGAGAGGAACTTACGTCAGTTCGAGGCTGAAGCCCAAGATCGTTTACCAGATCTAGCATAATAAGCAGAACTGATGATCCATCCCAGTGGCCCTGCCGCCGGCCAGAGAGTAAATACGATGTGAATACGCAGATACTTTCAGCCCGCTCGGTCCCAAGTCGAAGTAGTGATGCTCTACCAAAGCTACGGCCTATGACGAGGTTGAACATGTATGAAGCTATTCCCAAAAAGGTAAACGAGCTTGGGTGGGGCCGCTGTAGATCACCATGGCGCAGTAAGCTTAACCCCACCACAGCCCATCAAGGGGCCGCCATGACAGATGATAAAGGAGCAGCGGCTCGCGATGGCTCTCCCGGAACGAGTCTGCCCCTCGTTTGCCTGTTTTGGCAAACTCGCTGGCTTGCTAACCAGGTTCAACAGCAGCCACAATGAGCGGGACATTCCACGTCTTCTCGGTTAATGAAGCCGATCTAAAGCTGAGGGATCACAAGAAGCGACGACCCCATAGTAAGAGCAAGTCCGGTTGCCTGTCATGCAAAGCCAGGAGGGTCAAGGTCAGTTACAGCCACACAAGTCATCAAGCTGGCATGAGAAAGTTCTCATTTAACTCGGCGAGTGGATATAGTGTGACCAGGCAAAGCCACGATGTCTACGATGCCAGCGGAACGGCCTCGGCTGCTCTTACACGCCCGGCGAGCCAACCGCCCTAACCAGGCACTCCACAAGTAGGCAGGTCTCTCGGTCCCTCCCCCTCCTCCCGCACCTCGACCTCCCCATCTCCGACCCCTCAGGCCGGCAGTACGGAACCCCCGCCGCGGCGCTGTTGCACCACTTCGCGCACAACTGGCGCACCATCTTCGCGCTCCCGGGCGCCGGCGACGTCCTCCCCCTCTGCCCGGGGCGCCCGCACCTCACCAACGCCGTGCTCGCCCTCGCGGCCTGCCACCTCCGCCACCACGCCGGCGGTCACGGCGGTCACGGGCCGCCGCCCCCGGACCCCCACCGCGTGGCCGAGCACTTCCGGGGCTCCCTCGCGCTGCGCGACTTCCGCGCCGCCATGTCGCAGCGGCCCCTCGACGCCCTCGCCCGCGCCGACACCGGCGTCCTCGTCCTAGCGGCCGTCCTGCTCAACCTGCTCGCCTTCGTGCTACCCGCCGACGAGGACGTCGCGAGCTGGACTGCAGGCGCAGAAGCCGCCGGAGCCGACCCGTCCCGGTCCTGGGTCTTCAGCGCCAGGCCCGACCGCCTCGGCTGGCTGGCCGTCCAGTTCGGCCTGCGGCCGCTGCTGCTGGAGACGCGGCCGCGGCGCCGGGGGATCAGCCTCGGGCCCTTGCTCGGCGCGCCCCAGTACGACGAGGGGGGGGAGTTCTCGAAGGGCGGCCTGGCGCTGCTGGATGGCGTGCCGGACGCCTGGCTCGACGTCTTCGGGTTGGCGCGTGGTCGGGAGGGCCGGGGCGTGTCCTCCTCCTCCTCCGAGGTCGCCCAGTTCCTGTTCCAGGATCCTCTGCGCCTCCTGGTGGTGTTGCGGGACCTTGAGCCGGTCGACGCGAACATATACATGTATTTGCGGTTTGTCGGAACGCTGGAGCACGAGTTCCGGTCCCTGCTATACGAGAGGGACGAGAAGGCCCTATGGCTATTCGGATACTGGCTCGGCCTGATGTGCCGCTTCGAGCACATATGGTGGTGTGGCCGCCGGGTGAGGCGGGACTTCACGGCGATCGTCATGTGGCTTCGGAGTTGCGGGGTGACTGCGAGGCCCGGTCGAGAGGGCTTGTTGTGGACGGACATGATGATGGACCTGGAGGACACTCCTTCCTGGCTGCCGACAAGTTCAATGCCGTCAGAAGAAACGCAGCCAGAGGTGACATCTTCGCTTTCGGTTGTGCCACAGAATGGGCAACAAAAATAGGCTGAACAGTAAGACACAATGTATGATTGATGACATTGCCTACGTCGGCTGCAGGAACCCAAGCAAGTATATTCGGCCGACATTATTTCTCCCCGGCCCCGCCCTGGAAGTTCATGCTGTAGCCTCCAGTCTTCTCGTCCTTGATCATCTGGAAATTATCCGTGCTCATACCGAAGGGCTTCAGCAGGCCGTTCCCGAGGTCCTTCAGCTTCCCCCACATCTCGGCCGTCTCCTTCTCCTGGGCCGCCTTCGCGAGGGGCGGGATGCTCCTCAGCTGGGCCTGCACAATCCTCCTGTCTGTCGCCGACAAGTTGGGCATCGACGACAGTGCCTTATAGTCTTCTAGCGCAGCCTCCAGGTTCGACCAGCCGCCCAGCTCGCTCTTGGCCCGGGCCCGGCGCATCAGGGCCTTTGCACGGATCCTCAGTATGTCCTCCGTCCTCTTGCGTGCCGCCGCGGCGCTGGCGTCCTCTTCCTTGGGCAGAGCCGGCCCGGCTTTGGAGGCGCCGGTGCTGATGATCTCCTCTTCGACATCAGCGTCATCGCCGCTTTTCGTCTCGCCGCCAGTTGTACCCTTGTCGCCGCTGCTGCCCTCGGCTTCCTGGGCTTCCTTGTCGGCCTCTTCCAAACGATCTAGCCCCTTCAGGGCACTTGTGGCGGACGTAATCGCCTTTTCCCACTCGTCTAGCTTCAGATGGCAGGCAGCGATATTTGACCACAGCACGGCCGGTTCGTAGTGAAAATCGGTGGGGCATAGAGAGAGGGCCTCACTATACACGCCGATGGCTTCATCGTACTCGCCCGACGAGAAAAGTCCATTCGCTATGGCTTTGCGCCTATTTGAGTCTGCAACATTGCTCTGGTGGAATCGTTAGTTGCTAGGCAGCCTAGGCATGGCGGAGGCAGCGGGCTGCTTACTGCTTTTTCCTCGGGCGATAACACGTCCTGTAAAGCATCTAGGCGCGGGTCAAGGGAATTGGGTGTGGAATTTTCGTGATCAGCGGGCATTTCTATCACTTGGGAAAGTAATCTTGTTAATGTAGGTAGGGGAGATAAAGGTTTGTTGGGGTATTTTCACATGCTTGAATTGAGCCTCCTTATGCAAACAAGGTACGGCCATGCAACACTGGCTGCTTATCCCATTCACCACCAATTACCAGGGTCTAGGACCCCGCAATTCACTCGGAAGTAAGCCGAGGATATAAATTTAAATTTACAACTCTTCCGTCCCGTATCACAAAAAACAACAAAGTCGGGACGCAAGCATCACAGCCCTGCAGCGCCGAAGAAGTGACCTGCAGACAAGCACGCGAATATGCCTCCGCGAACCGAGTAAGTAGCAGATCTAACCATATCTCATATCTACTTAAAACTTTTCCCACATTCCCCGCTTCCCCCCACCGTCGCGTCTTCTTCAACTCCAGGATCATCGGCCCGAACTAACGATGCCCCTCCTCTGTCACAGCTTCCCGCCCGTCCGGGCCTGTCTGTTCGACATGGACGGCCTGCTCCTCGACACGGAGGATCTCTACACCCTCTGCATCAACCTGATCCTCGAGAAGTACCAGCGGCCCAAGCTGCCGTGGTCCATCAAGGCCAAGCTGCAGGGCCGCCCCGGCCCCGCCGCCACGCGCATCTTCCACGAGTGGGCCCAGCTGCCCATCGACTACGACGAGTACGCCAAGCAGTACTACGCCCTGCAGCAGCAACACTTCCCGGGCACCCAGCCCCTGCCAGGCATCCCGAAGCTGCTCAGCGACCTCGGCCGGACCCGCTACTGGGAGGAAGCAGACCCCAAGACCAAGGTGGCAGCGGCAGCGGCAGCGGCGGCGTCGTCCGCATCCACGACCCCTCAGCGCGTGCACATCGCCCTTGCGACCTCGTCGCACGCGTCCAACTTCCGACTCAAGACGTCGCACCTATCGGAGCTCTTCTCCGTCTTCGAGACGCCGCGCCTCGTTCTCGGCGACGACGCCCGCATCCCCGCCGGCCGCGGCAAGCCGCTTCCGGACATCTACCTGCTAGCCCTGCGCACCATCAACGAGTCCCTCCCACCCGGCGAGCGGCCCATCCAGCCCGACGAGTGCCTGGTCTTCGAGGACAGCGTGCCGGGGGTCGAGGCGGGCCGGCGGGCCGGCATGCGCGTCGTCTGGTGCCCGCACCCGATGCTGGGGCGCGAGTACGCCGGTCGCGAGGCCGACGTCCTGGCCGGGCTGACGGGCGAGGCCGGCGAGGGCGTCGACACGCACCAGCTGGGCGAGCGCGGCGACGGCTGGGCCGACCAGCTGGAGACGCTCGTCGATTTCCCCTACGGGCGATACGGCATCGTCGTGCCCCCGCCCGAGGTCGAGGGCGACGACCGCATGCGTGCCAGCGGCTGTGTCGCGGACGGGGAGGTCGTCCAGGTCGTCGAGGGCGCGTCCCAGGGCGTGCCGGCCTGAGTGAGACCTTCGTCGGTCGTTGAAAAAAGGGAGAGAAGTACGTACCGGATCTGGCCAGATCAGAGGAGGGTTACGGCATGGAGTTGCGGCCTGGAGTTAGGGAGATGGAGGAGTTTACCGCATTTCTGCCTCTTTGTGCATCGCGGGCGTCTTGATTTCGTTCATGTTATCAGACGATTCACGAATTTTCGTTCTCCCATCCAAAAAAAAAAAAAAAAGCAGGCGCAAATAGAGCAAACTAGAGTTTGCGTAATGATAATGACTAGACACAACGATAGATAGAACATAGTAATTCATGGGCTTGCCTTGTCGCCCAATGCTCTTCTTCCACAGCGCCAACAACCCAGCCAGGTGCAACGCCATAAAACTGTACGTTTGAATGTACGGTATCCAAGAATTTCTCACTATGCGAAAAAGTTCGCATCTGTAATCTACTGGCGGTGGGTTCCGCCCTCTAACGCCGCTATCTAACGCTCTCTAGGGGGTATATGTTCCGTCTCCACAGGTTGGCTGTAACACTCGTCCTCTTGTAGGCCTACGAGTGAGACATATAAAAATATTAAAAATGAGGAAGAAAGAAGAGAAGCTCCTCCGTGTGACAATAAGTGTACTGCTCCATCTGAACGACAAGGTTCCCCTTGCCAACTCCTCATCCATCACCCATGCTCCTATGCTTGCCCGTGGACAGCAGGCTATCCGGCCAGTATCCTTGCGAGCCATATGCATTCGTCCGGTTCGGCGGTTCATACCAGTTCTGATAGGGATGGTTCGGCAGGCTGAAGTCTGCCTGGACCAGCAGGGGGTTGACGGGCCGCTGCGCAACCGGTGCCGGAGCAACCAGGGGCGCCGATGACGTCGCCGTGACCATGGTGTTCTGTTGCCTCGGCGTCGTCTGCGACTGTATGGTGGCATAAGAATACGGGCCCGTGTTCAGAGCGGCCGAGGTCGTGGGCGGAATGCCCTGCCCTCCGAAGCCCGCAGGCCCGACCGGAGCGAGCATCGTTAGGCTCGTGCTTTCCTCCCATCCCCAGGCCTTCTTGAGCTCCGTCAGGACCTTTCCAAGTCGCCATCCCGTCTCTGTTGAGATCCTGTCTAGGATGGCAAGGACCTCCTTTTGCTCGTCTAGTTCTGTGAGTACGGAGCTGGCGATTGCGAGACTGCGAATCGCGACCGAGGCCACGCCGCGATCTTTGGTGTGCGCCACAATGCCGCACACCTGGTGGGCGTGTTGAATCTGGGCGGTACGATTCTCCTCGCTATCTCGGGGGTTGACGGGGTTGATCTGTGCGAGGAGGCACATGGCAGTGTGGTAGAAAAGACGGCCAATGACAGCGGCGCGTTTGATGAGCCTAGATGAGGGAGGAGAGGTTAGTGTGGAATGTTTTGGCCGTGGCATCGCATCCCCGGTATAGCCTTAGAAGGGGGGGGGGGGGGGGGGGGGGGGGGCGCAAGGAAGGATACTCTGCATATATAACGCAAAAGACACTTCCACCCAGTACTGGGAGCCGAGCCGAAGGTTGGATA